AATTTACTGACATTAAATTTTGGAAAATTTCCAAACGAATAAAATTTGGTAAAATCTTTTAAAAATAATTTAATTTTTTAAAAATATAAATAAAAATTATCAAATTTTTGAAGAATTTTAATTATAAACAGGACCATGATTTCTCAAAAATGTTAATAAGTCCAAAAAGTAAATTTTCATAAATTTTTATTTTACATTATTCGAAGATAATTGAATCTTAAAAAATTATTACAAAACAATTCTAATAATTAGTTTTTAAAAATATTTTAATGTAATTTTTCAAAAATAATTGAATTTCTTAAAAGAATTTTTGTATAATTTAAAAAAACTAATTAATTTTTTGATGAATTTTCATTAACAATTTTGAACGTGATTGTTTTCTTCAAAAAATAATTCTCAAATGTTATTATTTTTGTATTGGATTTGAATTTTTTGAAATATGTAATTGAAAATACTGAAAATATTGAATTTTAAAAAATTGGTTAAGCTAATTTTCATTAATTTTCATTTTTAAATTTACCTTTAAAGATTTTTCATTAAAATTTTTGATAATTCAATTATTTTCCAAATTTGAAATTGAAATTTTTCAAAAATTGTAACAAAATACTTGAAATAAATTAATTATTTCCAATTAAATTTTACAAAATTTCAACTATATTCAAAAAGATTTTTATTATAGACAAATTTGAAAAATTTAATTATGTTAAAAAATTATTCAAAAACAATTTTTGAAAGATTTGTTTATAGTTATTTTTCGCATTATAAAAATCAAAATAAGTTGCACTTTTTTTACTAGAAATATTATGTTGTATTTTGTTGCAATGTTTGGACAAAAGTATAAAAAATCGAAATTTTTGAAAATAAGTCGAAAAAAGTCTCAAGTTTCTTAATTTCCCCCTGACAAAAAATTTTTTTCCTGAAATATTTTGTTTTAATTTTTTGCTAATAAATAAATTGTAATAAATCATTGCAATTATTTTTTACTTGATAATTATTATTAAAAATATCTTTTCAATAATCTAAATATTTATTACTCTCTTTTTAATATACTCTGCTAAAATTTATTCTTTTTAACATTCTTTTTGTCAAAAAAGTAGCCTTTTTCAAAACTCAATCAACCAAAACCATTCAATTTATTATATTATAGAAGCAGGAAAAATTACCTATCGAAACAGTTTCATTTCAAATGGTTCTATACTTATTTTGATAAATACAATACACAATCTTGTAAAAACCATTGCGAGTAAAAAAACCAACAAAAAAAATTCGTGATTATTAAAGTGAGTAATCGTGTGCTAAATAAACGTCACGCGACGCAAAATACGCAAAAAAAAAATTGCAAAGAAAAAAAAAAACAATAAAACGCAAAACATTTCCGGATTCAGGCGATAGTGCAGAAAGTAAAATTGCTCTCTGCAATAGCGCTTCGTATAATAAACACTTTACATCCGGACTGGTGAAGTTAAACTATTTTTTAATTTTGTATAACTTAGTAACAATCACTACCCAATATATATAGATAAATACACCGCGATATATAGACCATGACTATATACATAAATATATTCATAGCACACATATACAGAACATATGGAAATGCATTCTACAGTTGGAATATGCAAGTCTAACACAATAATAAATATTTCTACGCCACTAAATTAAACCTAGTTTCTCATCCGACGGATGCAAATGTAGAATGTTTCATTTAACCATAGAAAAAAGAATGATAACGACTCTTTTATCTCTGAAAGAAACAATATCGTTATAAAAATAAGTAAACAAAAAAAAACACACAGGAATTTATTAAAGTCTACACCGGAAACTATATGTATATATAAAAATTACAGTTCACTCATTTTCCAATTATTTAATTAAATATATAAAATAATTTATATTTGAAAATCAGTGAGATTTCACATTTCAATTCAAAACAGTTGTTATTAAATTTACGGGTCACTGAAACTCAGTAGAGCAAGAAGATGAAAGATATATTGTAAACACTTCGTTTTTTTATATATAAAATTATTTTATAAATAAAAATATTTTTTTCGAACAAAAGAATTTTTTTATTGTCTATTATCAAGCAATGCACTTTTTTCTTTTTGATTGTATATTCTATTACTGAAATTGAAATTATTTTCATTTCGAAACAACTTGTATGACATTCTTCTAATATATACTATACGATAAACAGAATATTTTCTATAAATAAATAAATTGAAATATTGTAAAAAATTATTACAACTTTTTTTTTTAATATATATAATAAATTTAAATTATATAAAATAATAAATTAATGAAAAACAATAACAATAATAGAAAAAAAAATAATAATAATAATAATGATAATAATAGTAATAATAATAATAATAAAAATTTAAAACCTCATTGTAATTCACAGAAGGATATAGAAAAATTACCCTACAATCGAATTAAAGAATTTTTTTCAAGAAAATTCACTTCAACTTGACCAAAACTCGACAATAAAGGAGTTAGTCACAGAAGGTGAGTCTGAAGAGGAGAAGAAGAAGAAGAAAGAAGAACCTAAAAACGACTAGTCATCATCTATTTGATTCATGAATCACTAAAATGTAAAATATTCTCAAAGGAAAATAAATGATTGTTATAAAAATGAAAGTATTATCATCATCATCATCATGAATATTATGATTAGCTATTTTCAAGTATAATAAAACTAACTCATTCATATTTCAGTGGCAAATCTAAATTCACAATTTAAAATTAATATTTGAAAGAGGGATTTATCCTTATATACATATAATTGAATTAAATTCAAAGAAATTATTCTCCAAAGTCAAACAAAACTTATATTCCTTCTTATTACAGACCGAAAACTTCAAGAAATTTAAAAAATCATCTTCGTTTCAAAGCTCAATAGAATTTTTAAGCATTATTATTTTTTTATTATTATTAATATCTATAGAAATTAAGGTCCGATTTAATAATACTCCAGAAATTGAGGACTGATTCAATAAATATTCTCGAGAAATTGAGAACCGATTTAATATATATAATATTCGAGAAATTGAGGACCGATTTTAATAAAAAAAAAATATGATAAGAAAAATTCAAGAAGGGTGGAGAATTAATAACCGCACTCAATATACAAAAGATATGAACTCATTATAATTTCAAGACGAATGTCTTCGCCTATTTTTCAATATCTCTGCGAGACTAAAAAAAAAGTCTTCATTATTAGTTTGCCTGTGAATACCGTTTTTTTTATATTTACGTCAAATGCAGAGAGGTTATTGACTTTTTTCGTTAAAAAATAAAATTATTTTCTAATTACAAGTCATTGATAAAATCATATAAAACAATTTTCTTCATTGATTTTAAAATATCCTTATTATACACATGGGAGTAGAAAGTAAAATTTATTCTATGCGCAACAATTTGTGTATTTTATTCATTTTATTATTTCAATGCCTCGCAGGTAAGATTGAAGAATATCAGAAATTGTCAAGGTCAATGCCACTTTTATACCTTGTGGTTTATGTCTTATACAATATTATGAGAAAATTACACGTATTACGGTTTATTTGGATGAAATAAATTTTTTATTATCCTTTTCCTCTCTACCTTTAATAAATATTAATATATTTTAATTACCATTTTTTATAAGTTTAATATTTTACTTTATAATTTTATTAATATTTTTTTATTGTAATTTATTATTTATTTATTATAATTATATTTTATAATTTTTCAAATATTTTTATATCAATTTCACTAAATTGTCAGTATTTGTAATAAATAAAAAGAAAATGAAAATTGTTTTTCTCTCATTTTGTACATTATATATATATAAATTTATATAAGATTTTTTATTAAAAGAAAATTTTATTCCAAGACTTCCTGAATGAGAAAATGTCTTAGGGATCGTCCATATATTACGTAACACTTTTTGGGGGGAGGGGGGGTCAAGCTATTTGTTACGATAAGCCAAAAAAATGGCGCTAATGTATGTAACAGCGTGTTACATGGGGGGAGGGGGGGTCAAAATTTTCAAAAATTAGCGTTACGTAATATATGGACGGCCCCTTACTCATAAATATAAACCTCAAAGAAAAGAAACAAAGCTAAGGGAAAATTTTCCACTCAATTTAAAGAATTCAGCGATTATCTTTTTCAATCAGAAAGATAATTTAAAAGCAGTCTTATATATGTAAATTGAAGAAAATTTAATAGACGTTGAAAAACAAATTGAGTATAATACTAGACTGGTCATAAATAAACAAAAAGACTTTCATGCCCCGTCGGAAATTGATTTGGTCAGCTGCCAATCGTTTAGACGGGCATACGATTTTCTATAACTATATTTATCACTCAGGATATTGATAACTTCATTTTGCGATAAATGGGAAAATTTTAGAAAATTGTCAATCAATAGATTCGGTCCTGATTGCCTAAAATATTTATCTATGGTTTAGAAATAGAAATCGTTGAAATTTTACATCTTGTCAGAAATTGATTTTCACTGCAGTTCTATACTTTTAAAATTGAAACAGAGACATTTTTTTCAAGAAAAAAATTAATACTTACAGAAATAATGAGAAAATATTTTTAACACGAAAATTATCTGAATAAAACGGAAAAATTTGACAGCATTGTTTTTACAATACGTACAAATAAGCAAAATGTTATTTTAACAAAATTTCTAACCTAGAAATTCTTTCATAAACAATTTTTCAATATTTTTAACAATGGAAGAAAAATGTTCTACTCGATATAAAGGACAGCTGATTGAGAATTGTTTCGGAGTATAGACAAAAACAATGACAATTGCAACCGATAAATCAATTTTTTAATAGAAAAAAAAATAAATGAGAAACAATAACAAAAATTTTCCCGCTCTAAATTTGTTAACCTATTTTTAAACGTTTTAAACTAAAGCTAAATGCAACAATTCGTCAAAAAGTCACGATTAAGTTTAATACAGATATACAGAATAAAGCAAAAAAAACATAAAAACTTACCCAAAATAAAACATTAAATCCAAAGATCATGTATTTGAGGAAGCAACTAACTTCGCTGACATCTCGTCTGTAGTATTTCCGCGCGGGCATGGTCCAGACACATTTATGAATCTATTTCTTGCGAATCTCGCGCGCACACACAACCACTAAAAATATTTAAATCACTCGCAAAAAAAACTCCAAAAAAAAAATGAAAAAAAAGAAACGATCTGATAATTGTGAGGACAAAGGATAAGAGCTTTAAAACTGGAATAAAATGATGGGAAAGTGCACAATGGGGGTGGACAGGGGCTCGGGGTGTCAATCAGGTCAACGACAACATCGGCGGGTTCATCCGTCCACTTGATGTTTTATAAGGATGTTGGGTCGGGATAACGACGTCCCTTTTGACAGCAATGCTTGCCGAAGGCCGATCAGCTGATCACAACAATACACCATAACACAATTAAGGGTACCGCCATTGTCTCACGTCACAACGCACACTGCTGGTTCTGGATCAACCAGACTACCAGCAGGTCAGACTCTTCCCCTACCCCTTTCGCTTCGCTCCCTCTCTCTCTCTTTCAAACCATCATCGCTCGATGGTCCACTACCCCGCAACCTTCTCTATCCGTCGCGTTCACCAGGTTTACATCACCCACTCTCTGTTACCGTCGCCGCCACCACTCGTGTATCCTCGCTCCTTGCTCAGTGCGCAAGGATCACTTCTCTCACATTCACAAACACTTTAAACACTTTACTCCGCGACTTTTTTCACTTTTGCACTCACTTTTGTTCTCCGATATACTTTTTTAGCAGAAATTTACTCCAAAAACTACTGTACTTTTCAGCCGAAGGATCTACGGCAGTTTGTCAATGATTCCCGCCAAAAACTGACCTAACCTACCGGACAATATCGATATATCGATACTTTGAGAAGTGGGGGGCGTTACCAACCTTGGAAAAATGTTAATTCTGTTTGGCGGGAGTTTTTGAATTACAAATTTGATCAGATGATTTTATTTTTATAATAAGAATATTTGTGACGCGACGAGAAGTACAATTTTACAGATTATGTTTGTTATTTAATATTAAATAGAGAATTCTTATTAACTTTATAAAAAGAAAAATAATTTTTATTATTTTTCAACTTGAAACATAACCTATAAATTTTTGTTCCTTCGCGACGTGACACGAGTAATAAATAATTGTTTAATAAACAAATTTGTGAATAGTAATATATAATAGTAATTATATTACTAGTAATAATAATAGTAATATGTTAATGATTTATTTAAAAAAAGTAGTTGGAAAAATATATCGAGTAAAAAATGGTTTCTTTTTTTGAAATTTAAAAAGAAAAAATATGAAAGTCGTAAACTATTTCGTAGTTCCCGGTGGATTTTAGAGGAGAAAAAGTACGTAACCATTGTTTTATGTTTTTTGCAATATATGTATGTACTGCTATATATATTTACACCGGTGTTCTACATCTTGCCTCCTTTAATATACTTTTTTCATTCACCCTTCATAATCCACCCCAAGTTTATTGTTTTTCCGACAAATTTTCAAGTACGCAAGCGCTATACGTCATCGGCGAATTACCTTTTCTTTATTCACTTTTCCCCATGTATACCTAATGTATTCCCCCTCATAATCATAAATATGTACCAGGAATAATTTCCCAACCATAACTCCTCTTCTTTAATATTTCTAAAGTCTAAATATTTCATACTTTTGTAAACTTTTTCTTTCTCATTCTATTTTTATTATTTATTTATTTTATTTTTTATTTCTTCATGTATTATAATAATTAAAGATGGCCTAGTGCCATTTATTATTTATTATTAGTAAAAATAATTGAATTCTTAAGAAGAATTTTATTGAAAAATAATTGAAAATAATTGAATTTCTGCAATAATTTTGTAACTTCTCCAAAATTTAATTTTTTTCTAGTATTTCTAACTAAAATTGTTCTATAAATCCATTATTTTTAATAATTTTTGAAATTTTCCTCTCAATTTTCAATTAAATGAAAAAATTCACAATTTCAAAAACAATGTTTACCCTTTTATTAATTTTCCAAAAATGACAATTATTGTACATGTAACATTATTTTATTTACAAAAATAAAAAGGCATTACGAAATTTTCCAATATTTTGCAAAAAAGGAAAAGTAGATAACAACAGCTAATTAAACTGATAAAAAAAATTGTCTCCTTTTTGAATTATATAAATTAAAACATTCTCTATATGGAAATATAACGACGTTTTTTTAAAATATCACTAATAAGGTAAAAACTCCATACAAAAGGATACATGGATAAGCGATGAGTAAACGTTGTTTATCCTCGCCGGACATTGCGGAAAATAATCGCGAAGCTGATAGTGAGGCCCAACCGACTGTCATTGCTGAGAGAATTAGACCAATTGGACCACGAAGTGTGGTGAAAATTGCAATTCCAGCTAGACCAACAACGGGCAATATACAATAGCCCAAAACAGATGCAACAGATGAAAGTGTAATATTACCAGTGCTACTCATCAGCAATTGGAGAAAATACATGAGAAGACAGGATGTCACTGCTAATCCATAAACATAACCAAAATGTGCTTTCGATCCCGCTAATAATAGAAAAGCAGCGAGAATCAAGCAAAAAGCGACTGGACCAGCTAAATCCGAATCCTGTAGAAGATAATTTGCATCGTCAGTTTGTCCACGTCGATGAAATGGATTTAATACGGCCAGAGTTTTTTGAATAATTCTATCTGGATCTATTCCCAATTCTTCGAGAAGCGGTGGCTCATTCTCCTCGTCCGTATAATCTGTTGGACCTACAGTCAAAATTAACGAGATAAATAATATAAATAAAAGATGTTTTAGATTTTTTGTTTGGCCATCAGGCCAAACAAAAAAACTAAAACATCTTTTATTTATATAATTTTATGGCTTCCAAAAAATATTGAAATAATAAGAAGATTCAAACTCAGATGTAAATTAATAAAAGATGTGAATATTAGATAAAAATATTACTAAATTAAATTACCTTTAGCATAATTATCCTGGCCGTAAACCTCATTACCATAAGCACTTTGCGATGGATCTAGAAATGCCTTTTGGGAGTAAGAATAATCAACAGCCTGTTGATCACTATATGATTGAAATTCAAATTGTTGATCTGGTTGTCCAAAGCCAGATGGTTCGAAATTATACTGATTTTGTTGTGGTTGAGACCAGTAATTCTCTTGACCTGTATATCCAGCCATTATGGACCACCTAACCTCAAAATTTCAGTCTTCACGTATTGTCAATCACAGAGGAAGGAACTCCCCTTTAAAATGGCACATCGAATTTTAAACACTTTTTTACACTATTACATAGAATTTTGATTTATCGGATAATACATGCCATAGTTTTTTTTTATTTTAGAAGTAAATAAATAAAACGTATTTTGTTTTTGCAGTGACACGACTTTAAATCATCAGCACTGCGTGCGGTATTTTCGTGAACTAATTCTAGCCAGTGGTACCAACTACCAATTGAAAAGCGCGCAAATTTTTTCGAATTTAAAAAATCGTTCTTAATGGAAAAATGCACTTTTATTCAAATTTTTTTTTAATTTACAATATTTTAATTTGCAGCATCACAAATCTTACGCTGTGATGCTCTTTGAGGTATTTTATGGCCTTAGATTAAAGAAGTACTTTATTAAATGCACGCAAACGAAGAAATTGTAGAAATAAGTTGACAATTCTTCGAAAATTATCGCGACTATAATGAAAATTAAAAGTAATTCATATTCATTTCATATTAATATTAATTTAATTTTAATAATAATTTAACTTTAATAAATAATTTCATTTTAATATTAATTTAATTTTAATATAAATTTAATTTAAACGTTAACATTAATAAAAAATAAATCAAATTTTTCCGTAAAGAATATATTTAAAAAAATGTTCAACAATATTATTAATACAATTAACTAAACTAAATAGGAACTCTTTTCATAATAATATTTACAAAAATTAATTAATTGTATAAAAATTGCCGTATACAGTTAATTAACTAATTTAATACTTTATACATTTGTATTGGCGTCATTTGAATTAATTCTAATGATTGTTTTGCCATTAACATTTTTTATAAACTTCCCACTATTGGAAATATTGTGAGAAGTTTCATCACCAATTTGTTTTAATACTGTACTTAGCTCGACATCTGTACAAGCAATTAAAATTGATTCCGTAACATGAGACTGAATACTTTTTGAAATCTCATTTGTTGGCGTCAACAAAATTAGTCGACCTCCAACGCCTTTTAAATCTTTTACGACAGAATTAATTCCCTGAAAAAAAAATATCTTTTTTAGTTTCATTAATTATTAATTATTAATTATTAATTATTAATTATCAATTATAAATGATTAATTATCAATTATAAGTTATTAGTTATTAATTATTAATTACCAATTATAAATTATTAATTATCAATTATTAATTTTTAATTATTAATTACCAATTAATAATTATTAATTATTAACAAGTTCTACTAATAAATATCACCTGTATTGCTGTAAAATCTATTCTATCGATATGCGAACAATCGAGTACAATGTTAACTTTATTTTTCCTTGTATTTTGTTTATCTTCTTTTAAACATTCTGTTAAATATGTTCTTAAATAATCCACTGCGGGGAACATAAGACCTGCACTCGGTCTTACCAAAATATAAGAACACGGAGAGCTCTAAAAAAATAATTTTTTTAAATAATAATTTTTTATATACAAAAAAAAATATTTTTATAATGTACAAAAGTATTTAGAAACTGATAAAATACAAAAATATTTAAAAACTAAATTTGCTTTTCGTTATTTTGAAATTAAATTTTTCTTCTCTTTAAAAATAAACTTACATTTCTGTATTCAATGTACATTGTTGGCCTTGCATTAAAATAAATAAGGATTGCAATATCGATTATAACTCCAATCATAATTCCCAATTCAACTCCAGCGAAAAGACAAGATAAAAATGTCACTAAAGCTGGAATTACATCTCTTTCTGAAATGATTCAAATAATAAATAATAAATATACAAATAAAATAAATAAATTCAGAATTCTACGACGAAAATATTAATAATTATATTAAAAAAATATTTATACGAGATATATATTCGATATTGAATTAAAATTTAAAAATAAACTTACTGCTGCTTCTCCAAATGGACTTCAACATTTCTATCTCAACCATAAAAATAACAGCACAAATAATAACAGAGCTCAAAGTTGCTCTTGGAATATAGTAAAAATACGGAGTTAGTAAACTCAATGCCAAAATAACTAAAATACCTGCAATGAAAAAGAAAAATTGTTACATAGATAATTTTTTCATTAAGAAAAGAAGTAAATTCATGCGGGAAAAAATTGAATAATAATTTAAATTTACACAAAATAAATAAATAAGTAAATGAATACGTAAATAAATGAATAAATAAGTAAATAAATAAATAAGAAAGTAAATAAGTAAATAAATAAATTAATTAATCCGAAAATTAAATATTAATATTTTGATTAAACAATCAATGAAAATACCTGTGTATAATCCACCGAAAGGAGTTCTTACCCCGGAAGCATTGCTGACAGCACTTCGAGAAAAAGAGCCGGTTACAGGTATTGACTGAAAAAAGGATCCAACCAGATTGCAAAGCCCCAAGGTTAACATTTCTTGTGTTGCATCTAAAGACTTGCCTCGAGCTTGAAAAAAATTAAATAAATAAACAAAAAAAGTGTCATGCTTTAATAGTCGCTACTGATTTTCTCTCTCAATTACAATATATCTAAACAATTTCAGTATCTTTCGGTAATTTTTTACTTTTACAAAAATTAAGAGCAACTATTTTTTCTCAAATTTATATAATTGATAAAAATATATTAAATAATATCAAATAATATTATATAATATTTGATGAAAATATTAAATAAAATAATAAATAGAAAATAAAAATAGAAAATATAAATATATTTAAAACTCACAGAACGCTTTAGCTATCGCAACATTTCCTATTATCGAAATCAATGGAACGACAATAATTCCAAATCCAAATGCTTTGCATATTCCTAAAAAGTCCAAATTTTGATTTCCATTGTGATAGGAAAATTTCGGTGGTTCTATATTCGGTAATCCGGCGTCGATATGCCCGGTAAGAATAAACGGCGCCTTGGATCGACTTTCAAAAATGTAGGAAATTGTCGCGCATAAAATTACGACAATCGCATTTCTTCCAGTTCCAATAAACCAAATAAATCTGCTCACAAAAATATTTGAGGACTTTATGTCTTTGATTGACTGCAAACAGAGAATATTAAATAGTTACAAAATAATAATAATAATAATAATAATAATAATAATAATAATAATAATAATAATAATAATAATAATAAAAATATTATAAATTGTACTATTATATTATTAAAAAAAATTACCCTCAGAGTCAGAAGAACCACAATACAGCCACAGGAAAGAATTAAATCGCCCATCTGAGTTTGATCAATCTTATTAAAAACTTCTTTCCAAATTTCAATGAAACTTTCGCCGTGAATTTTCAAGCCGAGCAAACCTTTAATTTGACTGCAGGCAATTATTAAACTGGCAGCCGATGTAAATCCGGAAACAACTGGCGTTGATACAAATTCCACCAGGAAACCTAAACGCAGTACTCCAAAGATTATCGTCACACAACCGGAGAGGAAACACAGAAGACCAGCATATTCAGGAATACCTCTGGAAAATTTACATAATTCATAAAAAATCATTATTAGCAATTAGTAGTCGAATAATAATTAGTCTTTGCATTAATTAATAATTATTATCGTTTCTCGCATTCTCGTCTCATTAGAAAATATTCACTTAAATAACTTAAATAAATAACTTAAATTCACATATCCTATTAATAAATGAATATTAATTTAGAAATTTTCAATTAATGAATATAAATTCAATTAACTTTTTTCAATAATTTTTTTTTTTTAAATTAAACAACTCAATAAATCTGTATATAAGATTTAAATCCGGCAATTTAATGTGCACAGATGATAAATAACATGAATGAAATCGCAGATATGAGCTTATACGTGCAATAAATATTCCATCTATTGTACGACTATTAATTCTAATTGCAGCACTCAACTCTAGAAACGATCTCAATGTGGAATTAGAACACGTTAAATTCTCTCGAGTATTTAGTACATTTATTTATTTATTTACTACTTTACCTCGCGTACGTAAAAGTTAATAAGGAAATAAGGGCTGTTGGTCCAATATTCACTTCGGGGCAAGTACCAAAGATTATGTAGACGAAACTTCCGGCGAATGCACTGTACAAGCCGAATTGTGGTCCCAAACCGGCTAAACCAGCATAAGCTATTGCCTGTTAAGAATTATCTTTATTATCAATTCTCTAACTATTATTATTAAAGAAAAACTTCCAAAAGAAATTTCAATACATTTTTTAATAAATTAAAAAGAGTATTTTTTTCCTATTTATCTTGCTTTAATAATTTTTTTTCTCAACTAGAAAAATAAATTAAAACAGAGAGATAAGATATTGTAGTGCGAGAATGTTTAAGAGGATAATTACATTCTTTAAAAATTTACTTCTAAACGCTTTTTCAAATTATTGAATAAACGGTATTTATTCTATTAATAAAATTTTATTCTAATGAGTGAAGAATTTTTATTATTCTAAGTGAAAGAAATATTACCTGTGGAATTAATGTTAATCCAATTGTTAAACCAGCCACAAGATCTCCAAGGGCATCGTCAGTTGAATATTTTGGTAACCAATTTACAATCGGAACTCTTTTTTTGACAATGTTCAGTAAATTTAGGTTTTTCATTTTCTTTTTTTTTTAATTTTAACTAGAAAAAAAAACGAAAAATCTGAAGATTGATTTTTTTATGAAAATTATTCAATCAGAAGAACCTGCAAAAGAAAGATATTTATGTATTAATTTCTTCTAAAAAAAAAGGGGAAACAATTTAAAAAATTAGTTTTAATTTAATTAAATTTTACAACTCACTTAGTTTATCATTCTCTCGAATTTCCTTTTATTTTATGTTCTCACATCCTCATTTATTCAAATTCTCTTCCCTCATTTCACCTTTTAATTTTTCAATCAACCCTTTTAATTCTCCCCTCCTGTCCGTCACTTCTGTAGAATAAAAATTTCTTTTATAAAATTTCTCTTTAACATCCACAGATATTTTCAATTTAAATTATTTAATTATGAATTAAGTAAAAAAAATGTATTCCTTACGAATATTATAAATAATTGATAATTAATTTCATTTCTGGTAAATTTATCTAGATACTAATAAAAAATTTTATTCTGAAGGTAATATTTAGATAAATTGAAAAAAATGCACGAATTCGATTTTTAAATTAAAGTATGTTCTCATTGTAAATTTTCACGGTTAGTGAACAAAATAAGATCCAATTTCCGGCTAACATTAAGTAATCTGGCCATTGAAATATTTGCATTTGACTATTCATTCGACTCTAAACAATCACGGAAATGTGGATTTTTCTAAAATTATGAGAATTTTGTTTGAAACAATTTTTTCGAAATATTTTTAAAAACAATTTATAAACATTTTCAGAACTATTTCATGTTTATAATATTTTATCTCAATAACTGTTAATAATTTCTATGTTATTAATATTATTAACATTTTTATTAATTAATTAATATTAATTTTTTATTAAGTATTAAAGTAGATACTAAAATAAGTTTTTTTATTTACTAAACAATTTTATTTCTTTTATTTTTTTGGAAATTGAAAATTGAAATTGAAAATTAAAAAATTTTAAATTGAAATTGAAAATTTAAATTGAAAATTTAAAATTGAAATTTAAAATTGAAAGACATGTGTAAAAAAATAAATTGATAAATTCTAATACATTTTATAGAATTTATTAAATGATTCATTTCTGAGAATTCTATAAATGAAGATATTTTCGTGAAGATAACTTTCTAAAAAAAAATTAAAGAAAAAAATTGAAGATATTAAAGTAATAATTTAGCTTTATCAAACTGCAAATTACGGTTTAATCAAAGAGAACGTGATTAAAGTTGCTAAGAAACAATAGCATACCTGTGTTTAAAATTATGTATTATTGCAATAATGTTGATTATTCGAATGTCAACTGCTTGACTAAACAAAGTCAAACGTTTATAAACATAAATTCCTGATTATTAAACAAAAATTCACTTTTTTCTTCCTCAACATCCATTCAATTCTCAACTTGCGAAATTCGTCTCATCATTCAATAAATTTAGCAGTGAACATTAAAAATTTCATGTACTTCATAATTCATCCTCGTTACAGTTAAAGATGATTTTACTTCTTCCACTCATTGATTTATCATTCATTTTATCTTTGCACGTGAGAAATAAATTATCCTGCAAAAAAAAAGAACAAGATCAAGAATTGAAAAAAAATAAAAAAGGTGCAAAGAGAATAAATTACAATATTGATTTACCTTTTGTCCGGAGATTTGAAGAAATAATTATCCTCTTCTTGTAAATTTTCAAGTACAACACAAATTCGTGACGAAAATAAATTGACAAATTTATTTGTCAATTAAAAAATTTTTTTAAAAAATTTTTTGAATTATTTAATTTTTCCCTTTTTATTTTATTAACACTTTCATTGAAAATGAAATTAAATTCATGAAAAATAATAAATACAAAAAATTATTCTAAGTTAAGAGAAAAATTAAGAGATTCTTCAGTTGGAAAAAAAAATAAACTTGTTAGTCCTTGATGCTGAAAGTCACGAGAAGAACTGCAAACGCACCTTTTAACTGAAGTAGACATTTCGTTTTTACAAACTTCAAGTTAGCTTTGTTAATTTAAATTGACATTGCGCTTGCGCTTTATTTTGATTGACTACATCTCAAGACTTAACATGTGTGAATGACTGCTTTTAAACAAATTGTCAAATTGATTTATCTCCTATTATCATCCCCTTTCTAAATGACAATCTCTACATTGGTAATTCTCCAAAAAATATTACACAATTCCCATTCACAGAGAAAATAAATTTTCTTCTATAATTTTACCTCTAATTTTTTTCTAGGAAAATAAAATTAAACAAAATAAAATTTTAATTGAAAATAATTTTCAAATTGCTTTCAAATTGTCAAATTGTAATTATTGTCCCCTGTTAATTCGCATTGGTTTTTTTTTTCAAGAACAATTTCCATCAGAACTTCTATTATTAACAACTCACATTAATTAGCAAAAAAAAATTAGTCTAAAAATGACGAGAAAAATACATATTACATAATTTTTAAAACTACATAAATACCATGTAATTATGTCTGGAAACAATTTTCATCTTTTTTTATGAAAAATCACTTTAAATTATTGCAATTTAGAAACGAAAAAAGAGCGATAATTTTCTCTTCCAAGGTTTTTAATATTATTCGATTTTATTTCCTGAAGAAGACAAAAAGAAAAATTTGTAAATTAGAAAAAAAAAACGATTATTTGACAAAAAAAATTAATTTCAACTGCAAATCACTTTCAAAGGAAATTTTTAATAGTTTCAATTTTATGTAAACGATTATCGGCAATTTTATTTTCCCTGTTTTGTATAAAAACAGGAAAACAGCTTTCCAACATTATTTATATTTTTTTAATCGAATGGAACTGACAATGATTACATTGTTAGAATGACGAAGAGAAATTGAACAATTTTTGAAAGTTTATTTTTCCAAGAAGAAGACTTTGAGACTTAATTTTGTTAATGGAAAATAATATTTTATGTTTTATTTTTTTTATGTAAAAAATAACTATTTTTTATTTTTTTCCAAGAAGATTTCGAGATTTATTTGCTAATAAAAAATAAAAAAGTGTATTTTATTATTTTTATGTAAAAAATACCTATCTATTTCATATTTTATTATTTTTTATATAAAAAATAACTATTTCATATTTTGTTATATTTCTATATAAAAAATAACTTTTTCAAATTGTTGACAATTTTTAAAAATTTCTCCTCAAGGAGAAAAGAAAATATTTTAAGGTTTAATAATAAAAAACTTTTTTTTTAATTTTTGGATCTTATATAAGAACACATTGTGTATCATAACAATTGTTATATTTAGAAACTGGAAAATTACTTAAGACAGGAAATTTGGTTAATTAATTTTTCTGGTAAAAATGCACAAACAGATGAATTATTAGATTTATGAGATGATAATATTTTTGTATTGAAATTTTTTTTTCTTTTTGTTCCTCAGTATCAGATATATTCTATATTTGTTCAGGATTCCCATTTTAAAAAAGAATTTCCTTGAAAAATTCTATGAAACAACAATTTATGTAATCAGAATTTATTTTAAATCCACTTTTTGTCCGAGAAATAAACTTTCATCTTTCTCAAAAATTGTTCATTATTCGGAAAATCTTAAAAATTAAATATAATATTAATAAATTTAATATAATAATATTACCACGATTTTTATTTGTAGAATTTTAAATATGAAAATCTATAAAAAAAATAATAATAATAATAATTTCCGAAAATAAAATGATATTTTGTGTAAAATATTTTATTGTTTAAATAATAATTTATCTTATTAAACTTTTACTAAAAATAATTAAAGACTTCTAATGAATTTTATCAAAATTTTTGATATTAATTAAATTGTTTCGAAGAATTTTATTAAAAACTATTGAAAATTATTGAAAATAATTCAATTCTTTCAATTTAATTACTAAAATAATTGAATCCCTTTGAAGAATTTTATTATTCATGAAAATAATTGAATTTTTGCCAAGAATTTTATTATTTATGAAAATAATTAAATTCTTTCGAAGATTTTTATTAAAATTTTTAAAAAGAATCAAAAGCTTTTAAGAAATTTAGTTAAAAAAGTATTAATAATAATTAAATTCTAATAAAAAAATTTTATTAAAAGTTTTGAAAATAATTGAATTCTTTCAAGGAATTTCAGAAAAATCTTTAGAAATAATTGAATTCTTTCAAGGAATTTTAGAAAAATAATAATTTATTTATTAAAATAATTGAATCCATTTGAAGAATTTTATTATTCATGAAAATAATTGAATTTTTGCCAAGAATTTTATTATTTTTGAAAATAATTAAATTCTTTCGAAGATTTTTATTAAAATTTTTAAAAAGAATAAAAAGCTTTTAAGAAATTTAGTTAAAAAATTATTGATAATAATTTAATTCTAATAAACAAATTTTATTAAAATTTTCGAAAATAATTAAATTTTTTCAGTTTCAGAAAAATTTTTAGAAATAATTGAATTCTTTCAAGGAATTTTACAAAAATAATTATTAAAATAATTGAATCCCTTTGAAGAATTTTATTATTCATAAAAGTAATTGAATTCTTTTGAAGAATTTTATTAAAATTTTTAAAAAGAATTAAAAGCTTTCAAGAAATTTAGTTAAAAAATTATTGATAATGATTAAATTCTAATAAACCAATTTTAATAAAATTTTTAAATAAGTAAATGAATTCTTTTGAAGAATTTAATAAAATTTCTGAAAATAATAATAATTAATTAGTTAATAAGTGATTTATTTTCAATTTTAAATCTGAAATCATTCAAAAATTGAACTTTCTTTTTGAAAATAAAAAAATTTGAAATTTGCACATTAATAATAAATTAAAGATCGTGTTTCGCACGTATTATTTACTAGTTAAGAAAATCTTCGTATCTTTTCATTTAAATAAAATTAATATTTTAATAAAAATTAAATATTTATGTCACCATGAAAGGGAAATAAAAACCCAAGTGAATATTTTTTTTATATAATTTTATAGAAACGTAATACTTTTTTTGAATTTATAAATGTAAGTTGAACAAAAAAATATCCATATCTTATGAAAATAAGTATAATCAGTTCATTTAGCACGTTACAGTGTTTTTTTTATAACTTTAAATGCAGTTTTTAAACATATGCACTTGATTCTTTTTTCTTTATTTAAAGTCTGTGTTCTTTTTCCTATAATTTCTATTTATAAGTAAATATCATATTATATCAATGTGCTAAAAATACTTTAATATAAAGATATTCTAAACATTTGCTTTAGAAAGTTTAGAAAAAAACAGTTTTATATTTTATATATATACATTTACAGCTCTTGCCCTTTTTCATTACACATAAGGGCACATTGTAAATTAAAACGTGGCTATTTATATTTTATTTTTTAATACTTAGTAATCAAATAGTTTAAAAAACAAAAAAAAAATAAATAGAGAAAATAAAAAAAAAAATTCCTATCACATAAGAAATGATTTTACCCTCATTTCTTTTATTGGCAAAAAATACATTGAGATTCTTAAGAAATTACAAAACAATTTTTTAGTTAATCATTAATCAATTTTACTCATTCTTAATTTTTATTTAGAATTTCTAATTTCATAATTTGCAATTTTTTTATTTTTTTTTTAGGATTAAAACAAAAAAGTTTCTTAAGAAGAAGTTAATATAGTGTTTTTTTTTCTTTTTGAAAAAAGAATCTTTTGAAAAAGGAAAAAATTTATAATATAAATAGCCACGTTGATTGTGAGAGGTATCTTTGAATTATTATTAATTATTAATTAGTAATATATAAAAATAGTAATAAGTGACGAGATAAAAAAAGTACTTTGTAAAAAATTGTTTAGTCTTTCATTTTGACGTTTCTACTTTAATCTTTTCTTCTTCTTCTACTTTCTTTTCTTTTAATCTGTCGCTCATTTGAGAATATTCTCTCTTATCTCGTATTTCTTTCTTTATTTGTAATAACTATTGACCAGAAAAAAAAATGAAAAATGTAAAACTAATAATCACAAGTTCTGTCTTATCGAAAAAAGCATACTAATAGTAAAAAAAAAATGGAAAATTTTATAAAAATAAAAAAATTTATAGACTTTGTTTCACCAACAAAAAAAAAAAAAAATACATCACTTGGTGAATTGAAACTAAAAGCTAAACACAGCTGCTTTTAATGTTTTTGAAAAAAAAGGGTGTTAATAACAAAAGGGGAAAAAATACCTAATTGGTAGGAGGCAGTCTCTTTCCACGACCAAATCCAGAACGAAAGCCAGGTCTTGGTGTTTGAGTATTCTGTTTTTTTTGTATCTTATTGTCGTCGCCGTAAGTTTCAAAAAGTCGTTCATTATATGAACCGGCGGTGAATTTTGGCTTCTGGCATACCGTTTCACTTTCCTCTTCTCTATTATCCTTATTATTTCTGTAAGCCTGCAAATTCCTTTGAATAACATTATCTAAAAATTCCACTGTTATTTTTTCCTGTCTCTCGGGACTCTTCCATGAATTCTGATTTCTAAATGTCGGCAAATCATGTTCGTTGTTGTAGATAACTTTTCTCTGCATCGATTTTGCGTAGACGGTATTCTCAAAGCCTGGGGGACAATTTGAGAGTCCCATTCTTCGCGATGGGAGACTCTCGCAAAGTGTCACGAGATTACTGACTGATTTACCAATTTCCGTGACTGGTGTTGAGAGAATTTCCTGATGTCGCGCGGATTGAATTTGATCGGGACTGATCGGTGCCATTGGCAGTGGAACAGTGGTGATTGGTGTGACAAATTGAGTGGGATAATTTTGACAAGTGATATTCTGCATTGGTATGCGCTGTGAATGACAAAATTGTGGTGGACACTGTTGACAGGTGATTGGATGTTGATGCATGTAATTTATTCCCTGAATATTGCCAACGGGTAATTGGGAGATTTGACCGCAGGAATGAATTTGCATTCCCATGGGATAGTTGATGTGGGGAATGTAAGGATTTCCCGGTTGATGATGATTGTGGACCATGTTCATTGGATGTTGAGGATAGAATCTCATGTCTATGTTTTGCATGGGAAGTGCTCCAGTTTCCTGGGGGAGCATTTCTTGAGTGTGCGGTGCACTTGATAGGGGAACTGTTGGTATGAATGGATTTGTCACTAATTTGAATTCCATTTCGTTGGGAATTTGCGATGATGGTAGCATGTTATTTTCGTTTGGACAAATTCCAGTTTGGTGCATCATTTGATAGGGATGATTTGGATAGGGATTTCCGTATAGTATTGGATTATCTTCACTTTGCTCGGATGTAGTTTCCGAAGCGTGATCGTTTATCAGAATATCACTATCGTCGAGACTCTCCTGCATGAACACCAATGACGAACTATCCTCATCCAAAACGGAAGTAGTGCAACTATTCGTCTCAGTCGTTTTAACAGGTTCGTCAACCTCATCTTTTTTAAATTCAATTTTCTCCACACTGGAACCACTCGATGGTAATTCGGCTAATTTAGTTGCTTCCTTATCTTCTAATTTCTCCACAATTTTAAATTCTTTCTCCGCCGAAGAACTTTCTTCATTCATAAATATTTTTCGATGTTCAGGACACAGATAATCAGACTTCGATTGTTGATTATACTTCTGGGAATTACTTTTATTTCTCTCAATCGGAGATTCATAATCCATTTGGCGATATTTATACCTCGATAGTGAATTAGATTGTAGAAAAGTTTCGCTTTTACGAGGTTGATTCGAATATTGATGATTACATTGTCCTTCACGTTGATTTGAAGTTTGGTAATTTCTATTTCTATACTCTCGTCCATTGTCAAAGTTTGAATTTGCATTCCTTTCTCTGGAATCCTTTTGATTGCGATTTCGGTGATTCCAATTTTTCTCATCATAATTTTTATAATCTCTGTTCCTATTGCCGAAAGTTTCAAAAGTTTTTTCGCGAATATTTCGCTGGTCACTGTGGAAATCTGAATTCGATGTTCGTACGTTCCTGTCAGTGTGTTGATTAATATAATGTTCCTCTCGAACTCTAGCTCCTTTTCCCATAAAAAGATGTCGTTCATTGCGTCCATCAAATCTTCCGTACTTATCAAACTTTATCACGTTCTCTTCTGTATTCGATTTATTGTTCCTATTATTGTTATCATCGTGCGGCTTCTTCTCGAGTTTTACTTCACATTCCCTGTTAGTGTTCTCCGATGGTTCCGGTAAATTTTTACCGACAGCTCCCCTGAAAATATTTAATTTTTGAGATATTTCAATAAAATAAATAATTCAGGGCTCGAAATAGTGAAAGTACTTCAAAATACGAACTGCTCGGACCAAAAATTAAAAATTACGGATCAATTACTGACAAAAATATAACCAATCCGAGTCAAATAAGAGAACATTTTAGTTAAAATTATAAATAAAATTTTTATAACTATAAAACATGAAGATATCGATCACTCCGAGTCTTCGACTCGGAGTGATTGACTTCTTCATGTTTCATAATAATTAAAGATGACTGATTGATTAAATAATTATTTTTAATTATAACAGTATTATTACTGTAACTTCTTCAAAATTATTTTCATCATTTCAATTCAATTATTATTTTCTACAATTTTTAATTAAAATTCTTCTTTAAATGAATTATTTTCAATAATTTTTTAAAAAGCTCTTTGAGAATTTACAAATCTATTTGTTTACAATTCAATTTTACGAAATTTCAATTATAAAATTTTTAAAAATGAATACATTTTTCGTGGAATTTGATTAAAATTGTATTAAAAATAATTGAAATTTTGCAGAGAATGTTATTAAAATTTTTGGAAATAATTGAATTTCTGAGAATTTTATTATTTGAAAAGATAACTGAAATTTTGATGAGAATTTTTTAAATATCTTAAACATAATTGGATTTCTAAGAAGAATTTTATTACTTTTGAAAATAATTGAATTTCTGGAATCATTTATAACTTATCCAAAATTCAATTTTTTTAGTGTTTTTAACTAAAATTCTTCTATAAATCCATTAAATACGTATTAAAAAAATAAACTAATTTAAAAAAAATTAAAACTAAAATTTTTCAAGAAAATTAGTTCTACAGAATTTTTAATTGAAAAGTATTAAAAAATTCATATTTTCAAAGATTTTAATTTGAAACTTTTTCAAAATTCAAATATTTCTAAAAATTTACGCTAGAATGCTTTTAATATTCAATTATTATCTGAAATTTTAACTAAAATTCATTTTTAAATTGATTTTTATTAGAAAATTCAATGAGTATTCAATTATTTAAATACAAAAATAAATAATTCATTGAATAATTAAATGTTTCTAAAAACTAAATTCTCATAAAGAATTAAATTTTATTTTATCAACAATTTTTTAAATAATTGAATTCTTTCAACGAATTTTAATAAAATTATTACGAATAATTATTCTTAAAAATTTTATTAAAATTCCTCGAAAAATGTAATTGCATTTTTAGAAGAATGTGATTCAAATTTCATTAAAAATAATTGAAATTCTGCTATGAGTTTTATTATTTTTAAAAGTAATTGAATTGCTAAAAAGAATTTTATTAAAATGTTCTTTTAATAATTGAATTCTTTGAAAAATTTTATTAAAATAGTGGATGTTGTAAACCATTGAATTGAGGAAAATTTTAGAAAATAATTGTATTTCGGAGAAGAATTTTATTATTTATAAAGTTAATTGAAAATTTTTAAAAAATTCTGTACATAAATAAAATTTCCACGAAAAAATTTTATTACTTTTGAAAATAATTGAAATTCTCGAATAATATTTTTCGAGGAATGCGATAAAAATTGTATTAAAAATAATTGAAATTATGCAATAAGTTGTATTATTCATGAAAATAATTGAATCCCTGTAAAAAATTTTGTTATTTATAAAAAATAATGGAATTATTGCGAAGAAATTGATAAAAAAAAATACGTAAATAATTGAATTTCTGTGAAATTTTTATTATTTATAAAAATAACTGAATTCTTGGGAAGAATTTTATTAACAATTTTGAAAAGAATTAAAAACTTTTAAGAAATTTAGTAAAAAAAATTATTGATAATAATTAAATTCTAATAAACAAATTTTATCAAAATTTTTTTAAATAATTGAATTTCTGTGAGTAATTTTATTAAAATTTTTAAAAGTAATTGAATTCTTACGAGAAATTCATTTAAATTATATTAAAAATAATTAAATTCCTTTGATGAATATTATTATTTTGGAAAATAATTGAATTCAAGAGGAGAATTTTATTATTTATGAAAGTAATTGAATTCTTGCGAAGAATTTTATCAAAATTTTTGAAAATAATTTATTTCTTTCAAAGAATTGTAGAAAAATTTTAAAAAATAATTAAATTCTTTCAAAGAATTTTAGAAAAATAATAATTTATTTATTAAAGTAATTTACGAACTTTTACGTGATTTACGCACCCAGTTCGTGCCCAGATAATTAAATAATAATTTATTAAATATTAAGGAAAAAAATTAATTACCATTCTGGTTCATCAGCGTCGTCAGCCCAATTTTGTATTTTATTTTTTTCAGGTGTCATTCTGAATTGTTCCAATTGTGCCGTGATGATACTCTCTTCCAATGCTTTACTTAATTGAAGATCCTCGTCGAATTCGTCAACTATTGGCGGACCTTGTGCATTGGGAAATAAAGTACTGGCTGCATCGGTTTTGGAATTCCAAACGGTAGGCGGATTTGCAACTGTTATCGCGGTAACTGGCAAAACTTTAGTTTTACGTTTTTCCTGCTTTCTTGAAGTCTGTTCTGTATCAGTGTCCGAAGTTTTGGAATTAACGACAGATTTCGATTTCTTTTGCTTTCTTTTCTTAACAGTTTTCTTAGTTTTCTCATTTTCTGTCTCTTCATTTAAATTTTGAATGTCATTCACAGTTGGAATATCATTTCCAGTTTGAATATCATTCTCAGTCTGAATATCATTTCCAGTTTGAATTTCATTCGCACTTTGAATTTCATTCACAGTTTGAATCCTGTTGAAAATTGGAAAATTAAAGAAATAAAAATTAATTGCAAGTTTACTTGTCATGCATTTTATAATTTAATTAAAAATATTTTAGAAAATAAAATTCGACTCACTCTGATGATGATGATTTTGAATTATGCTTTAGCCACGACATATTGCATAGATTGTTAATCTTCTTTCCCGATTCCTCGGAAGTCACGTCTGCATTCGATATTTCCATTTTTCCTAATTAAAACGAATAAAAATTTAGTTTTCAATTTTTTAAAGAATGTTTAAAATGTTTCGGTTATTTCTTTTCACAATCCTTTTAATATAAGTTCAATTAAAAATAGACATCAAATTCTTTTCAGCGGACATGTCATTTACACCTTAGCGTTATCAGATCGAGTTTCAAAATAAAGCGATAAACGCAAATAGAAGCAAGATCTTTAAGAAATAAAATAAAAAATTAGTGTTAATTTAAGTTAATCAAAATATGGATGTAGAATTGTTTAATACTCACCAAACAAAGAATTGCCGTTTCTTTTTCTCTTTTCGGTAAAATGTTGATGAATGGAAATAAAAGAATTTAATCACCGTAAATTTTACAAAGGAAAAATTATGACGCAATTAAGCCGGCATTTTGGTGTTATTCTAAGCTTTCAACATCTCATTGATTAACTGTTGTCACTAACGTTTTAACAACGATTACTTTAAAAATTATTGTAAAAATACTTTCTTAATAGTTAATTATTTGAAAATATTTGAAGATATTTAAGAAAAATAATTTTTAATGTCAACAGAGCACGTTTTAACACGATAACTTTTTTTTCTATGGCAAAAAAACACTAATGCAAGGAGCACCTTTTTTCTTGTGAAAAATCAAAATAATAAATAAATTTTAATATTTAGAACAATGGAAAATTTGAGATTCAAAAAAATTGAGAAGTAGTTGAAGCATTAAAATGAAATTAAAGTATAAAAATCACATTGTATCACCATGCTTTCTTTATTCTTGCATTTATACCATAGAAATTTCTTTTCTAGATTCCACAAATTGACGACAAATGAAAAATTTTGTTTTAATGATAAGCGCCATCAATGGAGAAATGGTGAAGCATTTTAAAAATGTTGACTAGGTAGCGCTGCAAGAGGGTCATTGATCATATGATCAAGAAGAACTGTCAAAAATCCAAATGTCAAAAATATTCAATGTTCTACTTATTATATATTTTTACTGTTTTCTTTTTATAATTTTCAATAATTTGGAATAAAAATTCCAAAAAATGATGCATTTTATTGTCAGACGTACGTATAAATAATTATTTAAAATAATAATTTGACGTTTTTATTACTTAAAATTAAAATTCACATTTTCGTATTTGTTTTGATCTTAGAAATTTTTTACAATTTTTGACAACAATTAAAATTTTATCAATTGTTTTAATTTTGACACAATACTTTACTTACTAACAAGAAAAAGAAATGTTTTAGTGAACTTATAAAAAATAGTATAGGTTATGTTTACTTGGGTGTAAACATAACATTTTATTCCTTTTCAAAATTATTATTTTTTTAATTAAAACGTATTGATTAAATAAATAATGGATACTCCCTCTTATCAGAAATTAGAACAACGATTTCGAAATGTGAACTATGAAAGTAACGAAAGTCAATCAAATGATGACATTTATGATTTAAATCCTCACTCGATTTATAATATTCCAGGTTACTTTTATTAATTTTACTTGAAAATTTTCTTGAATAATTTGAATGATAATTCATATTTAATTGCAATTTCTCACTTTTTTTTAGAACCGCCTACTGAAGAAGATCCATTGACTAAAGAAAAAAATGATAATTGTTGTAATTGTAAATGTTCAAAAGGTGGATTTGGAGTAATTTGCTGTTGCTTTTTTATTTTATCCGTTGCAATTACAGCAGCTTTAATATTACAAATTAAATATGGAGAAAATATTCCTCAAGTAAGTGAAAAAAATGAGTAATATTTCGCTGGTGACAAAGAAAAGAAATTTTCAGAATTTCCACTGATTTCTATTATTTTTAAGATTTTTAATTTAAAAAAATCACTATTATTTTTAAACTAAAAAAAAATCGCTCATATTTTTAAACTTAAATAACGCTAATATTTTTAAACTAAAAAATTGCTATTATTTTTAAACTAAAAAAATCGCTATTATTTTTAAATTAAAGAAATCGATATTATTTTTAAATTAAAAGAAGCACTATTAATTTTAAATTTATATAAAAACTGAGGAACTTTAAAATATTCTAGGGTCAAACAAATCATGGAGCCGTTGCTACAGATTATACAAATTGTTCTCAAATTGGAACGAAAATACTCAGAAAAGGAGGTAATTCTATAGATGCTGCGATTGCTGCCACTATTTGTATGACTGTTGTTGCACCACACAAAACCGGTCTTGGCGGGTTTGTAAAAAAACAATTTTCTTGATTTATTAAATTTTTATCATAATTATTCTTAACAAAAATAATAATTATTAATTCTATTTCTTTTAGAGGTGGATATATGATGATTTACAATCAAAGAGGCCAAGAAACTCCTCTTATTGTTGACTTTGTAAAAAATACAGTTGATGGTTTGTGAAATAAATTTTATTAATATTACTTCAATAATTTAATTAATTATATACTCATATAAATTTATCACTTGGTAAAAAATTATATAGTTAATATTTTAAAGAAAATTATCAATCTTACAACTCAAATCATTGACTTGGAAGATTGATAATTATGTTTTCTTTAAAATATCATTTGAATTAATTATATTAATGAATAATTCATATAAAAATTAATTAATCAAAAAATTTTATATCGCAAATTTTTTAATGAGAGTATTTCTTTTAAGGACAATTTCTAAAAGCTAATACAAGAATACCGGCAATATTAAAAGCCTTGGAATTGCAACAATCTTTACAAGGCAAATTATCATGGCACGAGTTAATTGAACCGTCAATTTTATTAGCTAGAAATGGATTTATCGTGTCGAGAGAATTTGCTAATGAAATATCAAAACACACTGATTATGAAAAAAAATTTGATTCCGTTCATGGAGGAGAAACGTTTACAAGATTAAATTTCTCGAAAACTTTGGAATTGATCGCTCAACATGGTGCTGATGGTTCGTTCAATTTTTCGTTTTTTCAATTTATATTTATATTTGTTAAGTTTTAGTTTTTTCGTATTTTTATTTATTGCATTTGTGTTTTTCTATTCGTCTTTTTTTTTATTTATTTTTGCTCTTTTTTTATTAATTTTATTTTTACATTTAACTTCTTTTTTTAAATGTTTGCATCTTTATTGGCATAATTTTTATAATTTTACTTTTTTATTAGTTTTATTTTCGTATTTTTTACTTTTCAATTGGTTTTTATTTTCATTTTTTAATTAATTATGTATATTAATTAGTTAAACAAATATTTATTAATTAAATTTAGTAATTTTTCTTTTTTAATTCGCCGTTGATTTTTGCTTTTGTTTCTGTGTTCGTTGATTGAATTGTTTTGTTTGTTTGTTTTTTGTTTGGTTTTTTTTGTGTTTTGCTTATTTAGTCATCTACAATGGTTCATTGTCAAAGGAAATTACGGAGAAAATCGGCAATGACGAGGGGCTTTTACAAGATTTGGCAAATTATAAACCACAAGTTTACACAGCAAATAAAATGACGCTTTTTCAACACTCAATATTTTATCCACCAAATGCGAATCTTTTAGAATTATCACTGAGAGATCTGAATAAACTTCATTTGCAGAAGGATAACGCTTCTACAATCGAAGCACAAATACAAGTCGCCGATACTCTAATTAATGCAAATCTCATCAGTCAAGATTTAAGTAGTTAGTTGTTTTTATCATCGTCTTTTTTTAATATCAATTTTGTGCACATTTTTTAGCATTTTTTTGTTATTTTTATTTTTAATTTTGTAATTTTTTTGTTTTGAAAATAATTTAAATTCTTTGTAATTATATTTACTATTTCAACAGTATCGCAACGTAAATACACTGGTGTCGTCGCAATTGATTGGCAAGGAACTTATGTATCAATTGTGACGTGAGTATAAAAATTATATTTTTTAATTATAAAAATTAAAAATTTTCTCAATTAATTGTTTTCGTTTAAAAATTAAACAGAGGTTTAAATAAACCGTTAAATGTGTCACTACTAATGGACAGCGGATTTTTTCTGGACACGGTTGACGATTTTGACGAATTAATGTCATTAACACCAATATTGTTTCATGACAATGTGCCTATTTGTGGATTAAGTGGTTCATTTAATTCAGATGATCCTATTGTGACTGGACAAATTCTTTATAATTTTCTCGCACGTGAATTGAATCTATCAGATTCAATAGAGTATCCAAGGTATGTTGACAATTTTAGAAAAATTCCTTTTTAAAGAATTCTTTTTTTTTTTCATTTTAATTATCATCTTTTTTCATTTTTAACTCTCGTTTTAGATACTATTTATTACCTAACGGAGTAACAATTGAAAGTGATCAAAATTTTGCCATCGATCCGGCAGTGACAAGTCATTTAAATGTCATTAATTCTTCACAAGTCAATGGAAATTCCTTATTGAAGAGTATTAACATGATTATCGAGAGAAGAAATACAATATCAAGTCATTCAGATAGTCGAGGGGAGGGTTTAGCTTCTCGATTTTGAAATTCTTTTTTATATTCATATACAATTAAATGTTTCCTGGGGAAACGTTACAGACTGATGGGTGAAAAAAAACTTTTGTGTACTTAAAAAATACTGTAAAACGAAAGTATTTATTAACTGTAATTTATTGTTAATTGTTTACTTATTTTTATACAATAAACGTGCCTTTTACGTGTTTAAAATCTGTCTTTTTTTCTATAATTTTATAATTATTTGAGTTTTACACATAAAAATTGTTTTCTTAATTATTTTATAAACATACAATTTATAAATAGTTGAAAATTATTTTACAAAAACACTCTTGAAAATAAGTTTTTATAAAAGAATTGGATAAAAAACTCTAAAGAGCTGAAAAAAATATAATTTCTATTTCTTTTTTTTTACAATTCAGTCTTTGGTGATTTTCATTTATTGTGAAAATGCAATTAAATTTTTGTCTTCTGATCAAGCAAAGTGTACTTTTTATGCTCCTCTTCCATTTTGAGTTGTTTAATGCGCGCATAAGCTGCACTACCAAATAATACGACAAAATTACTCACCCACCATAAACTCGGTTTACTTTCATTGTAACAATAAGTAGCAAGCACCGTTTGTACACATGCTTTCGCTGTTCCACTAATATTATGCGTCAATGGTGACGTTACTTTTATTTGCAACATTGTCACGTATCCAATGGAAAATCCACAAATTCCTCCAATAATCATAATTCCCCAAAAGAATGGCTCGTCAAATAAATTATATTCTATTATTTCCTTATATTCCCCATTGATAAGCATCAATGGAATGAAAATAAATATACTGTAGACATTATTGTAATAGGAAAGTAGCCAAATTTCCTGATTCACAGCGGGAAGAACATGTTTTGTATGAATTGAATATAGAGAAAGTGTTAGGGAGCCAAGTACGCCGTAAATTGTTCCAATTATTGATAAAGATCCTGATAGACTCTCTTGATCGACACCAAGCCAAAATCCAAAAATAATTATCAAACAACAAACAACGGCTCCGTACGAGGTTCTCTCGCCTGTTAAAAAATTTATCATATTTTATTTTTTATCGATTCAAATTTATTGGATTAAAATTATTATCATTATTATTGTGAATATATTTCTTACCGAGAATAGAGAAAGTGAAGATAACATTAAAAACCGTGGTTAGAGATCGTCCTATATAATAAAATGCAACACCCACATGCTTCAAACATAAATTATTACAAGCTATCATTCCAGTAAAGAGAATGGATAAAGGTAAAATCTGTAAACAAAAACAAAATCATTACATTATAATATATACACTACGTACATTATATTTAGTGAAAATTAGATCCAACCCTAAACTATTCTAGAGCTAAAAAATAATTGTTTTCGAAAAAAAAGCTAATTCAGAGTTACCACAGGTCATGGAAATCAGGGAATTCAGGGAAAAGTCAGGAAAAGTAGAATTGGTCAGAGAAATCAGGGAAAAGTCAGTGAATTTTATTAAAAGTACTGGAAAAATTTAATTATTGGAATTCATAAGAAAATTAATTATATTTTCAAAAGTAATAAAATTCTTATCAGGAATTCAATTATTACCTATGTTCAAAAATTTTAATAAAATTCTTGACAAAATTTCAATTACGTATTTTCAAACATTTTCCTCATTTAATACAAATTTTAACAAAAATCTACGTAAACATTTAATTATTTTCATAAATAATAAAAATTTCACAAGAATTAAATTATTTACTAATTTTTTGTAAATATCTTCGCAATAATTCTATTATGTTAACAAATTTTTAAAAATTCTTAAAAAAATTTCAATTATTTTTACAAATTAAAAAATTCTCCTAACAATTTAAATTATTTTTGTAAATTAAAAAATTCTCCTAAAAATTTCAATTATTTTTATAAATAATAAAATTCTTCTCCGAAATTCATAAATTTTATTATAAAATTCTCGGCAAAATTTCAATTGTTTTCAAAAATAATAAAATTCTTCGTAGAAATTCAATTATTGTCAAAGATTTTAATAAAATTCTTGTCAAAATTTCAACTATTTTCAAAAGTTTGAATATAAAATTCTTGGAAAATTTCAATAATTTTCCTCAATTCAATGATTTTTAATATCTACTGCAAATAATAAAATTTTCCAAAAGAATTCAATTTTATAAAAAAAATTTAATTATTCTCATAAATTAATGAGAATTTCACAAAAATTCAATTATTTACAAATTTTTTGTGACTTTCTTCACAATAATTAAATTATTTTCATAATAAATAACACTTTTTACAGGGATTCAATTATTTTTAATCAAATTTTAATCAAATTTCTCAAAAAACGTAATTATTCTTAAAAAATTTATCATTTGTCGAAAGAATTCAATTATTTAAAAATTTGTTGTTAAAATTCTTTATGAAAATTCAATTTTAAGAAACATTCAATATTATTCAATAAATTATTAATTTTTTTATTTAAATAATTGAATTCTCGTAGAATTTTCTGATAAAAGTTGATTTAAAAATGAATTTTAGTAAAAATTTTAGATAATAATTGAATATAAGAAAAGGTTTCAAATTAAAATCTTTGAAAATGTGAATTTTTCATACTTTTAACTAAAATTTCTGTAGAATTAATTTTTTTGAAAAAGTTTAATTGCATTTCTTTTAAAATTATTTGAAGTTTTTATTTTTTAATATTAATTTTTTAATATAATTGAAATATTTACGAATAATCAAATTTTTGTATAAAATTGAATTTTAAGTAAATTTAAGTAAATTTTGAGAAACATTCAAAATTATTCAGTAAATTATTTATTTTTGTATTTAAATGATTGAATTCTCGTAGAATTTTGTAATAAAAATTAATTTAAAAATTAATTTCAGTTAAAATTTTAGATAATTGAATATTAAAAGCATTATAGCGTGAGTTTTCAGAAATAATTGAATTTTGAAAAGATTTCTAGTAAACATTTTTTAAAATCAGAATTTTTCATACTTTTAATTATCAATTGTTGGGAATTTGATTGAAATTGAATTTTTCTTATTTATGAAAATTTATAAATAAAAATTTAAAGATATTGATAAAAATCAAAATTTATACCTAATTAATAATTTGTAAAGTTCCTTATTGTGAAATAATTGAAAAATGAATCAAGTACCTTTTTAACGATATCCTTCTTGAAAGGATGCCCTTCGGGAAAATAAATACAATTCGGAAATAATGCAGCGCATCCTTTGAGAATTAAACATAAAATCACACTCACTATGCATTGAAACCATGTTACAAAAAGAGGAGCGTTTAAACTTACTAAATCACTTGACAATAGAACTTTATTGACAAATACTGTGAGAATAGATATTGCCCTAAAAAATAAAATTTTCGTGAAAACATTTATTTACGTAAAATTCTTGTTTAAAAATTTCAATTTGAAGAATCAGAAAGAATACTTACCAGTAGAAGGCAACAACAAAGATAATGTGAAAATATTTGTACTTCAAGGTGTTTTCCATTTTTTTCTAATTATTTTATCAAGTTAAAATACATTTATTGTTTCACAAGTTATCCTAAAAAATAAATACATTTGTTTCACAAGTTATCCTGAAAAATGAATAAGTTTTGTTAAAAAAAGAAGTAAAAATATTCCTTAATTGCAACAAATATTAATTCTCGGTTAAAGAGACAAAAATTAAAACTACATAGTAGACAAGTAACAATGTTTTCATTTTTATAATTAGTATAAAATAAAAAATAACCTAGTAGTTAATAAATATTTGTTGCATCAAATTAACTTACGTTAGGTTTCAAAGAAAAAACAAATTAAATTGATTACTAAACTACTTACATTTCTGTCTATATTTCAAAATATTCTGCCACCTCGACAATTTATTATTATTGTTTAATTTTATAGATTTTGTATCACACGAGATTCATATTAGCAGACGACAAATTGAAACTGTCAACATTCAGTTCAATAAACTTGAATCTACAATTCGAGTTGTTTCGAACAATTCAACTTGAAAAATTGTTCGATTAAATATATTCCCTATATTTAGTATTATAATGATTAATTTTTATAGCTCGGGGAGAATTTGTGTTTTTATTCCATTTTTTCAGTAGAAAAAAAAGCGTCTGCTTTTGAGGTAATAAAACTTAAATGACTGTAAATAAAAATTCGGTATTTTACTTTCCCATCCCTGCTGTCATGTTTAATTTCTCACGCATGCGCAGAAATTTATTAAATACTCGGAAAAAATAATTTCTTGATTTTAATTGATATTCTTTTTCTTTTGATAACTTATAGTATTTGAAAATACTTAGAGGGTTTGTAATAATTAAGAATTGTAAAATAAACAAAATTTTAGTAAGGAAAATAAGTGAAATTTGCTATTTTCTAATTGTGAATCAGTGAATTTCCCATGAATCATTGCTTTTTAAAGATGCGCCAACTATTTGCGCAGTGGTAAAAGTGAGTCAGACAAGAGAGACAGAGAGAGGCAGTGTTTAATGTCAATGTAGCGATGGGCATTGCGTAAATTATTTTGGAGCCTGACAGTTTGAGTACATAGAATTTTTAATAAAAAAAAAACAATAACGAGTTGTTTGAAAAATGTGTTTGTAAAATAAACGAGTTGAAAAGTGTAAAACAAGAAGAGGATATTATACAGAAAAAAGCGAGTGCCGAAGAAAATCCAGTTGTTATAAAGCCTATACGTGTCCTTTCTCTTTCTCCCTCACACCTTCTGTCATTTTGTCTCTCTCTCATTCTCGCTCTCCATTCATCTCCTTTACTGGAGAGCTGATTGCAAACCAACTCTTGTAAAAAGTGTGAAAAATACAGTATTGAAACCGGAATTATTCAAACTTTCGTTTATTAAAGAAAATAGTGCTATGGTGCGGCGTCTGTGACATTTTGTGATCAATTGGTTTCCTGTTCCCTTTGAACTATCTCACTCCCTCTTTCACTCGTTCTTGAGGCAGAAGAATGGAGGCGGTAGCGAAACACGACTTCTCAGCGACTGCTGATGATGAACTCAGCTTTCGTAGGAGTCAAGTTCTAAAGGTACATTATATTGCGAATATAAATTTACAATTACAATTTATTCTTGAAAATAAATCATCTATTTACATTTAGGGTTTGTAATTAGAACTCAAATCGATGACCCCATTTGAGAAGCTTGTTTTTTTTACATGGGTTCGTCGCCCTGAGCAGATCCCGAACTTTCTAAGGCTTCTATAAAATTACTTTACTGTTTATAAAAAAAAGAAATTTATTTGGTTCATTTATTGTTGAACAAACAGTCGAGTTCAATGATGTCAATAATCGACTTGTTTTTATCAACAGTTATACAGAAACACCTGTTTCTTTATTTGTCTAACATTTTTGATATCTCTTTTATTTAAAGATCAATTATTATGCACATTCGCTTCATTTGATAAACTTCTTTAACTTTATGATTAATTCGTCAGTTTAAATTCCAGGAAAATTTTACCACTCAAGACTAGGTCAAGTTTATGCAACATGCAAAGTTTCTTTTTCATTTCAGATCTTGTTTTTATTATAATTTTTGCTGTCTCATTATACTTTTTTTGACATTTTTATTTCTGAATTATTAATTTTTGATTTTATAATGGAGGAAATATACAATAAGGCCCTCCATTTTATAAAACTATGTTATTTATAAAGTTTATAAATTATATAATAGATAATTAATAATAAAATTGATAAATATAAAGAATAATAATAAAATAATGATGGAAAAAAATATAAATCAGTTACAATAATATTTTTGTATTAAATTCATGTTAGTGACACTGACTAATTCTTGAGAAATCTATTCTTTGATATCAAAGGAGCTGCCAATGAATAATTTCCTGGACGTGATTGTAAATTAAAGATATGATGTATATAAATGTTGTTATGCATTTATTAACTCCTGTCGAACGTGAAAAGTTTATTTTTAATTAACAATAGCTTTACATCTCTATTGAAACTTGATTTTCCACGCTTATAAATACATCATTTCTTTCATTATCACTTTATTTGCATTTAATTTCTTCCGACTACTTTAAATCCACTAATAGTTGAAAAATAAAGGAATTATTCTCAAAATTTTTAATAAAATTCATCTTAAAAACAATTCAACAAATTTTTATAAAATTTTTTTGAAACAATTCAATTATTTTCAAAACATTTTCCCAATAATTCAATTGTTTTCACAAAATAAAGAAATTCTTCAGCTGAAATTAAAATATTTTCAATTTCTAGATACTTACTATTTTTAATCAAATTGTTCAAAGAATTCAATATTATTTTTTTAAAAAATTAATAAAATTCTTCGCAAAAAGTCAATTCTTTTTAAAACAATGTTTTAATTAAATTACTCGAAATAATTGAATTATTCTTTTAAATTTTCATAAAATAATTCAAAAAAATTCAATTATTTCGAGAAATTTTAATAAATCCTTCTCAAGAATTCAATTATTTTTATAAATAATGAAATTCTTTTCAGGAATACAATTATTTTTAAAATTTTTAATAAAATTCATAGCAAGAATTCAATTATTTTCATAAATAGTAAAATTCTTGGCCGAATTTCAATTATTTTTAAATTTTAAATTCGAAAAATGTAATTATTTTCAAGAATTTTATTAAAATTCTTCGCAAGATTAAATTTCTTCAAAAGTAATCAATTATTTTTAAAAAATTTGATAAAATTCATGATAAGTACTCGATTTTAAGAAGAAATAATCAATTATAATTATGTTTCTTTGTAGAAATAAATGAATTCTTGTATAACAAAAATCAAATCTTAAAGCTACTTTTTGCTACTTTTTTTTAAAATTAATTATTGCAAAGCCTGGACTTTAATGCATTGCTGTTTGTAAAAAATAACAATAAGTATGTTTAACTAATGAGACGAGGTTCATCGACTTGAGAATTTATTTCGGTTACTCTAAATTCTAAAAGTAATTGTTTACTACTAGAAAAAAAAGTACTAGTAAAAAAAGAAATATTTTCAATATTTCCTTGCAATTGTCAATTTATTTCATTTCAATAAATTTTTTTTTAATTGATAAAAAAATTCATATTTGTAGTTTACATTGTTTTGTTTCATAATTAAAAAATAATTATACAGTATTTCATGGAATTGATTTCAATTTATTTCAGTGTCAGTGAAAAATGTCGAATACATAATAGACATTAGTGAAAGTCCCCTGAGACATTCTTCCGTATCTATTTGTGTCTGACAAATATAAATTTAATCTTGTTACTTTTCTATTTTCTGCTTTAGAAAATATATGTACATATTTTATTTTTACTTTGTTCTCAATTTCGTTTTGCCTCATATTTCAAAAAAAAAATTGAATAAAGTTTAACTTTTCTTTTTCAAGTTACTTGATTTATTTTATTCCAATTTTTTCATTTGACATTTTAATTTCAGATTTTGAATATGGAAGACGATATGAATTGGTACCGGGCTGAATTAGACTCAAGAGAAGGATTAATTCCGAGCAATTACATAGAAATGAAAAATCACGAGTAAGTAGATAATTATTATTTGGATAATACTATTATTAATAATATAATTTTGATAATAATTTGATAATTTCGATAATAAAATGAAGAAATGAACAGACTAAAAGGATTTTCTGTTCAAATAAACGAAATTTATTTCTTTTTAAAGAGTTCAAATTTTATTTTATAATTGCGTCACTTCTTTAGAATTGTAGAGTTTCAAAATATTTAATTTACGTTCTTGATTTTTATTGCCTTTGATCGTTGAGAACTTATGGAGCATGAATTAGAAAATTTAGAAAATTGTTTCGAATGAATTTCAGAGATGACTAATTTTTGTCAAAGTAAAACAATTTATGAGTTAAATTTATTAAAATTATTCTAAAGGCAATTTTATTTTTTTCAGTTGGTACTATGGTAGAATAACAAGAGCCGATGCCGAAAGATTATTGATGAACAAACACGAAGGCGCCTTCCTTATTAGGATTAGCGAAAGCTCACCTGGTGATTTTTCCCTTTCCGTCAAGTAAGTAATTCCCTGCTGAACACTAATTCATTCAATTATACAAGAAAATATTTTCAACTTTATGAAAATCGCTTCGAAATTATTGCCAAAAGTAATAATATTCTTTCTTTCTCTTTTTCTAATCTTAAAAAGTATTTGATTTGTCATTTTAATATTATTAATATTTTCATATTAATTTTCAGATGTTCAGATGGTGTTCAACATTTTAAAGTATTGCGGGACGCTCAGGGAAAATTTTTCCTGTGGGTGGTTAAATTTAATAGCCTGAATGAATTAGTGGAATATCATCGTACAGCATCTGTTTCACGCTCTCAGGATGTTAAATTACGTGATATGGTACCAGAAGAGGTAAAGTTTCTTCTTTTCTTTTTTTTTTTAACAATAATCATTGAATTCCCAAGCACTTTAATATAATTATTGCGCTAAACTGCGAGACTTGACCTTGTATCACGTGACATGCATTTCTCTCAATCATTGGTTGAAAATAGAGAAAGATAGTGTTACGCGTTTAAAAGCCAAGCCGCTAATTATCTTTGATGAATGGCTTGATTGTTGATTTGAGAATTTTACACACACACACAACAATATTCATTTGAATGCCTCCTTTCAATATTACTCTAAAAGACATTCAAAGTTTACCAAATTTATTATTCAACAACTAATTATGCTTGATTATTAATAATTTACCTCGTTATTTGATAATTAATGGGAAATTAATAATAATTAAGTAATGGTAATTTAATAATGATGATGTAATAATAATTATATTTGTAATTTAATAATATAAAAGTAATAGAAATAATTGAAATTTAGTAATAATATAAGTAATGATTTTATCACTCGCTCATCTTTAATTATTATAAAATATAAAGATAACGATCACTCCGAGTTGAAGACTCGGAGTGATCGACTTCTTCATGTTTTATAATAATTTTATTTGAATTTCTTTCTTTATTACTGTTATTTTTTAATTAAGTTAATTAACCACCAATTTAACTGCTAATTATTAATTTTTTACTGCTATTAATTATTAATTTTTGAAAATTTTTTTTCAGTGTCTTGTACAAGCTTTATACGATTTTACACCACAAGAGCCTGGAGAGCTTGAATTTAGACGAGGAGATGTGATTACAGTTACAGACCGTACAGATCAACATTGGTGGCATGGAGAAATCGGTAATCGGCGAGGGTTGTTTCCGTCCACCTACGTAACCCCATATCACTCCTAGGTTCGTATTTATTTTAATATATTTATTAATTTCAATAAATACAGTGAAATAAATAATTTATTAAAATCCGTTATCACAAGAACATTCTTAACAAATATTTAAAGAAATAAAACTACTATAGAAAAATAATATATTAAAGTAATTATTATTATAATTATTTATTGTTAATTAATTAATAAAATTGATAATTAAATTAATATTAAACATTTTTATTGCATATTTTTTAAAATTAATTATTAACAGGGTTGCCACAATTTTAGAATTTTGTTGTTCACCAGCCTTTAAAAAAGGCTCTTCGTAAGAGATTCAATTATTTTCAATTTTATTTTAATAAAATTTCACGGAAAAATTCAATTTGAATTATTTAAAATAAATTTTAATAAAATTCTGTATAAAAATTGAATTATTTTCAATACAATTTTAATTAAATTCGTTGAAGAAATTTGCAAGATTTCAATTATTTTCTATAAAAATAAAATTCTTCGGAGAAATTCAATTATTTTCAATATAATATTAATAAAATTTCTTAAAAGAATCCAATTAGTTTTCAACATTTTTATAAAATTCTTTATAAGTATTCAGTTGAAACTAAATTGAAACTGACTCATTTTCTCGAAAGAATTTAATTATTTTCACAAAATTTCCATATAATTCTTCAGAACAATTAAATTATTTTTAAACATTTTAATAAAATTCTATACAAAAATTAAATTATTTCAGATTCAAAATTATAAAAAGTTTACAAAAATTACAATAAGTAATATAAAAATTTATCAAAAAATGTTGTTTTTTAAATTGGAAAAAATTTCACATATTAACGCAAAATTGTGAAAAATAAATTAATTTATAAATTTCTTTTACAATAATATTATCACAAAACTTATTCTCTACATTTGAATTCTTTGAATTAGTAAAAATTTTGAATTAATTAAATCAAAAGTGATATGAATTTTCTAAAAATTAATTTTTTAATTCTACATACAACACGACATTAAAATAAATAAAATTCTGTTTTTTCTCAGAAAATAAATTTTAAAAAAGCGCATTTTGCATTAATATTAATTAGTTTTTCTACACTAATTTATAAGTAATTATTTTTATATTTCAGAATGTTAAATTAATATTGCAAATATTAGAATTAATAAAATTTTAAAAAGTTTCAAATTGAAATTTTAAAAAATTGTATTTATAAATTTTGAAGAAGCTAGTTTTTTTTAAATATTTTTGAAATTTGTTATATTTTGGAATATAATTTGTAAAATTGGAATATGTTTAATTGAAAAATTTTCAAATTATCAAAATTTCATGAGATTGAATTGTAAACAGGTGGATTTAAAAAATATTTTTGGTGAACTTATTTTTTCTTTACATAAATAAGTGAATTCTTAAGGAACTTTTTCAAAAATTATTAAAAATTAATCGAATAATTCAATAATTGAATTAGAGAAGAATTTCATTTGAAAATTCTAGAAGATAATTGAATTGAAATCCTGAAAATAATTGTGGAAAAGTTACAGTAACAATTCTTATAAATTATTGAATTTCAGAGGACTTGAAATTTGAAATTTTTTAAAATCTTAATTCCTGTGGGAAAATAATAATAATAATTAAATATTTATTTTAAAAAAATCATTCATGTTCCGAATTTTACAATTAAAGATATTAAAGATATTAAAAAATAAGTGTATTACAAACATTTTTTTGTGTATCTAATATTTTGACAGTGAATTAAAATATTTATATCTTTAGAGTCAGAAAAAGAGTTCAAAGTTCTTTTTTGAAATCAGGGAAAAATTGAAATCAAATTTTTGTGGCAAACCCGATTAAACTAACAATGAATTAATTCTTAATTGTTTATACAAAGTATAAATTTGATATAATTTTCTTTTCTAACATCTTTAGACCTCGCACAGAAGAAACGCAAGGCGTCAAGCGCCATCATATCCGACAACCATCATTTACCGGATAAGGCTTACCGCGGAATTAATTAACAGCATTTTGCAAACACCAGCCATTGAATGGGCTACCAGAATGTATTGGTGGTCAAAGCGTAAAGTTTTCTAACTCTGCAAAAAACAGGGTATAGTCAAAAAAAGAAATTTCCTTAATCGTTGGCTTAACAACTTTTAAGCCCAATTAAACGAGATAAAATACCACTTGATATATGGAAAAAAAATTGTCGCAAATTGCAGAATGAAACTGCAGTGACATTAAAATGTCGATTACTTTCCTCTGAATATTCGAGTATTTTTTTTTTTTTTTGCTTTTTTTTAACCAAAAAGAGAATTTGAAAACATAAAATTCTACACAAAATAAAATCTATATCAAAAGCAGAGAAAATTCTCGACAAAATCAAAATATGCTGTGCTAAAAATGTGGTTAAAAATTTACGTTTAAACGTAAAGCAAAAAAGAAAAAAAAATGTGGTTGTTTGTCAATGGATGTTAAATCGCAAGCTAATTGTAAACGTGTGTAAGCTTTTTCATCAGCCATATATTGTACCAATTTATCACGCTCGCCAAGGCACTTGGGATTGCAACAAAAAAAAAAAAAAAAAAAAAAAAACGAATTTGTAAAACTTTTTCGATACAGCTACTCGACGAATGGGACCTACGCGACATGTCGATTGCGTTCGAGTGTATTGTCAGCATTTTTTAAAACGAAAAAAAAATAATATCTACAAGATTTTATTAGTGAGAAATAAATTAAATGCTGAGAAATTGAATATTTTTTTTTCTCTTTCGTCTATAATTAAACATCTCGAGCGCAGTCAACGGGCCTAAAAGCTGATTTCCCACGAAAAAAAGGAACTACGTATACATAAATATTAATAGTATTTGAAAATGCGTTATTCTTCGACATTGGGTTAACACGCATTGATGAAAAAAAATGTGTTTACCTGTATTGTAGAAATTATATCTTTACAGTGATTATTGCAAAACAAGAAAAAAAATTGACAATTTGCACAATGGATAAATGCAGTACTACTTATTATAGACAAAGCAGCACTTTTTCTTGGAATATTGTTATTTTTTTTTCGAGATACTTTTTTTCCCCCTAAATAGAATACCAGATCGATAACAGCGCTGGAGTTTGAAAATAAGCCTCGTTAAAAAAAAGAAACAACAGAAAACAAATATTTGAAGCATTTTGTTTTGTATTAAAAAGTGATTCTTCCAGTTGCATGATGCAAAGAAAAAAAAAAGAAGGAAAATAGAAGGAATTAATATAAAAAGAGAATATAAAAAAAATATTACCTTAGTAAAAAAAAAACCGAGAACTAATCTTTTACGGATTATCGAACAGAAAAATTGACTGATTTTATTCGTACATTATTTGTATACAAAGCACAGTATCGGAACTTGGGATTTACGAAATAGTACCTACGGCACTAGATCTCAAACATCAATTTGTAGCTTCTTTCCGATCAGTTTTATTTTAGCCAGTACGACTAAGATACTTTTTTTTTTAATTGTCAACTGTTAAAAACTGTTTTTTTTTCTATTCTTGTGTAAAGATTATCATTTACAGAATATAATGAAAGTTATGTATAATTTTCTGGCAACGTTTTTAACTTGTACATTATTGATGAGAAAAAAAAAATTACTTTGTAAACATTTTTTTTTCGGCAAACTCTCTGCTCACATTACGTTCCATACGGACAAAACTATTATGTAATTATTATTATTATTATTAATTTTTATTGTGTTATGTTACATTTTATTATTAACAATATATTATATTAATTGTATAACTTATCGCTTTTTATATTTTTACCTTTTTCTGTTTTCTAATATTGATTTTTTTTTCTACGAAATTGATCTAATTTAATGTTCAGGATGAAAAAAAATTATTGAACTTTTATATGGTTGCCAAAGGTCAGGGAAGTAAGAGAATTCAGGGAAAAGTTAGGGATTATTACTTAAAGTAATGGAAAAATTAAATTTTTTAAATTCATAAGAAAATTCTGAATTTTGGTGACTATTTTGTTTGCCTCATAAAGAAAACCTTTAATTTTTTCTATTTCTGATAAAAATTTCTTCTTAAATAACTTAATTTTTGAAGAACTATCAGACAATTTTAATTATAAATTATTTAATGAATAATTTTATTTAAATGTTCCAGAATTAATTAAATTTTAAAAGAGTTGTGTTTACGATTCTCATAAGGTTTTAATTTGAAATTTTAGAAAACTTCAATTTTTAATGAACTTAATTAGAAATTTTAAAGAAACTAAGATTTTTGAAAAGTTTTAATAATTATAATTCTTCTGAATTTTAGTTAAATTTTTGAATTTAATTATTGAAAATAATGAATTTATAAAAGAATTCTACTTAAAAATACTTTAAAAAAAATTAAATTTTGGAGCAATAATTACAAACGATTGCAAAAATTCAATTATTTTCAAAAGTAATAAAATTTTTCTCAAAAATTCAATTATGTTCCAAAATTTTTAAAAATTCTCGTCAAAATTTCATTTATCTTTCTAAATAATAAAATTCTTCTTGAAAATTCAATTATTTGCAAAAATTTTAAAAAAATTCTTGGAAAAAATTTCAATTATTTTCAAAAATTTTCCTCAATTCAATAATTTTTATCGTTTACTACAAATTTTAATAAAATTTTTCCAAAAGAATTCAATTATTTAAAACAAATTTTAATAAAATTCTACATAAACATTCAATTATTTTCTAAAATAATAAAAATTTCCCAGTAATTCAATTATTTACAATTTTTTTATAAATTTCTTTGCAATAATTCAATTATTTTCACAAATAATGAATTTTTTACAAGGATTCAATTATTTACAATTTTTTTTATAAATTTCTTTGCAATAATTCAATTATTTCATAAATAATGAATTTTTTTTACAAGGATTCAATTATTTTCGCAAAAATAATAAAATTCATTTCAGGAATTCAATTATTTTCATAAATATCATCGCAGAATTTCAATTATTTTTAATACAATTTTAATCGTATTCTTCGAAAAATGTAATTATTCTTGGAAATTTTATTAAAATTCGTCGAAAGAATTTATTTTTTTTTAAATTTGTTGAGAAAATTCTGCATGAGAATTAAATTTTGAGAAATATTCAATTATTATTCAATAAATTATTTATTTTTGCATTTAAATAATTTAATTCTTGTATTCAATAAGTTATTCATTTGTTCTATTTAAATAATTGAATTCTCGTAAAATTTTCTAATAAAAATAGATTTAAAAATAAATTTTTGTTGAATTTTTAAATAATAATTGAGTATTAAAAGCATTATAAGCATGAATTTTTAAAAATAATTGAATTCTGAAAAAGTTTCAAATTTAAATATTGGAAAATCTGAATTTTTCATACTTTTAACTAACAATTTTGTAGAATTAAGTTTTTTGAAAAAATTTTAATTTAATTTTCTTGAATTTTTTAGTTTCTAATATATATATTTGAACAATTTCTGAAAAATCGAAATTGCACGTAAAATTGAATTATTAACATATGGATTTGAAAATTCTCGAAGAACATTATCGAAAAATCATTAAAAATAAATTTAAACAAGAATTTGTGTTGTAAATTCTAGAAAATAATAATTGAATTGAAATGATGAAAATAATTTTGAAAAAGTTACAGTAACAATATTTTTATAATATAAAATAATGATTTTATCACTCGGTCAATTATTTAAAAATTTTTTAAAATCATAATAAAATATTATTTATTTTTTATAAATATTTATTTGAAATAAAACTATTCATGTTTTCAAATGATTTTACAATTATTTTGAGAGTGATTAAAAATATTCTTTAGGGTCAGAAAAAAAGTCAAAATTAGTCAGGAAAATATCTGGAAATCAGGGAAAAACAAAATTACATTTTTGTAGTAACCCTGTTTTAGAATATATTTTTATTATTATTTCCTTTATGAAACAAATTCTAAAAGACTTGTAATCAATATATTTTAATATCTATATGAATGAAATATTTTAACATCTAATGAAAAAGAAATCAAAATGTAATGAAAAATGTATTTTTATTTCATATTAAAATACTTAACATTTATATTACGCATTTACCGAGAATAAAAAAAAATATAGAAATTAAGAAGGTAAAATTAACAAACTAGCCTATAGGAAATATAACGTCCTGCAGTTTCCGAGGGTCGAATAATTTTGACAACTTGACCACGTTTAAGACCAAAATATCGTGCGACAGGATCACTGGCTTGAATTCGCATAAGTTGATTCTCCTTTAATTTGTATCTACTCAAAAGTTCTTCTTTCTCGTCAGGCGTCAGGACAATGTGTTCAGGAACTAATTCATGTTCCGTTATGTTAATCAACAATTCAGATTCGAGAAAATTTTCTAGAATATATTTTGGAGCCATGTCAACTAACGATTGTTTTGCAGACGGTGTCATTCCTTGTTGTACGACAATAATCGCTCTAAAAGAATGTAAATTATTAAAAAGTGTCTTAAAAAGAAAAATCCTTCAAGAAAAAGCCTTCAATTTAAGAGAAATATTTTTCTCTTATTAATTAATTAAACTCTTATTAATTCAATTAAGTTTGATAAATAATTACTTTACCTGTGAATTTTTTCGTCCTGCATTCTTTGGCAATAAGTCTTGATTGTTTTTATTCCAATTTTCGGTTCCTCTGGGAAGAATACAAATAACTGATCAGTCGGATCGTCATTGTGGGCCACGAGAACAATTAAATCGCTTCGTGACGGTCTCTTTTCACTCGGTTTGTCTCCAAATTGTTCTTTAAATTGATCCAAAGTTTGATCCAATTCATCCTGTGTGACAAGATAACCTCTATCGTGACAAAGTTGCATCACTGTTTTTCGGATTCTCCATAATTTGTAAGTCTCCGCTTCGTCATCCATTGTTTCGCTGGACTTTTAATTTAACTTATTTAATGAAGAAAAATATTATAAAACTCAAATTAATTGGATAAATTTGATAAATTCTGGAGAACTCTTGACTTTAACGTTTTTTGTGCGTATACGCCACGTAGAACATAACCTCACTTTTCGATCGCAAGTACGTAAAATGTCACAATTGTCTTACGTCATATAACGTAACGACAAAATTTAAAAATTTTTACCAAATGTTTTAATTTGTATCATTGTATTGAGGAATAAATAGGATAAATACTTAAATAGTTATTAACTAGTTTAGTGTGTATTAAAAATTAAAAAGCTTTCTTTAGAAATAAAAAAATAGAAAAGAGTTTTTTTGATAAGAAACGTAATGTACGTATCGCAAAGGTGAGTCTTGACCGTAACGACCCAACCCTGTTCATACTCGCCCACCCACCAACACCAAGATGGCTCCTCTACGGGGCAGTACTCAACATTTGACGTTAATTTATGTACAAGCTTGAATTTAAACGCCTTTACAAATCCGATTGAAGGATACAAGGAGTTTTTCGCGAGTGCAGAAAGTGTGAGGTGAGATATTGTGAATGAATTTAGTGTAAGAAAAGATAGTTTTTTCCCAAAAAAACGCGCGATCGGCCGGCTGGCGTGCCAGACTCGTACATACTCCCCTGCTCGGACTTCAACATTCCCCAGGTATTTTACAATATCAATCAAAAGTTTCATTGAATAATTACAATAAATTTAAACATTTCAAATTATTATTGACAAATTTCGGAGAAATTCAATTAAACACAACTGAATGGGAAAATTTCTGCCAAAAAAATCCAAAGTACCAAAGCTGCTCGCGATTGTGTACAATGCATATTGATCTATTCGCCGCTGTCATTTGGAAATGTGAGATAGTTTTTTTCTCTCACATAAATTACATTTAATGGTATTATTTTCCAGTAGTTTTTTAAATAAACAATTTAATTAGACTCGATAATTTTGTGCATTTGACAAAAAAAGGATTACATTTTTTAAAGGCTATCGTCATTGACTACCTGTCAAATAGTATGTGCATTGTTGTGACAGACGCAAAGGTTCGGTTTTATTTTGTGCCCCCCTGTGCAACAGTTCTCGTTTCCATTCATACAGGATTGCAGATGCAGCTTTCTATTTTACGGTGTCAAGTCGCGATCCATTTTGGGATGAAAACACAGGAAAAATATGTACTTAAGTAGTAATTGCGGTCAATCTACTTTTTCAATTTTTATCTCTTTGTTTATCTTATATATATATATGTGAGCTGGAAATCTTGTGCAATCTATTATAAATCGCACTTGAACAAAAAGTGTATGTCAGTGTATATCTTTTTTTACGTTTTTTATGAATTTTTCTTGATATTTTGATATTGATGGTGAAGTGAATAAGAAAAAGTGCTGTCAGCTTCTTTTCTTTTAAGTTGCAAATATTCTATCTAGTTTCTTTACAAGGTCAATGAGAAGCGTTAATGAGGTCTGTAATTTCACACCTGTTCTAGGTTTGTCATTAGTATGTACTTCTATTTCGGTAAACGTATACCTTCTTTTGATACAAGTTTTTAATCGATATTTTGGACCCCAGCAGTGATTTTAGCAGTTGGAATTTTTGTCTGTAGAAAAATTTTTTTTAAAGATAATTTTCGTCGTCTATAGAAAAATTATTAACTATTACGTAAAATTTTTACAAAGAAAATTTATGACTATTATTATAGGTGATTTTTGTTTCTAGTGACTCAGAATTGAATTGTTATGAAAATGATTGCAGTGTTAAAAACTTCTTTGTTCTAAACATTTTAATGTCAACTTTTCTTCGTTCCTTTTTTCTCTCGGTGAATTTGAATTTTATTCTTCGAGCCTGTGCGGTAAATATTTTTTTCTAAAATTTATAATAGTGTGGAGATTTTAAAGATAAAATTAAAATGATATCAAGAAAATGTGTGTGAGTAATCATAGAGAAATGTATTATTCATTGTTTTCAATTTGTGCGAAGTTATGAGGAATATATTTAAATAAATATAAGCAAAGACTAATAATTTTTCATGATCTTTAGAATTTTTATTTTGCATTGAACCAGATGGATTGAATTACAATATTTTACTTTCGAGCGGGATCGAAATAAAGTATCATTCGTACAAATTTGGTTTAGTTGTTTTATACATATGTGCAAAACTTGAATATGGTAATGAACTTGTAACAAAATTCATGCAATTTTAATGAAGGCGAAACTGATGTCCGGTATTCAAACGACAACTTTATTTCCATAATGCCGGAAAATTTTTGTAACTATATTACTCAATGGCCAAAAAAAAACTTAAATGTTTACATAATTTTCAAGTGTTTGAAATCGTATATGTGTGTGTCTGAATCACCAGATTGATTAAAAAAAATTGAAAAATACGGAAAACTTGTGATAAATTTTGTGTGTATGAAATATTTTGTTAATCTTTGACACTCTTGAAATTTTTTTCATCTTTCATTCTAGGTTTTGAAAAATTGTCACGAACTAGAGCCAATTAGCAGATATTTTTGCTTTTCAAAGCTGATTTTAATTTTATCTTTTCTTAATGAGTTCGGTAATTTTATCAATTAATGCAAATATTAACTAATATTTATTAATTTCCGTTTACAGTTTATTTTTCGCGCTTTTTTTGAATTGATCTTTTCTGGAAATGTTTGAACTTCTTTTAGTTATTTGTTTTTTTTTGGATAATTGAAATTTTGAAAAACTAGATGCATTTTTTCATTTCGAAAAAGTAAATAACAATTTTTTCGATATTTTGTATTGTTCAAAAACCTTTTATGATATTGTGAGTATTGATTTATAAAATTGTTGATTTTTTGTTTTTTTTTAAACACTGGCACAATTTTTTTTTTAAAGTGAATAGAAGAAAAAAGTAAATAACGTTTGAAAGACTTTTTTTTAATAGAAAACAAATCTTTATTTTGTTTTTTCGAAACATGTTTGTCTTTATCGACAAAAAAGTAAATTTAAAACAATTTTTAAAATCCATATTTATTTTTAATTCAGATTTGATAATTGTTTATTTATTTATTTCAATATTTGTGATAAATTACATAATTTTTTTTTCTTTTTCAGAAAAACAGTGCCATTCCAGACAACCATTGCTCATTGTTGTGTTAAAAAAGAACTCGTACATCGTACAATTAACGATAGAACTAGCATTTAAATACTCCAAAACTTCGCCTGCTAATTAATACCTAGAAAATTCACTGGAAATTACAGATCCAAAAAAAGACAAGAACAAAAATTGTCCTTTGAAAACGTTGAGTATTAAAAATCTGGACGAATGTTTTTTTCTAAACGCACACGATTAACATAAAAATAGTTTTTAACCTGAGGAAATAAAAAAAAGGAAGTGAATGTAAACTGTGATGTCATTTAATTATCAAGCTTATTGAAAGAGAGAAAGCGAGAGAGTCAAATTACAATTTTGAATTGTTTGCAATGTCGCAAAGATGTTACCAAAGGGAAATAATACTGATTTTTATATAAAATTTTGAATCTCTGATGACCAAAGTTATTATTCGATAATTAAGAAAGTCTCTATTCTTCTAATTGAACGAAAAGAAAAAAATGTCCTGAAGAACAAAATAGAAAAAGAAAAGATTGTAATTTTGCAACGAAGGTAATTTCACATATGACCATATTTTGTGCATTACCTGGATGCGTGTAATTTTTTTACGATGGCGCGAAAAAGCGATAACTTGAGGATCATCAATGTTGCCGTCGTTGGTTTATCTGGCACAGAAAAGGACAAGGGACATGTTGGCGTTGGAAAATCATGCCTCTGTAATCGTTTTATGCGATCTCTTAGCGATGATTACAGTGTGGATCATATTTCCGTTCTCTCTCAGGTAAATATTGAATTCTTGTTTATTTTAAATTAGTCGGAAAAGTCTCGGTGAAAAACTTCACTTAGTTATTCTCTTTTATAAATTTTTATTTTAACGATCACAAATTATTAATTGCGCAGTAAAAGCACGATTAATTAGAAGATTTTTAATCTGAAAGGGATTTTATCTTATTTATTTAAAAAAAATATTTTTTTTAAAAGACATTACATTTTGAGTTTATTAATTGAGAATTGTATCATTTTTCTATTGTATTGAATTGAATTTGTACCACTTTTAAAAATTAAATCATATTCTGTTTGAATTCACTTCTTTTTTGCTTTAAATTAATATTATAATAAAATTACAATTTGTGAATATTTTGCAATATTGAAAATAATTTCCGAAACCATGATTAAATTGACATAGCGTATTCAAATAAAGGTATGTAAATGCAATAATTAAATAAATTCAATAATTTATTCTGCTTATTAATGCAGTGAGAAGAATATTTAACATTGAAAATAAAGCACTTTGTTGGTAATTTTACACAAAAGGCTTTTTGTTGTCTGGATAATTTTAGTTGAAATAAAATTAGCTTTTGTTTCCTCAACATTCTTTTTTTTTTTTTTGCAAAAATAAAATACGTTTCAAGTTTTTAATTGCCTAAAATTGTGTATTCTTTTCTACTCTTTTGCTTTCTTTTTTCTTAACTTGTCGCGTTTAAAATTTCACCTCGTTTTAAGTGGTCATATTTTTTTTTATTCTCTTCAGAAGTTGGAAAAATGATCAATTTTGTGAATTTAATTTAATTTATATATTCGATTTGAATTTAAATTTAGAAAAGTTATTTTCTTCATTGAAAATGATTTTATTTTTATTTTAGTCGGATTTTAGCGGTCGAGTGGTGAACAATGATCATTTTCTCTATTGGGGTGAAGTTTACAAAACAGCCGAGGATGGTTTGGAATATCAATTTCAAGTTATAGAACACACAGAATTTATAGACGATGCATCATTTCAACCTTTCAAAGGCGGTAAAATGGAGCCATACGCAAAACGTTGTTCAGGAACAAAAATAACAAGCGCTGAAAAGCTGATGTACATTTGTAAGAATCAGCTTGGTATTGAAAAAGAATATGAGCAAAAAGTTTTGCCCGATGGCAAATTAAATATCGATGGTTTTTTATGCGTCTTTGATGTGAGCGTTGTGCCTAATCGTCCGATAGAAAAGCAAATTGAGATTGTTGCCAATGTTCTAAATAATTTAGTGAAAACAAAAAAGCCCGTTGTTTTGGTGACAACAAAAAATGATGATGCAAATGAACAATATGTGAAGGAGGCGGAGAAGCTTATTTTACGTAAAGAGTACAAAAATTCAATAGCCTTCGTTGAAACATCGGCGCATGAAAATATTAATATTGATTTAGCATTTATGATTTTGGCGCAATTAATCGATAGAACTAAAATTCGTAGTAAAATAATACCATTTAGTGAGGCGGCAAGAGGACGAAAGGAATTATTAGATGCATCAACTGAATCATTGCAGAGGCTTATTCGACTTCATGTCTCTGATTATCGTGCTCTTTGGTCGCAGGCTTCGAAAAAATTGGCACAGCACAAAGAATATATGACATTTGTTGAGCATTTTGGCATTGACGCGACACAAAGATTATTCAGAAGGCATATTAAAAAATTGAAGGACGAACAGGTCGCTAAAAAAGTTCAAGGCTATCTCGATATGCTTCCTGATATTCTCCATGAAATTTGTCCCGATATTTCTAATTTGATCAATGAGTACGTATCAAAATTCGATAAATTAAAAATTATCGATAAAATAAATTAATTTCCTCTAAAGACTGAAATTTAATATTATTTTTATCATTTTACCTTTTTTTATATATTTTTATGTTTATAATAATAATAATAATAATTATTATTATTATTATTACATATTACTTATTATTTTAATTTTTATTGTATTGTTTATTTTTCAACAGAGAGTGGTCAATCATTCAGCAATATATAAAAGAACATCCAGACTTTCATCAATACTTTTATGAATGCCCTGAAGATATATCCTGGATTGATTATGACTTTGGTGAAAATAATACATCGAAAATTCCATACGACGTATTGGAAACGTCAGAGGCTGAAACTGTTTTTAAGAATCATATAAATGCTTTACAACAGGAGCAACGGAGACTTGAGTAAGATTAGAAATTTTAATGAATTTTTTTTTTCTAAATTCTTAATATCTTATTCTAGAAATAGGTTTTAGATTTTAGAATAGTTTCCGGCTCGATACCTAATTGTATCTTGCACCAAAAAATAAAGAAAAAAAAATGAATTAACTAATTTTTTTTTAATTTAAGATTATAGCCTGTGATATTTATATCGTAGTGTACTAATGCTTTGCTTTATTCTGGGTGGCGTTTCTTTTTGCAGACTTCCAAAAAGGTAATTCTACACGCTATATTACTGCTAAATTTTACTTATCATAGTTTTCACACGCTGGGCATTAATTTTTCTGGCAGCAGAAAGTAGCATAGTTAATAGCAACCTATTTATCTCGCGCCATTCGCTAGTAGCTTATAAAGATGTTGGCGAAATTTTTCATTTTTAGAAAAATTGTTTTTATAGAATTATAGATATTTTTGAACTTTTCAAGTATAAATTAGATTAGAATTAAATTTTTCATTTTAACTTAAATAAAATAAAATAAAATAATCGAGAAAAAATGAAATAATAAAAAGAAAAGTAAAATAACAAAAGGTTGAAATAAAATATGAAATAAAATATCTTAAAGATAGATAACAAATGTGTAATTTTTCCAAAATAAAATTTGTATATTTGGGTTAAATTAAAATTGATAATGAATTTGAAAAAAAAAAATTGCCAGTTTATTAGTGAAGTGGGAAATTTTTTTGATTTGGTAAAAATATATTTCTTTTCTGATTAGATACAAAAAGCAATTTAAGTTGTTACTGGAGGAAACTGGCTACGTTACACCAGGAAAACATCTTTCTGAAGTTAGAGTACTTTTCATGGGTCGAGAATGCTTTGAAGCTCTATCACATCACGACTGTCAGGAAGTTTATGATCAGCATCAGAAAGAGATTATCGAGAAAGCGAAACATAATTTTCAAGTAAGTTTTAATTATATTTCTACGCTTCATTATCTTTTTCTTCTATTTTCGAGAGTTTTTCTTTGTTTTCCGCTGTATTGAAAAATTATCTATTAATATATTCTTTTTTTCGTTTCGTTTCGTTAATCATACCAAACTGATCAGAAAATTCAATTTTCTTGTTTTTACAAGAAATTTGTTGAAATAATTTTTCCATTTATTTTTATCTATTTTCTTAGAAGAAAAAGATAATTTAATTTATAATAAATAAATAAAATATTAACAAAATTAATAAAATATGAAATAAAATAATAATTTCGATGCACAGGAAACTTTTCGTCTAATTTTGGAGAGAATTTTTTGTTTTCAATTGTAACGAATCCTTCTTTTCAGGAATTATTATTAGAACACGCCGATCTCTTTTATCATTTTAAAAGCTTAGCACCATCCGGTACTATTACTCAAGATGATATAAAAGACATAACTGACGCATTGTTAGATGACTTTAGGTAAGTTCTTAATTTTTTCAATTCTTTTAAATTCTTAAATTGTTTTATAATTGCAAAGAAGCTATTTTTATCATTATTTGAAAAAATCGTCTATTTTCTAAAGTATAGATTTAAAAAACATTTAAGGTGCTAAAATCTTTTCAAATTGATCAAAAAAAAAATCATAAACAAGAAGATTGGGTAGTTAGATTTTTAAAGAATTAAAAAATAAAAATTATCAAATTAAAAAATGAAATAATTTTTTATATTTATAGAAAGAGTAATTTTCTGAATTTTTTGTTTGATTACTTTTATTAAATGAATGAAATGAATTAAATGAAATTGAATTAAGAGTAAAATAAATTATTTCCAGATATAAGGCTTTAGATAGATTGGATCAAGATAGAAAGCTGATGCTTTTTCAGCATTTAGGATTTGTACATTGTCCTATCAGGGAACATTGTCCCGCGTTTCCAAATTGTATGGACGCTCTTATTGAGCGAATACTTGGAACAAAGGCGCACAGGTAAAGAAATAATTGTTTGCTTATTGAGAATTAATTTTCTCGAAAATTAATTAATTGTTAAATTAAACTATTTGTTAATTGTTAAAATTAATTAATTTGTGAATCAATTAATTTGTGTTTTTTTTGTGAATTACTATTGTAGACCGTCTTCCTGGAACCATAGTAGTCAGTGGCAATTAACGTCCGATAATAATCAGCTAAATTTAGTAATTCTTGGTAGTAATGGGCTTAGCGAGGAATTTGCTTGTGAAATTAGAGCGCAGACAGAAGACGATGAGGTGGAAATTGATTGTCAGATGTATACTCTCGGCTATAGAGTTATCGATGGAGATGTTGGATTACCGCATAATTCATTTACAACATCGGATTTTATGCCACATGGTAGGAATTGTTTAATAATTTTCTTATTAACTTTGGAGAATGAAAAATAATATTTAATGCGCTCGTTAATATTTTTTATTTTCTTGAATATGTTTTGTGACTAAGAACGAAGATGATAATATTCATCAAATTTTTTCTTGTCTCCTTTGTTCTTGTTATTAAAATAACAAACTTTTTTCTTTTCGTTTCAAATTATTATTAGAATAAAAATAAAAGTAGAATAAAAATAAATGTAGAATAAAAATAAAAGTAGAATAGAAATAAACGTAAAATAAAAATAGAAGTAAAATAAAAATAAAATGAAATAAATGAAAAATGACTGTTAAAAATAAATTTTTTTGCTACTTTCTTCTTGCAGGATCATTTTGCATTTACTCGAACGAGGATTCATTCGAGTATATTCGTTCGTCTTTGGAAAAAACTCTTCTATCGAATTTGGAACAGGAAGATCGGCTACCATTTCAAGGATTGCCGATTGTAATTATGTTCGTGCCTGATCAATGTATTGATGAAATGGAAGCATCACGGTTACGAGTTGAAGGTCAAAATTTAGCTGACAGTTTACAATGTCCGTTTATTGATGTTTGCATTGACGATTTGGAGCAAAACAAACGATTTCCAAGTTCGTTGGTAAAGGAAGCTCTACAGCAACTTGTGCAGTCAATAAATCATCGCGCCGGTTTTATAAACATTTATCAGAGTGTGATTGAATGTCTGGAACCTGATATTAGGCAAGTTTTAATTATTTCATACTGTTTTTCTATTGAAAAATATTTCTCTAAACTTACTTTTCATTTGTTCAGACAATTGTTGAAAAAATGACTTAAGTAGAACAATTTTTCAATTGACAACTTTTCTTTCTTAAAAGATTGAGTAAAAAATTTATTTAAATTTAAAAGTAGTTTTCAAATATTTATTTTTGTAAATTTATTTTAAAAATATAATTATACAATATTTTTAGTTGTTGTTTTGATAATTGGAAATGTTTTTTGATATTCGATGTGAGATATTTGTTATTTATATATTTTTATATTTGTTGTTTCAGAATTATAATGTGTATGTTTTGCGGTGATCCCTATTCCGTCGAGAATGTTCTTGGCCCTTTGCTAAGTCATCAGTGTTGTTTTTTAAGTGGTGAGAGATCGATTGTACTGGAAACCTTCTTAGGTGAATCAAAACGACGAGTCGAAGTGATTATATCAAGTTTTCATGGCGCAAACGCTTTTCGAGATGAACTTGTTCATGGTTTTATATTAGTCTACTCTACTAAAAGAAAAGCCTCTCTCGCAACTTTAAAGTGAGTAAATTATTGACAAATTAAATTATCAATCAACATTTGCTTTGCAGTATAAGAACACATTTTTTTAAGTTCTTGAAATGTTTAAATTAAATTATTAAATAAACAATTACATAATTTTAAATTGTTAAATTAATCATTAAATTTAAATTGCTAAATTGATAATTAAATTTAGATTATTACATGAATAATTAAATTGAAATTATTAAATTAATAATTTAAAATTTTAAGGTAAATATTAATAAAAATTCAATTATAATTGTAAAATTTAGTTCACGAAACCTTTTTTTTACTTGAATCAAATTTGTTTGATTACAGTGCGTTTTCTATGAATATTCCAAATTTGCCAATACAAATAATGGCTGTAACGGAAAGTGGAGGAGCCAATGCGTTCTTCAGCAATGATTTGAGTCATTTACTCATCACGGAGGGCAATGCGACTGCGGATAGGCTTCAGGCTCATTTCATGACATCTTCATCCAGTTGTCAACAAAAAAGTACGTAGAAAATGTCAATCGATAGTAAATTAAATATAAAAATAAAATACTGCTTTTATTTTGATTAATTAAAATTAATTAAATTGTAATTAAAATTACAAAAAAAAGTAATATTATAAAAATAAAAAAAAGTACGTAGAAAAAGTGAATCGATAGTTCGTTATTAATTAAAAAATTAAATTCTGGCATCATTATGTTAATCGATTAATTATGAATTTTTTAATAATTTATTTTACTTTCTTCTTACAATCAGAAGAATTTTAATTTCTTCTCTCTACTGAGTTAATTATTTTTGCAGCTGCTTTCTACACGCCATTCTTCAAGGAAGTTTGGGAGAAGAAGCCGGAAATCGAGCAAGCATTTAATATGGAGGAGCCGGGTAATTTGAATGACAGTGGAGAAGGAACACTGGAATATTCAGCACTTCATCCAATGCCACCACCTCGTCATGAGAGTTATCATCTTCAAACACCTGACGATGGGTAAGTTTTCTAGGAAAAATTTTGTTTTTCCATCAAAAATTGTTGTTTATAAAACAATATAATTAATTGAATTAAAAATCTAACTCGAAATAGTATGTCTGTCACTTTTAGAAGTGGTTCCGAGTCTTACGAGCAATTAACACCTGATGGCGAACTCGGCGACACTGGTTTGAATGAGCATTTTTGTCACAATCGTGCGACGCCCAGTGATGATAGCGATATCTACAGTCAGGTAGATTTTCATCGCGAGGAAAGGGAACGAGAAATGCACAAGGCTAATAAATTACCAGGTAATCAAATTTAGAAATTTAAATATTAGTTTTAATTTTCATAAGCAGGGTTGCCCCAGGTCAGGAAAATTAGGGAATTTAGGGAAAAGTCAGGGATCTTTATTAAAAGTACTGGAAAAAATTGAATTTTTAGAATTCATAAGAAAATTCTGAATTTTTGGTGTTTTTTTTTGTTTCTATTTCTGACAAGAATGAATTTTTTAATATTATTTAATCATTACAAAAGTTTTAACGCAATTATCTTAATAAATAACAAAATTCTTCACAGAAAATCAATAATTTTTAGGAATTTTAATAAAATTCTTTATAAAATTCAATTATTTTCATAAATAACAAAATTCATCCCAAGAATTCAATTATTTTCAAAAGTAATAAAATTCTTCGAAGAAATTCAATTATTTTTAAAAATTTTCACGAATATCTCGTCAAGAATTCAATTATTTTCAAAAATTTAAATAAAAATCTTTGCAAAATTTCAACTATTTTCAAAAGTTGTTAGTTTGCAATTCAATCATTTTCAATATTTACTATTCTCATAAAATTTATCAAAAGATTTAATTATTGAAAAAAATTGTTGATACAATTCTACAAAAACATTCAATTATTTTCATAAATAATAAAATTTCATTTAGCAATTCAATTATTTTCATCGCAGAATTTCAAATATTTTTAATACAATTTTAAATAAGTTCCTTAAAAAATACAATATTTATTAAAAATTTTATTAAAACTTGAGAAAAGAATTCAATTTTAAGAAACATTCAATTATTCAATAAAACAATAAAATTCGTTGCAATAATTCAAGTACTTTCATAAATAACATTTAATTCGTCGCAGAAAATCAATTATTTTCAAAATGTTTTAAGTAATTCTGCAAAAGAATTCAATTAGCTTGATAAAAAACAAAATTCTTCCCATAAAATCAATAATTCTAAAGAATTTTAATAACATTCTTTTCCAAAATTCAATTATTTTGATAAATATCAAAATTCATCACAAGAATTCAATTATTTTGAAAAGTATGTGATAAATTACTTTGCAAAAATTAAATTATTTTAAAAATTTTTTAAAAATTTTTGTCAAGAATTAAATTATTTTTATAAATAGATAGCGAAATTCTTCTTAAGAATTAAATTATTGTCAAAAATTTTAATAAAATTCTTGGCAAAATTCCAATTATTTAAACAAACATTAATAAAATTCTTCGCATGAATTCAATTGTTTTCAATAATTATTATTTAAATTCTTTTCATAAATTTAATTATTTTTAAAAATTTAATAAAATTTTTCAAAAAGTTTTCAATTATTTTCAAAAAAATTTCATGAAAGAATTCAATTTTTAAAAAATTTTGAATAATATTTTTCAAAAAATTCAATTATTTTCTAAAATTTCATTAAATCCTTCGAAACAATTCAATTATATTTATAAATAATAATATTCCTTGCAAAAATGCAATTATATTCAAAACAATTTCACGAAAGAATTCAATTTTTATCTTCATTTGTCATAAAAAATTTCAATAAAATTCAAATATTTTCTAAAATTTTAATAAATTTTTTGCAAAAATTCAATTGTTTTTAATACAATTTTAATAACATTTCATGAAAAAATTCAATTTTTAGTAATATATTTCGAAAAAATTCAATTATTTTCTAAAGTTTTAATAAATCCTTCGAAACAATTTCAATTATATTATTATAAATAGTAAAATTCTTTACAAAAATTCGATTATTTTCAAAAAAATTTCACGAAAGAATTCAATTTTTTTTAATTCGTTATAAAATTTTTCAAGAGAATTAAATTATTGTCAAAAATTTTAATAAAATTTTTAAAAAGTTTTCAATTATTTTCAAAAATTGTTATAAAATTCTTTAATATAATAAATTTCATTGAAATTTTAATTAAATTCCTTAAAAGAAATTAGGTAAATATTTTTAAAAGTTGTTAATATAATTCTTCGCAAAAATTAAATTTTAAGAAACATTCGATTATTGAATAAATTCTTTATTTTTTTATTTAAATAATTGAATTCTCGTAGAATTTTTTACTAAAAATTGATTTAAAAATGAATTTTTGTTAAAATTTTAGATAATTGAATATTTATCACCTGTTTATATATCTAAATAAATAATATTAAAAGCATTACATCATGTAGTTTTAGAAATAATTGAATTTTGAAAAGGTTTTAAATCCAAATCATTGAAAATTTGAATTTTTCCTAGTTTTAACTAACAATTCTGTAGAATTATTTTTTTTGAAAAAGTTTAAATAAATAATGAAGTAATTGATTTAAAGAAGAATTTTATTTGAAAATTGTAGAAAATGGTAATTGAATTGAAATTATGAAAATAATTTTGAAGAAATTACAGTAACAATATTCTTATAATAATAAAATAATGATTTTGTCACTCGGTCATCTTTAATTATTATAAAACATAAAGAAATGGAGTCGAAGACTTGGAGTGATCGATTTCTTTATGTTTTATATTTTCCCTGATACAATAAAAAGATCGATATTTTTTCGCGAAACAGGAAAAAATCAATTTTTAAAGGATTTGGATTAAAAAAAAGTCTCTAAAAAAAGACTTTTGTTTCTCTATTTAACTCGAATATAAATAAAAGAAGTAGAATAAAATCACAAAAAATGAACTCCAGGGACATAAATTTTAATTGAAGGTGATTAATAAGAGGACAAAAAAACATATGATTATACAAAATGTTACAATTTTTTTTTAGGTTGGGTGAAGGAGACTTTCATGAATCAGGACAGCGTCTCGAATAGCTATTCTCACAGGGCATTTACAACAGGACGTCGTCATATATCGCAAACGAAGCCGCGTCCAAAAGGGAATAGCCAAACGCTTAAGCAACCGGGAAAGATAAATTTAAAGGATTTTTCAAATGTGACAGACGCGATTGCCCGTATGACCATTGGCGAGAAAGATGAGCACGGTTCGAAAATGTTGGGTCACGCGCCACTTGCAACTCCCGAGTTGGTTGATCTCGGTTCAGAATACGCTCAGGTCAAGGACGTTGTTCCAAATTTATACTCATACGATGGAGATTACATGTATACACTTGTACACGATTCTATTGGAAATAATAAATCCAAAATGAGATATAGGCGAAAAAAGGGCCTACCATGTAAGTTGGCATTTTTTTTTCTTTTTCTGAAGTAAAAAATTGAAAAAGAAATTATTCTTTTCTTGATTTTCTTTTTACTTCCTCATAGAGGAAGGCTTGTATTTTTTCTGAATTTTTATAATCATTTTCGTCTCTCTTTTTTGCAGCTTACAGTGATTCAGATTCAGAATGGAGTTCATTGGAGACATTGGCTGATTATGTTGGTTCAGCGAATAAAAAAGCATCGGCTCATAAAAGAATACGCAAAAAGCGAACTGCAATTCCAGTTGCAACACCAAAAGTTCCATCTTTAACTAGCATGAAAAGTGGAGAAGGTATTGTTGGTCTAAATTATACAATGAAGGACGATAAGAATTGGAGAGTTGATCCAAATGAAAGAGGTAATTTTTGTTTTTTGAAAATTGAATATACGTTTTCCCTTGTTTCTAGAGAAAATATTGATCCTATTTTACATTTTGTTTTATAAACAGTTTCCAGTGAATCTCCAGACTCTTCAGAATCGAGTGATCCAGAACATAATTCTCGATCAAGATCAAAGCAGTACTTACAAGCTGCGGCACATTTACAAAAGAGATTCGGTAATTCCATTCCACATCAACATTTAGCAGCTACTTTGCAGCATCCATTTAATTTGAAGCATATGACGCACGATATGTTTTCTACACATTGTAAGTTTATTTTGTTGTTTATCAATTTCGGTAATCTTTGAAAATAAATTTATAGTTAATATTAATTTATAAATTTAATTTTAGTTTATAAATTTTTATATTTATTAATATTTAAATGTTCTCTATTCACTTAGGATTTGAAATTTGTTTTGATATTAATTGAAAAGTTGTTTAAAAATTACAAACTAATAATTAATTATTATATAAAATATAGTTATTATTATAATAAATAATTATTATTAATTAGTAATTGTTAATAGCGAATAATTATTAACTGATATTAATTAATAAGTAATAACTAATGATTAATAATTAATAAATAATCACTATATAAATTAGATTAATTAAATTAATTTAATCGAATTAAAAATTAAAAAATAATTGCTTAATTATTTATCTTTTAAAATCGAATGATCGTAAGATAATCTTTTTTCTTTCAGCCAAGCATAGAGGTGATAATAGTTTCGGAAACATGCCTGATGATGAGTCCAGTATTGATGTTTCCTCACCAAGGGAAATTAACTCTCCTAGTGTGAGTGAACTTTTCAATATTTTATAAATTTATTTTTTGTCTTTGTTACGGAAAATAACTTTTCCGTTCTTCAATAATTTTATTATTTAGATTTCCGTTTTCGCTTCTTTTATATTTACATACTTTTTATAATGCTCTATTTTTAATTATTATTTCCTTCCTTTTCTTAATTTAAATTTTTTTCTTCTTAATTAGCTTACTTTTTTCGTAATAAAAATTAATTTTTACAAATTTGAAATTTTTATTTTATTTAATTTAATTAATAATTATTTAATTTATAATTTTATTTTATTTAATTTATAAATTCATTTTTAATGATTTTGTTGACTAAAAGAATTTAAATAATAGTTAAAATAAACTTGGATAATTTTTTTACTTGGTCTTTTTATTTTAGAATATTGAGACTTTTTTTATTATTGGTATAGATGAATTATTTAATTAATTTTCTTTTCTCTGTAATTTATAGTTTGGTATTCTTACTAAGGGCAAGGACGGTGATAAATTAACAAGAAAAAGAGATAAGCAGAAGGCGAAGGAGGATGAAAAAATGGAGAAACGTCGATTGAAGGAGGAGAAATTAAAGAAACACGCGGAGAAAGAAAGAGAACGAGAGAAGAAGAAGCAGGAAAAAATGAAGCAGACAAAAAGCAATACTGCGATAACAATGTCAAGCCAAATGCAACAGCAGCCATTAATTGAAGACTTTGCTCAAAGTGAAACCAATCGAATACCTCTTTTTCTTGAAAAATGTGTACGCTTTATTGAGGACGAGGGACTCGATTCCGAGGGAATTTATAGAGTACCTGGAAATCGAGCACACGTTGATCTTCTCTTTCAAAAGTTTGAGGAAGGTAAGTGGCACACGTGACAAGGATTTTTAATTAAAAAAAATAATATTTCTAAAGTAATTTTTATTTTAAAACATTTTTATTTCGAAGTATTTTTTATTTTGTAGTATTTTTACTTTAAAGTATTTTTAACTTTGAATTAATTTTTACTTTGATTTATATTTTATTTTGAAGTATTTTTTATTCTAAAGAAGTTTTTATTGTCTTCAAGTATTTTTTGTTTTAAAGTATTTCTTACTTTAAAGTATTTTTTATTCTAAAGAAGTTTTCATTGTCTTCAAATATTTTTTGTTTTAAAGTTTTTTTTATTTTGAAGTATTTTTTACTTTAAAGTATTTTTTATTCTCAAGAAGTTTTTATTGTTTTAAAGTATTTTTTAATTTGAAGTATTCTTTACTTTGAAGTATTTTTTACTTTAAAATTATTTTTTATTTTGAAGTATTTTTTATTCTAAAGAAGTTTTTATTATCTTCAAGTATTTTTTGCTTTAAAGTACTTTTTATTTTAAAGTATTTTTTACTTTAAATTATTTTTTATTCTAAAGAAGTTTTTATTGTTTTCAAGAATTTTTTGTTTTGTAGTATTTTTTAATTTGAAGTATTCTTTACTTTGAAGTACTTTTTACTTTGAATTATTTTATATTCTGAAGTACTTTTTACTTTGAATTATTTTATATTCTAAAGTATTTTTTACTTTAAATTATTTTGAAGTATTTTTTATTCTAAAGAAGTTTCTATTGTTTTCACGTATTTTTTATCTTGAAGTATTTTTTACTTTGAAGTATTTTTTACTTTAAACTATTTTTTATTCTAAAGTAGTTTTTATTGCCTTCAAGTATTTTTTGTTTTAAAGTATTTTTAATTGTCTTCAAGTATTTTTTGTTTCAAAGTATTTTTTATTATTGAAATTATGTACAAAAAAATATTTTATATTGTAAAATTAGATAAAAAATACGTTTTTACTTTCAGTAAAAAAAATAGAAAATTAGGTATTGTAGAAAGTTTTAATTTTTCGTTTATAATATAATTTGTCAAAAAGTGAAATTTAATTATTAATTTTATTAAAGACGTTAACGTCGACATACATTCTCTGGACATTCCTGTAAATGCCGTTGCGACGGCTCTAAAAGATTTCTTCTCAAAGAGATTACCGCCTCTTATCGATAAAGAACGCATGGCCCAATTGGAGGATATTTCAGGTAAAGTGCGAGACATCTAATTGAAAAGAAAATATTTTTTTCTGGAGATTTTAATTTTGATTTGTTGTTTTCTTGCAGGCGCGCGTGGAATTAGCACTTCAACTTCATCAACTTGCATGAATATGGAAGGTAATTTGAAAGAAACTTTAATATTTATTAAATTTATTTATTTACCTATTTATCTAAATTATAAAGAAAATTAAAGAAATTTAATTACTTGAAATTAAAGAAAAACATTTTTTTTTGACTAATATTATGGAAACTTGAATATTAATTTTAATTTATGCCATTACAGATAGAAGTTGTAGACTGTTAGCTCTGCGACAGATGCTGAGTAAATTAAATCCAGTCAACTTTGATGTTCTCAAATTTATTTTTCAACATTTTGTAAAGTGAGTGTCTTTAGAAATTTAATTTTAGTGAATTTTTTGTGGGTATTTTGAAACTTTTTATTTTTTTTGTCTTAATCGAGATAATTAATTTGAAAAAAGCAAATTTTATTTTATTAATTAAAAAAACAGGTTTAATTTTTTTTTATTCAAATATTTAAATTAATTTAAATGAATAGAAGAAAAAATATTAAAATAAAAACTTTTTCAAGAACTCCATTAGAATAAACAAGACTTTTTTCTTTAGAGAAATCTTATTTTATTTTATTATTCGATTTTTTAAGAGTTTGAAAATTGATGTTATTATTAAAAATGGATTTTTTTTTGTTTCTGAGATTTTTGGAACTCATAATGATTTTTATTTCTTTTTCGCAGAGTGGCTGAAAATTGCAAGCTAAATAGTATGGATAGCAAAAATTTGGCAATCTGCTGGTGGCCTACGCTTTTACCAATTGAATTCAACGATTTGGGCAGATTTGAAGCAATGAGGCCGTACTTGGAAGACGTTGTGCAGACAATGATAGACCAATATCCTTTTCTATTCTGCGGCAAGGAAGCCATTGTAATGGTCTAGTGAAATGAAGAAGCGCCAAGACAAAGGTACCGACCATTTGAGCAAAAAAAAATGCTTTCTCTTTGTATAGTAAGGCACAATTGTTGTATAATTTTCTTCCCCATATTCAATGCTCAATATTCAAGTGAGCAAAAGTCAGCTTTGAATCTCTTCGAATCTATGTCACAAAAAAAAAAAAAAATGAAAATAACTTGAACAATATTACGCATAATAGTTGGTCTCATCTTAGTTTGTAATAGGGATATTTTTTTTAATTAGTTTAGCAATTAAAATGATAAACGCGAAATGAAGAAACTTTTTTTTACTTTCAGGGTCCTTTCTTTTTAAGTTTAATTGTGACTATATAATTAATCCGATTCCTGATAAGCCGAATTTTCAAATTGACAATTGACGATTTATCAAAAGTCGTTTAATGTGTCATTATTAATAGTATGCATGAGTCATGTTGGATGTATGGAAGACATTGTATTTATTAGCATGTGTTAGAGTCGTTAAATATCGATATTGTCGATAATAGCGATTAAATGGTACGAAACGTACTCGATGTTGCTCTTTACGTTTAAATGCTTTTTGTTTATTATTATTTTTCCAATTTTCAATTCTTGCACAGGCCTCAACGCACAAGTTATTGATGATCACTCTTTTCTCAGGAATACAATTACAAAAAAAAGAAAAAAAAACAAAAGAGAAAAAAAAGATTAGATTAAAACTCGCCTATTCCCATAGTTATTTTTTTAAGGCAATTTATTTTTCAAATGAAACATCAACAAAGAAAAAATTCACAATTGACCCTCATTTACATTCAATAATAATTACCTGAAAGATATTTTTATTATTGAAAACATCTCATTTACTCGCATTTTTAGGTCAAAGAGAAAAATTAATACGAAAAATAGTAAATATTTTTATTTTTTTCTTTAGTTCGCGTTGCAATTTTGAAATGTGCTTCAGTAAGACTAGAAAACAAGTGTCATCTATTTAGATGTGCCATAAATTTATGGAACTTGATGTTAAGATGATGATGATGATGATGATAGTGGTACATTTCAGCGATTCAACATCTAAAATCATTGGTCGATGCGACGAATGTTACTTTCAATATGTGATAACATTTTTAAATATAAATAAATAAAAAATATATATAAATATATATTATATATTATTAAAATACAGAGAAACTAATTGAATGCTGTGTAAAGACGTTATGAACTTCGATATCAGTACAAGTTTAAATATAACAAAAGAAAAACTCAAATCAGATCAAGTGAGGTCTTTTATTTAGTTTTTTTTTAATTATTAAAATCTCAAATGCTTTTTAGTCGAGATGCTTTCGGATGTTGCGATTGCTGCAGTATTTAAATCTCGTGTGATGGCAAAGGAATTTGGAATTTCAATGTTTTCTATAAAGAAATAAAAAAAAATGTGTTTTTCAGTTTCAAGGCATATGAATTTGATGTTTTGAGATCTTTCGAATACTACGATATCATGCTAATAAGAATAGCAATAATAATTATAATAATAATAAAAATAATAATAATTATAATAATAATTATAATAATAAAATAATAATAATATTAATAATAATAATAATAATAATAATAATAATCAAACAAATCAAATACAACGCCTTCTAACGTGAAAAAAAGCGTGCGTGTTGTCGTATTTATAAAGGGAAACAGAAAAAAAACCAAGCGTTTTGAATATAGTGATATAATGCGTGAATGTAATTGTTAAGCTTCGGTTAGAAATTGATAAACAGATTGTTCATTCACTTTTGATCGTACCAAAACTTTTTGTACATTCATATGAACATATTTGTAGTATAACTTTTTGCAAATGACCACGAATCTTGCCTTGATCGTATCTTCGTTGAATTATATTTGAAAAGCGCTTTTTAATACTTTTTTTTATCCATTATATTCATTATAATTAATATCAATTTTATAATTTGAATTTTCCCAGAATTTTTTAATTAATACAAATTAATTTTTTATATATTCACTTTCGATTCTATTGAATTGAATTTTAATAATTTCGAGGGGTTTTTTTTTTTTTTTGGAAAATATCCTTAATGAGTAAATTCGTTTTAATATTTATTGATTACAAAAGAAAATTTGAATTTCTGGAAAATTTCAAAACATTGAATTGCAAAATAAAAAAAAACAGATAATTTATAACGTTTTTTGGAAATTTTCAGAAATCAGAAATTCTTTAAATAATTTTGTCGAATATTCAAAAAATTATTTAAAATTAAATATTCAAATAATTTTTCAATTTTTTAATAATTTTTGAATAAAATTAAAAAATTCTCAATATTAGTGAGCAAAATTCATGTTATAATTGAGAATCAAAAAAAATTTAATTCAACGAAGAAACGATTAATAGAGGCAAATTTTTACTCAAATATTTGACGTTGAAAAAGAAAAAAAATGGTACAAATAATGAGCTGATTCTTTTTACAATGGAATTTTTTAAAAGAATGATCAAAAAAAGATTTTTTCACGAATCAGTCTTTCATTAATTGTACCTTAAAATCTAAAATAAAAAGCCTAAAAAAAGAAAGAAAGGAGAATCATTAATAGAGTACGTCCGTAAAAGAAAAATGTTTCTCCTCTTTAAGGTGCGAGAGACAAGAAAATATCTTGGATCGATCATAAGTCCTCTTTTTATAAAACGGTTTGCCTAAGAAAAAAAAGAACGAAAGGCCTCTATCACTAAAACCGACATAGAGATTTTTTTTTAATTATTAAAAAATTAGATTTTACGTCTAAAAAGTAAATTTTAACAAAATGAAAAGTTTTTAATTAAATACGAAAATTAACTTTTTCGTGAATGGAAACAACAAAAATCCAAAGTTCTTTAAATTATTTTAATCTATGCAAACAACTGGCAAAAATGTCAAGAGATGGTCAATAGAGATAGAGACTAGAAATGAGAAATATTTCAATATTTTGTTGTTCAATTTTTTATTTTCATCAAAATCAAAAATGAAAGAAGTGGAAATTTTTCTTTTTCAATATTTTCTGAATTAAATATTGAAACTAAATTAATTAAAAAGAGTTTCTTCTATATTGTTGAAATTAATTAAATTCAACAATATAGAGGAAAGTTTCCAAGAAATATTTAATTTAATGAAATTTATTTAATTGAATATTTCATTCAGTTAAATTTATTTAATTAAATATTTCATTCAATTAAATTTATTTAATTAAATATTTCATTCAGTTAAATTTATTTAATTAAATATTTAAATTCAATTAAATTTATTTAAATAAATTTTTTCGAAATAAGTAAAAAGATTGTTTGAAAAAATTGTTTGTTAAAAAAGATTTTTAAGTATTGAAATATTTCTCATTATATAAGGGGGGGAATTGTCTTTATAAGATTTAATCCTTTTTAAAATGTCAGAGGAAAGGCGAGAGATGGTAACAAGAAGAAAAAAACATCAAAAAAAATGAATATCGATGTAAAATTGAAGATATGTGCAGTATTAGGGCTTCTTAGATAGTCTTAAGGCATTTACGTATATGTATAAATATTATAATTATACGAAACATGTATAATTATTTATAAATATTATATATAATTCTAATATATAATATTTATACATCCAACATGGCATGTTCTGTGACACCTATATAAAATTATGTCAAAAAAAAAGAAGAAAAAAAAACAAAAACAAACGAGTGTCGTTCCAAAGAGCCTGCAACTTGTAATAAATTAATGCGAGTTGTGAGAAATCGCTAATTTGCATTCGCGTTTTCCCTCCTACGAAATTTGGAGAGTCAACGAGAATGCGGCCTAGGGGCGCAAGGAAAGTTAATAAAAAAAAAACAGAAAAAAAAATTGTGAGCAAGATTGAGAGATATAGACGAGAATAAAGAGAGTGAGAGACATGCGAGAGCGAGGAACAAAAAATTCCTAAACATTTTCCAACTCGAGTAATTGAAATTTTAGATTTTTTTTTCTTTTAGTATTTTATTTTTTTTTAGCTGGAAAATTTATGGGAAAAAAGTGAAGAAAATTTTATTGATCAGATTTACGTATTTTTGTTTTTTAATTTTTATCTTTTATCTCAATTTTTATTTTTTATACATTTTAATTTATGTTGAGCGTAATTTTTTGCGTTTATTTATATTTTTTATTAATTCTATTTTCTATTATGAAAATTAATATTTTAGCGAAAATTAATATTAATAAATAAAATATTTATTAATATTGTATTGGAGTAACAGAATTAAAAGAAAAGGAATTTTTTTTTTTGATGAAAAATTTCTTGATCTCGCAAGTCTTTCTAATTGTACTTGTATCAATGCTTTTTAATGTGTATATATTGTTGCTTGCGTTCGGCCACTGTGTATATTGGGCTGCGGATATTAAAAAAAAAACAAAAACAAAATAAAAATAATAACGATAATACTGGATATGTGGAATGATTGTTGCGATGAGTGTCTGTGAAAAGAGAAAGCAAGGATAGAGGAAAGAAAAGAAAAAAAACGAATAAGAAAGAAAGATACCAAGAAAAGAGACAAGTATAAGAAAAAAAATGTAAACTCTTGCTAAATTTGCCTGATTGTCGGCGTTAATAGATTTTGTGAAACATAATGCTTGAACGAATATCCGTATCTAGTTCCGACCTACGAATAATGTTTAAAAATTTCACTACTGTCGAATTTTCACGATTCACGCTGGAACGATGAAGAGAAATGAACATTTTAGCTAAAAGAGAACTTAAATATTTAAAAAAAAAAAATATGTGCGTATCTTATACTTTTTGACGCATTTATATTTAAAGAAAAAAAGAAAAATATGTTACGCAGCTAGATAAAGGAAAAAAGGAAGATGTGTGAGGCAAATGAAGACTTAGTATTATAGAGATTATTTCTGTCGCTACAATACTCATTAATTTAAAAAAAAAAATATCTTCACCTTTGTAAAATACTTCCTGAAAAAATCACCGGGAAGTTGATTTTTTTTTACAGAAAGTATTAATTTTTATTTATGTATCATCGTACACGAGAAAAAAGAAAATTGAACATCGATTAGTTTAATGAAAAATAAGAAATATAAATATATTGTATAATGAAATTGTTCCCTGTGAATTGTGGGTGACGTTCGACAGATTTCTATTTCACGAAAAGTTCATAACGGACTTTGTTTATCGATAAAAAAAAGAAACAAAAAAAAAAATTGTTTCAAAATCATTTATGAATTCCGTAATGACTTTTCGTGATAAAAACTTTTTTAATAGGCTAGTTTTCATCCTCGCAGAGCGATTAAAAATGAAACTGCGAATAACGCACGTATAACAAAATGGAAAAGAGTTTTCGTTGTCATCGATAAATAAAATTTTATAATATCTTGAAAGAAGAAGAAAAAAAAAGAAACTTTTTTTATTGTACCATTGATATACTCATTCATATCGAGAATTTAATGGAATGACTCGCTTTTTATAGTTAGTTGATAAATAAATTAAAAAATATATATTATATAATAGTGGATAAATGATAGTAACTTTTTACTCTTTTCCATCGCGGTATAACGAACGTTTCGCAGCAATCATGCGACCATTTTTTTCAAAGTCTATAACAGATTTTAAATCATTGACAGTGAGCCGTACAAAAAAAAAAAATTAAGAAAATAATAAACGCGAGTACGCGAAAATAGCGCCTACGATGATTTAAATGAAACGGTGAAGAAATAAATAAAAAAAAACAAACACAAAAGTATCGGTGTCCAAGAAGTATTTAAAATAAAAATCGTCTTTATGTACAATTTCAAATTTATTGTCTTGTTATTTATTTATTGTTTAATTCCCAATTTTGTTATTTCGTTTATTTTAATTTTTAGATTAGGGTAATTTATTAATTATAATAATAAATAGGTGACTTATTTTTGTCAACGTTTTTTAAAACAGTGAAACAATTTTATGTATTTTTTTACGTTTATAATATATTTATTTTTAGGTATTTAAATTAGAGGAAAATTAAATTAATTTAAAATTAGAGAAAAAATATTGTGAAAACAGTAGAAAATTATTGATTTCTTTGTTTCTCGACCTTTTGTAATTATTTTTTTATATAGTTTTATAATTAAAATATATTAAATTAAAATTAATTCAGTTTCGAGAAAATTACGTTAAAAATATTATAGTAAATTGAATATTTAATTTATTATTTTAATAATTTATTATAATAATGTTGATTCTACCACTCAGTAGTTAAATAATTAAAAATTGAAGTTAACTTCAATTTTTAATAATATTATTTATTATTAAAAGAATGGAATTTATTATCTAGTTTATTAAATTAAATTTTATTTCAATTCAAATTAATTGAATTTTGATTTCTATTTGAATTGTATTTATATTAAAAATATTTATACTAAATTATAAATATAGAGAATTATTGATTTTTTAATTAATGTAGAATTAAAAATTATTTATTGTAGAATTTACAAAGAATAATTAATAATTATAATAGTTAATAATAATTTACTGTAAATTCGAAAATGTATCAGAACGGTTTAAATATTGGCGCCTATTCAAGGGAAGTATTCACAACCAATCAGGACGCTTGTTATATTCCTGAAAAATAATGGCGGACGCTTCTGGTGTGACTAGCCAATCAGAGCGCACTTATCACTTGTAGTGCGCGGCTCAGTTCAAGATAGTTCGCCAACGTACTTTTATCAGTGTCACACCGTTAAATTTCGTACTTTTTCCTCTAAAAAAAAGGTAATTGTTTATTTATTTTCAATACATTTTGATTAAAAGTCGTAAATAATTGACTATTAGTTAATTATTTATATGATTTTGGTTAAAACAGATGCAGATGTGCGGATGTAAACAATGAAAATTCCATTCAAGAGAATACTGTCATCCCGGCTGATGTGTCTTGCGAATTGTTTGAATTTAACTCAAGGTACGTATTGTTTTGATAGATTAATATTAATTGTTACAATGGTATCAATTTTGTTACTGTTTTTTGTTTTGAATACAATTTACATATGAATATTCGTAATACGATGTGATCGATTTCCGTCATTTTCATGGTTTATTTGTAGGTTAGGTTCGGTGCGCGCTATATCGTGTGATCGTATGTGTAAAAAAATTATTGTTTTCAAATACATTTTTCTTTGGTTTTTTAATCAGTAACGTATAGGAAATAGGGGTTTGTGTTAATTTTGCATATTTATAGGTTATGGTGAAAAAAGTGTCACAATTATATATTCAATTGCGACAGTTTTTTCAAGGTGTAAATACGTGCACCTATTTAACGTGAAGTTGCAGCGCTTGTAACAATATTGTTTTTGTTTCGACAACTTTTACATAATTGTTTACTTTTTTACATTTTAGGCATCCGTTTCTTGTGGTCTTGAGTCCTGGGGAAGCATTCCTCGATTAAACGATATAAAGTAAAAATTCAGAAAAATTTTGTTTCTTATTGAATCGGATGTGCTGTCATCGCATTTCTATCACGACGAAGCGTGTATATCAATACTGGTAAGAGTATTTTCAATAATTACTTTTATACTAATTTATAAATTGATGAAAATTAATTACTTTCAAGTTATTTTCTTTACACGAAAATCATAATTTTTGCTATATATTTACAAAATATATAACCTCTAAACTGTCAGGAACTTCGGCACATTTCTGTCAACTTTTACTATTTTTAGAGTAAATTTTACTACACGTTCGAAGGAAATTTTACTTAATTGTACCAAAAATTACTTCGGAAAAAGTAACATTTACTCCGGAAATAGTTAAAATTTACAGAAACGAGCAGAAAATCCAGACTTACATAGGTTTTATTATAAAATTAGTAAAAATTACTTTTTATTTGTGCTTCCCTAATAGGTAATAATGATAATAATGAATTAGAAAACAATAATAATGTAAATAATATATAAGAGGGTAAAATAATAATAATAATAATTAATAATAAAATAGTAAAATAAATAATACATGAAAAAGTAAAATAGTGATATAAACAATATATAAAATAATTTTTTTATTTATGAAAATAATTGAATTGTTCCGAAGGATTTATTAAAATTTTTAAAAATAAATGAATTTTATGTAAATATTTGAAAATCAGTAAATTCTTTCAAGGAATTCAATTAAAGTTGTTTCGAAAATAATTGAATTTACCAGAAGAATTTTATTATTTTTTGAAAAAAATAAATTCTTTCGAGCTATTTTATTGAAATTAGATTAAAAATAATTTAATTCCTGCAAAGAATTTTAGTATTTATAAAAATAGTTAAACTGTTTCGAAGAATTTATTAAAATTTTTGGGATATAATTAAAATTCCTGCAAATATTTAAAAATATTTGATTTCTTCTGAGGAATTCAATTAAAATCTTTTTTGAAAATAATTGATTTCTTGCAAAGAATTTTACTATATTTATAAAAATAATTGAATTCTTGCGAAGAATTTTACTATTTATAAAAGTAATTGAATTGTTTTAAAGCATTTATTAAGATTTTAGAAAATAATTGAATTTATTGGAAATGTATTAAAATTTTTTTGAAAAATTGAATTGTGTAGAAGAATTTATTCAAAATTTTAGAAAATAATTGAATTCTTTTGTGAAATTTTATTAAAATTCTGTTAAAAATAATTGAATTTTTGCAAAAAATTGTGCTATTTATAAAAATAATTGAATTCTTCCGAAGAATGTTATTATTTATATAAAAATAATTGAATTTTTGCAAAGAATTTTATCATTTATTATTTATTTAAAAAATGAAATAAATTAAATAGGTATCTAATAATAAAATAAGGAAAAGAAAAAAATTGTGTAGTTTAATTGTTTAATAATTTTCTTAATTTTTTCAGTTATTTTGCAAAAAAGCAACCAGAAGGATGAAAGGATGTGAAAGGAGAAAAGCAGTTCCTGTATTCTGCGGAAGTGGCCCACCAAATTTAATATTTTTTTTTATTTTATTTTCCTGGAGGAAGCGCGATGGCACAGCATCCATCGCCCAACGTGGGAATCACCGTTCGATGAGTCTTTTCTATATTCTATTTCTTTTTTCTTGCGTTTTTCCTTCCCTGTTTAAATTAATTTTTTATTTCATTAGTCTAAATTCGATTCATTTAATTTTATCTTATTTGTTTTTATTTTCTGAAATCAAATGAATTTTTTCTTATAAAAAATATATTTTGTTGATAATTTTGTAACGAAATTCTCTTAAAAATTAAAAATTATATAGTTTCATAGATATTATTTTTAAATTTTTGAACGCGAATAATTTGCTCGATTTTCTAAACAAGTGAATATATTTCATTCGAGTAAATATTGGATTTTTCGAAACAGGGAAGGAATAATAATATAGTGACACCAGTAGTTAATGTTTTTGATAATATTATTTATTATTAGTTAGAAATTAATTAATTTCCAACTTTTCCTATAATTCAAATTTTCTCTTTTAAAACAAATTGAAACGCGGTTTTCTATATTTTTCTCCATTTTTAAGTAAATTATACTTATTATTTTAAAAGAAATTAAAAGTCGTTATTTTAGAGTAATCAACATAAATAAATCTTTGAGTAAATATATAAATAAACAATGAAGTAAATTTTCTGTTTGTGTCACTATATTATTTTTTTAAATATAAATTAGCGATATTTCGCTATCGATTATTTCATTCAACGATATCAAACTGATATTGTTTTGAGCAAAGTTATTATTAAAATAACAAAAAAAGAGTGAGTGATTTATAAAAATAGTGAATTAAAAGTGTAATATTTTCCATTGATTTTTCTGTGAATAGTGTGAATGTTTTGGAAATAGTGTAATTAGTCATGTAACTTTAGGAATTAGTTCTTTGATTTCGAATTGTAGTAAGTATTATAAATTGTATTTGTCTAAAGTAAGTAAAAATTTACATTATTTCTACTCTGTTTTTATATTTTTAATAATAAAATCCCATGTAAATTTTATTATTTTCAAGCATAGATCTTCTGCGAACATTTATCTGGAATGGAAATAATTTTCACTTTTAATGAACTTTTTGAATTCCTGCTACAAGGAGGGGTAAAATAAACGCGAGTCGTTCGTACTGCGAGAGAGGAGAAACGATTAACTTTCTGCTTCCCTGATACTTGACCGTTCATATGGGCTCATTGAAATTCATCTATAAATTTGTAGAATCCTAGATACTTCTGAAATACACATGAAGCGTAAGTAAACTAACTATTAATAATTCTAAGAACTATTAAACAGAAAAACTTAAAAAAAAATTAATAAATAAAAGTTTACAAGATTCTTGCATTTTGCAAGTTTTATAAATATAATTATTTATTTAAAAATTTGTTTAATGCCAAAAGGAGCAAATTTTAATAATTTAAACTTAAATATTCAGGGGCGTGGCTCGGGGTGGCATCTTTTGAATGAAACTTTTATCAGGATATTAGGAAAAACTGGAGCATGTTTCAATATCCTTTGAATACTGATTTTATCGTTTCTTTTTTGTCTGCAGGTCGATTTCAGGGCCGTTGGGATAATTAACCCTTGATGCCATAAGAGTGTGTGTGTGTCTTCCTACCAATACAAACAGTTGATTCCAGCATCGCCCTCCTTACAAAAGTGAGTTTTCTTTCGTAAAAAAATTTCTTATGCAAAAAAATTCTTTTTATAAACCAAAAATAATAGGGTATTTAAATTTTCGGAAAAGGAAATACAGAGGCATTTTTTTGATACTTTTGTAACGAAATTCTCTTATTTTTCGAAATAACAGAAATAATTATAGAATAAATTTACAGAAAAAAATTTATCTGATCAAAATAACTGATTATTTGCATTGAAAAATTTTTTTTATTCAAATAGCACTGAAAAAAAATGTATTTGATTCAAATAACCGATTACTAGTCTATTATCGAATAAATTAAATAAATATTTACTTGAATCAAGTAATTTTTATTTAAATCAGAATAAATGGTATTTGCTTCAAATACTGAAATTATATTGGTTCAAATTGATTCGATTTGAATAAAAATTATTTGACTCAGGTAAATATTTGTTTGATAATAGACAAGTAATTGGTTATTGGAATGAAATAAAAATTTTTTCACTGTGTCAAATAAATATTTATTTTTACCAGATAATTTTTGTTTAAATCAATTTGTATTTGAACCAATATTTTCTGTATATTTAAAGCAAATACGATTTAATTGATTTAAATAAAAATTACTCGATTTAAGTAAATATTTATTTGATGGCAGAAAATGAATCGTTTATTTAAAACAACTAAATTTTTTTTCTCTTTGTTTATTATCAAATAAATATTTACTTCAGACAAATAATTTTTATTGAAGTCAATTATAATTTGTATTTGAACCAATAAATTTAGTAATTGAAGAAAATACGATTTAATTAATTTAAATAAAAGGTATTTGATTCAAATAAATATTTATTCGATAATGGACAAATAATCAGTTATTTGAATCATACATTTTTTTAACTGCGTGTCTATTACCAAATAAATATTTAATTGAATCAAATAATTTTTATTCAAGTCAATTAAATTGTATTTGCTTCAAATACTGAAATTATTGGTTAAAAGACAAATTAATTGGCTTAAATAAAAATTATTTGGTGTAATTAATTATTTATTTGGTAATAGATACAGTTAAAAAAATTTATTTAATTCAAATAACCGATTATTTGTCTATTAACAAATAAATATTTACTTGCACCAAATAATTTTTATTTAAGCCGCAATTGATTTGTATTTGAACCGAAAATTTCATTATTTAAAGAAAATACGATTTAATTGATTTAAATAAAAATTATTCGATTCAAGTAAATATTTATTTGATAATAGACAAGTAATCGGCTATTTAAATCAAATAAATTTTTTTTCTGCGTTTAATACAGTGAGGAAATTTGTTTAATTCAAATAATCGCTAACTTGCCTATTTTTAAAAAACTACTGAAAAAATACTAAAGATCTACTAAAGAAACTAAAAATTAATATTCTTGTCACATAGTTAATTGTTAAATAATTATTTCAAAAATAATTTATTATAAATTTAATTTTTATTTATTAGATAAATAGTTGTTGGCAGTAGGAATTTATTTCCTAAATTCAAATTTGTTATTAAACCGAATTTTCGAACAATAAGAGAAGTTTGTTACAATATATCAATAATTATTAGGAATCAGGAGCATATGTTTCTACAAAGTTTCAATGATTGATTTCATTTCCGAATTGCGCAAAGTAACTCCACTTTCCAAATCGTCATTTATTTTTTCTAAATTCATTTTCTTTAATGAAATTTTATTTCTTGTGTAAAATATTCATTTTGTCATTTGTGGGAATAAAAGTAATTAAATTTCAAACTCCGAATGCTCAAAGAAAAAAGAAATTCAAGAACCTTCACTAGGTTCACTATTTGCCAATATACAAACTAAATTAATAGACAAGATCATATTAAATGAATATTTTACAAAACTACAATTTACAATGAGTGTAATATTCATGGAGTGGAATATTAACTTTAGGAAAAATAATATATACTTATACATAAGTATAATGTATATAAAATGTTAAACTCTTGTAGAATCATGTGTTTCTGATACCACTTAACCACGGCGCCGCGTGCCGACGCAGTCTACGAAGTTCTATCATCTGCGTGTGGTAAATTCGCCAGGTAATACCTGTTGCGGGTAAAAAATTAATTTGACCAAATTTTGTCCTAAATGAGAAAAAAAATAAAAAAAGAAATGGCAGCGGTGGGATTCGAACCCACGCCTCCGAAGAGACTGGTGCCTTAAACCAGCGCCTTAGACCGCTCGGCCACGCTACCTCGAAGGCAAAATTCGAAATTCTGCTACTTGAATTTATCCGAAATCTATTCTGTCTAAATTTAACAATTTGGAGAAATTATTAACAGTTTCAATTAATTTATTGACAGTATTTAACGTTTGATTATTTGATTAAAGTACCGAGGTTTTTTTTGGATTTTTTCTGCTAAACTGTTTTGTCGGTTCGTTGAAAATTATTATCCGAGGTTCTGTTCTTAGAAATCTATTTTATCAACTAGCCGTATAAATTTGAATCAGTTCAAAATTTATCTGTTTTAAATTTTAAGCCTTTTTTGAATTTATAAATTAGTTAATTAAGACACCAGTCTGGAAAAAATTTATTTGATTTAAATAATCTATTATACTTGTTTACTTCATTATTTTAATATTAGTTATTATTTTATTAGTGGAATATTGGATATTACACCCAGTAAAAAGATATATTGAACTCAGAACCAACTAGACTTTTTTATTTTGTTTCAAATAAATTTTATTTCGTTTATAAAAAAAATTTTATTTGTCCAAAAAATATGTTTTATTTATGTGGAATAAAATTTTTATTTATAAAACAAATAAATAACCTACTTGACTCTAAGACAAATATATGTTTAAATAACTGAAATAAAATATATTTGGTTTAAATAAAATTTTTCTCTGGATGTAGATTAAACATTATTATACATGGAGTTTATTACTGTTTTAAATAAAATTAAAAATTTTTAAAGTAAAAAAAATCCTTCGCAGAAATTCAATTTTGTTTAAAAATTCAATTCAATTGTTTAAAAAAAATTTAATAAAATTCTTGACAACATTTCAAATATAAAAATTCAATGATTTTCAATAACTACGATTTTAATAAAATTTTCCTAAAAAATTCAATTATTTAAACAAATTTTAATAAAATTCTACGCAAACATTTTCAAAAATAATAAAACTTCATTGCAGAATTTTAATTATTTTTAATACAATTTTAATCGAACTCCTCGAGAAAAGTAATATTATTCTTACAAATTTGATTAAAATTTGTCAAAACAGGGTTGCCACAGGTCAGGGAATTCAGGGAAAAGTAAGGAATTTTTATTAAAAGTACTGGAAATAATTAAATTTTTAGAATTCATAAGAAAATTCTGAATTTTTGTATTTTTTTTGTTTGCCTCATAAACTATAAAATTGCCAAAAAACCTTCAATATTTTCTATTTCTGACAATAATTTCTAATTAAATAATTTCATTCATAAATAGATGAACTTCAAAAGGTATTATTTTTAAATTTTATAAAATTTCAATTTTGAATGAATTTAATTAGAAATTTTACAGAACTTAGATTTTTGAAAAATTGTAATATTTCAAATTCTTCTGAAATTAGTTAAACTTTTTAATTTATGTATCTAATTAATTGTTAAAAATAATGGATTTATAAAAGAATTTCAATTAAAAACACTAAAAAAATTTTTTATTTTTGAGAAATTACAAATGATTGCAAAAATTCAATTATGTTTGAAAGTTTAAAAAAATTCTCGTCACAATTTCAATTATCTTTATAAATAATAAAATTCTTCTCCAAAATTCAATTATCTTCAAAAATAAAATTTAATTTAATAATAATTAATTTAATAAAATTCAATTATTTAAAACAAATTTTGATAGATCTCTACGAAAACATTTAATTATTTTCATAAATATTAAAAATATCACAGGAATTCAATTATTTTCATAAACTATACAATTTTTTAAAAAGATTAAATTATTTTCGTAAATAATAAAATTCTTTTTAGAAATTCAATTATTTTCATAAGAAAATTTAATTATTTAATTATTTGAAAATTTATTACTAAAATTCTTTATGAGAATTCAATTTTGTGAAACATTCAATTATTCAATAAATTATTTATTTTTGTATTTAATTGATTGTAAAATAAAGAAATAAATAAATAATTGAATTTTCGTAGAATTTTCTAATAAATATTGATTAAAAATGAATTGCAGTTAAAATTTTAAATTATAATTGAATATTAAAATTTTTACACGGATTTTTTTTTTATTTTAAAAAATAATTGAATTCTAGTAGAATTTTTTCATAAACATTGATTGAAAAATGGATTTCAGTTAAAATTTTAGATTATAATTCAATATTAAAAGCATAATTATATAGAGCGTAAATTTTTAGAAATAATTTAATTTTGAAAAGGTTTTAAATTAAAATCTTTAAAAATCTGAATTTTTCATACTTTTAACTAACAATTCTGCAGAATTACTTTTTTTGAAAAAGTTTCACTGGAGTTTTTTTTTAAAATTATTTCATGCTTTTATTTTATATATCATTAATTGAAAAATTTCCGAATAAACGGAATTTCGAATTGAAAAATTGTAAAAAATAATAATTGAATTGAATTATTGATAAAAATAATTTTGAAGAAGTTACGGTATCAATATTATTTTATAATATAAAATAATAATTTTATCACTCGGTCATGTTAAATTATTTATAAAAAATGAAGATATCGATCACTTCGAGTCTTGACTTGGAGTGATCGATTTCTTCATTTTTTTATAATAATATTCTTAAAAGTTATTAAATTTTAAAAGGTTTAAATTTGAAATTTTTGAAAATCTTAATTCTCATGGAAAAGTAATAAAGATTAAATATTTATTTAAAAAAGAAGTTATTGTTGTTTTCGAATAATTTTACAATTAAAGAAATTCGTGATTAAATGTAATTGTTGATAAAATTCGTTATGAGATTTTAATTTTAAGAGATATTCAATTATTCAATAAATTATTGATTTTTGTATTTAAATAATAGAAAAAAATCTTTGAAAATTTGAATTTTTCATATTGTTAACTAAAAATTCTGTAGAATTAATTTTTTTGAAAAAGTTTAATTGAATTTTTTTTTTTTTGAAATTATTTCGAAAAATCGAATTATTGTAAACAAGTGGATTTGAAAATTCTCAAAGAACATTTTCAAAAATTATTAAAAATTAAATATTTTATTTGAAGAACAATCTTGGTTAAATATTCCAGAAAATAATGAATGAATTAAAATGATAAAAATAATTTTGATAACTTCTTCAAAATTATTTTTATCATTTTATCATTTACCCGACTGCCGAGTATTTAACGAAAATGGAAAATATTCTTTTTAGTTGATTATTTATTGATTCATCATTTAAAGAAACGTTTTTTATTTTCGTAAGGACGTGAAATAAACTTTAAGTGCTGGTGATTTAAGTTAATTTATTTAACAGCTAAGTAATTTCCATTCTTTGTTGATCAAATTATTGCTATAACGACTAAGTCTAATATTTAGCAGAAATACCTGTTTGGAAATTTTATTTAAATTGAAAAGTATATATAACAATTGTATAGGGTTATGTGTACATTTAATTTAATAATATTAATTTACATTGCTGTTATTTACTTTACTAAAAGTAAAATAAATAAAATTTATATGTAACTACTGTCTTCCCCTTATTGATTAAATTGAAAAGCTTATTTTTAAGAATTATTAGGAGTTATATTTAAAGTTTTTTATCAATTTATTTTCCTTTTGGTGTTAGAAAATTTTCTTTCCTCTTTCGGTAATGTTAACGTTGGGAACAGTCCTTTTATTAAAATTGACCTACATTTACAGAATTTATTAGATGTGTAATTAATAAATTTCAATAATTAACATTAATCACAATAAGGGTTAAAGGCAGTTAATTATAAGCATTTCTGTTTCTATTTTATTTTTATTCTCTTAATTATTTTTTACCTATTTACACTTTATGCAATTTTGCAGTGTAATCTTAGTACAAAATTGACGCATGAGTTTAGAAAACATTTACACCATGTGGCAACCCTGCTTATGCTTATGAATTAGCAAATTTTACTAATAAATATTAATTTCTACTAATTTTATTAGTAAAATTTACTAATTCAAAAGCAAAAAGTCAGAAACTAATATAAACATTTTTACTATCTAGTTCATATTTAGAGAGTAGTATAAATTTATGTCTATAAAATATTTTAGTAATTCTTTTACAAATAATTAGTCGAATTTTACTGTTAAATGAGTTGCTTTTTTTTAAGAATAATTAGTTATTTTTTACTAATTACTAATTGAAATAGGGTCATTGTTTTACTATGTTATTTAGTAAATTTCTACTATAATTCTGGTTTAGAGAGTATTTAATAATTAGCCGCTGATAATTCGGTCGTCTTCGGTCTCTGTCGATGCTTTCCGTTCAAATGAATTTGAAATGGCGCGGAATTATGATGTTGCTATTGAAATGATTTTTTCTCATCCAAAATATATAACGCAACCGCGTAAAGAAGCGGCGCGTCTTCACTATATGAGACTTTTGCGAAATCCCAAGAGTGTTTTAAGAAACGCATATCTATCCAGAAGTTACTAAAGAATTTTGTTTCTTCTTTGTATATGTGTGCCACTTATAGAAACACCCCCCACGTTCACCAATACGCTTTCAAACCTGTCACGAATATATACGCAGCACCAGACGCTGAGCTGCACACTTTTTTTAGTGACTTTCGTGGATAAACTGATTTTGAAGAGTCAATTTTCTTCCATTGTGCCAAGTCCAATTAGAAAAAAAAATAATTCATCATGCCTGGACGTCCTCTTTGGCAGGTAAGGCATTATTTTATTTCGTATGAGTTTCTCTTTGGCGCAGTTTCCCTCGAGAATTATATTTCTCAAATATTCGAATTTTCGAAGTTTCTCAAAATATTATTTTCTCTTTTTTTTATTAGAAATTATGATCGTTTTTATTGCATATTCTCTTTGACAATGTTTGTTGTTTAGGAGGCAATTTAGTTTGGCAAGTATAGATGATTTGACAGTTAGTGACGGTCTCACTATTGCCGTGAGTGAGTTTAACGCATAAATACGTTACTCCTTTTAATAGGATCGTGTGCAAAGTTTTTGTTATTACGTTATACCGTGTTACGGAAAATGAGTTCGGGTGCAAATAATGACATTGATTTCCCGCCACGTTGTGTCATTTTCCGAAATGATGATGATGATGATAATAATAATTTATGACTTTTTCAGTTCAGCGAACTGTGATATTATTATAATGAGACAATACAATTTTCATGTTTCAAAATTTAATAAATAAAAAATAAATAAGTGAATTTTTCAAATTTTTAATACGTAATATTTTATCGAACTGGAAAAAAATTATTTGACCAAACCTGTTGCATCTGTTATCAAATAAATATTTATTTAATTCAAATAATTTTTATTTATATTCATTTTATTTGAATTAAGAATTTCAGTTCTTTCTGTATATGAATCACTCTCTAAATTTGAATTAGAAAAAATGTTTATTAATTTGAATTAGTGACTGATTTTTTGTTTTTGAATTTTGTAAATTTTATTAATGAATAAATTAGTAAAAATAATTATTTATTAGCAAAGTTTACGAATAATTCAAAAGCAAAAAGTCAGTCTCTAATTTGAATTAGTAAAAATGTTTACTAATTTGAATTAGAGACTTTATATTTATAGAGCAATTATAATTTTTGGTTAAAATACTCTCAAGTGTTTAAGTTGAATTTTTTACTTAATTTAAATCATTGATTGACTTCTTGCTTTTAAATAAATAAAAATTTACCGATTCGTTAGTAAAATAATTTTTTTTCTGATAAATCTGGCAAATTTCAACTGATTTGAAAGCAAAGAATCAGTTACAAATAAGCTAAAATTTTTACTGCTTCAAATTTTGAGAGAATTCGAAGCAAATTCCATTTACAATTTAATTGACTCAAATAAATATTTATTTGATAATAGACAAGTAAAAGTTTATTTAAACAAAATAAATTTTTTTCAGTGGACATAATTTTGATTTCAATCAATTTTCTGGTTAGGAAATCTTGTTTTAGTCTTTTTCTAATTTGTTGTGATTTTATATTAAAAAATTATTTTTTGAAGTCACTTTAAGTATAGGAACGAAAATAAAGAATAATTTTTAAAATAATTTAAGGAAAAAATATAAAAAGAGAAAAACAGAACAATTAGTCTGGGAAGAAAGCAAAACCGATGATAGATTTAATTTTGATTCGGTAATTTAATTTTTTTTCTATTTAACTAATATTTTATTAATTATTAAATTGTTATTAGTTACTTCTGTTATCAATTAGATAGCAAATATATTGATAGGAAAGATTTCATTCTCTTTAAAATTAAATTTGTGATGGAAAATTATAATATTTAATTATTAAACAATAAAAATTTTCTCTGAAATTAAACATTTTAGTAAAAATTGAATCATAAATTTACTATAGTAAGACTATTCAATTTTTTAGTAATTTTTTGCTAAATATTCAGTAAACTTTAGTAATTCGGTAAACTTTACTAAGCAAAAGTAATATATTACTAATTTTTAGTAATTGAAACTTAATTAAACTTTAGTAATTCAATAAACTTTACTAAAGCACTAAACTTTATTAAAAGAAATAGTGATATTTCACTAATTGTTAGTCATCGTTCAGTAAAACTTAAGTAAATTTAATAAACTTCAATAATTCAGTAAACTTTACTAAACAAAATAGTAATTTTTTTTCTAATTTGTAGTCACTGTTCATTAAAATTTAATTAAATTTATTAAACTTTAGTAATTCAGTGAGCTTCAGTAATTCAATGAACTTTACTAAAAAAATAGTAAATATTACTAAAAAATTACTAAAAATTTGTGAATGATCCTACTAATGTTATTACTAAGAGTTAATTTAATTAGTGTTTCAATTTTTGATAATTCAGATTTAGTTGCGTTAAAATATAATTAAATTAGAATAAAATAATAAAACCCTTGCAGGATAGAATAATTTATTTATTTATTAATTCTTTTTTTGAAGCATGAATACTCGAATTAATTTTGATAATTAAACCTAATTAGATAATGAAAGGATTAAGGAACGAATTATTTAGGTGAAGAATTCTATAATTTTTTTCACTGCACCCACTTTTGACAAATGTGGGTTAAATCTATTTTTAATCTCTGACTTTGAACTCATTTTTTCTGTTTCTAAATTTTTCTCCCCTTTTATTTTCAGTTTTAAATTCATTCTTTTTCTGAATGTAATTATAACTTTGTTTCGGAATTAATTAAAATAAAATAAATGCATAATTAAGAAAAATTATTTTTCTAAAGTTTTTCTTTTTTCTTATGATATTTATTATTTTCCATATCTTATCTCTAAAATACTTGCGGCTGAAAAGAAAGTTTACTTCATCTATTATTTTTATTTATTATTTAATAATTAGATTGTAATTTAATAATTATTTTATTTTTTTATTAGCATTTAATTATAATTTAATACCATTATTATTATTATTATATGATTGTAATTATAATATGAATAATAAAAACAATAACTCAATATAATTAGAAATAATGAATTGAAAATTATTTTTGTGATCTAAATCAAGAGTTTTTGATGCAAGTTTTAAAATTGAGTTATTTTCAGATATGAGTCATTTCGGCTCCTTGATATTTTCACAGATTTTTCGCTCACACTTTTCTAATTCTGGATGAGCTCTCAACTGAAACGTTTATAATGTGATTCAGAATTCATTCAGTTTCCTAAGAAAATTTTATGAGCATTCAAATCCGTCATGTTTTTAGTCATTTTCTATTTAGATGCAGTTAATCCTGTTTGATTGTTTACCTAAATTTTGCAAATGTTGCATTGAATTGTTTTATGCGAGCCGCAAGTTAAAATTCATTTCAAATGTAGGTTTAAAGTCAGGGGTCAAATAGAGTTAATTGAACTAAAATATTAGTAATTTATACTTAATATTTATGTAATTAATAATTAATTCCTTAATAATTATGTAAAATTATAAGAAAATAAATTCTATTATTCATATTTATAGTGAATTATTAATAATTAATAAGCACAATTTTTTAGAAAGTTTTAAAAGTTTAAAAATAAAAAAAGAATAAAAAATTTACTTTTCTTTAAAAGTTTGTCTCTTCTTTTTTTATATATATATATATATTCTTTTCGTTTGTTTTTGTTTTCTGTTTGAAAAATTTTGTTTTCAAGAAAAAAATAATAAAAACTAGAAAAAAATTGTGTTGGCAGTGGGAAATAAAAATACAATTCTCTTTGCAGATTTTGAGAAAATTATTTTATTCATAATATTTAAACACATAATTGTGCATTAAAAAAGTGGGTGCATAAATATTTTACGAAAGTATGTAAATATTGTATATATTTAAACTAAATAACAAAGTTGTGCTTCAAAGTTTATAAAGTTTTAAACTTAGGTCTAAAATTTTTATAACTTATGTGTATATGAAATATTATGTATTATTAATCTGATTTTAAGAAACCTTTAATAAACATTAACATTGTAAATAGAAAAACTCGTTTTTTTATGCTAATACATAAAAATTAGTTTTTTGTTTACAATTTGATTTTCGTTTTCAAATTGTTTTTTTCATGAACTGTTTTTTAAAAACTCTTTCTTATAATTTGTTTTTCGCTCACAAATTGTTTTTTTATAAACCGGTTTTTAAAGACTGTTATTTAAAAACTGTTTTTAACGAATTGTTTTTCGTTTACAAACTGTTTTTTTAAAATCTATTTTTTCGAATTGTTTTTCGTTTGCAAACTTTTTTATAAACTATTTTTTTACAAATTGTTTTTTGTCTACAAATTGTTTATGCTTGTAAATTGTTTATGTTTGTAAATTATTTATGTTCGTAAATTGTTTTTGTTTGTAAATTGTTTATGTTTACAAATTATTTTACATATAAATCAAAAAATTTTATCTCGTTGATTAAATTTCTACATATAAAATTGACTATAATTTTTATTGCACATTATAACTTCATTTTGATTGCAATTCCCTTGGAATTAATCAAAATTCAAGTTTTTCATATAATATATTATATAAATTCTTATAAAATATATTTACCATTTTTAGTTATTTTTCGAAAATATATCGAAATCTCTGTTGAATAGTATAGTGATGTTTACATAATAGTTTAGACAGATTTCTTCTTTTAATTCTTTAAGACAATAGATGCGAGAAAATTTATACAATTTACATGTGTCGAGTATTTCCAAATCCACCGTGTCCAGATTGACTGGCACCTTTGTTGAAACCCATTTGTAAATTCACTTGACCTTCGCTGGCACGAAGTTGATCTTCAGTGAATGTCCTTTTGTTCTCGTCGGACATTTTTGGTCCGAGAGTTGGTCCATTATATTCGGGATGTTTCTGTGTCTAGATTAGAAAAATGTTTTTTTTTTTGTTAATTATTAATTTCAATTCAATTTATTATTGTATTATTGAATAGGAAATTTTTCACCTTTTTTTGATTTTACGATATAAAGAAAAGAGCACAATAAATTCTACCACTGTATTTTTTTGTATTTGCATTATTTCCGTGGATTTAAAATTAGAAAAGTTTAAAATTTAAAAATTTAAACTTTCAATTTAAAAAGTAAAAAATAAATATTTATTTATTATGCAGAAAATTCTGGAAATAAGTATAACATAATTGACTTTTTTCGAATTAATTTGAAATATTGTATTTTTTACTTTGATTTTTTTACACTGAGAGAACAAAATATTTAAATCAAACACAAATATCTTTGGTATATTATATCAAATAAATAATTATTTACTTGAATCAAATAAATTTTATTTGAATCAATTATTTGAGTACTTGAAGCAAATACCATTTAATTGATTCAATTAAAAATTATTTGATTCAAGTAAATATTCATTTGATAATAGATGAGTAATCTGTTATTTGAATCAAATAAATTTTTTCAGTGTACATAGTTAAGCAAAAAATTATATTTTAATTAAACATAAAACTTTTCATTTGCTTCAATTATAAATTGAATAAATAAATAAAATACATTTAAAAACAATTTAAATTACATGTAATTTAATTCGAACATATTTTTTTGACTATTTATTTTTTGATTAAGTAAAGTTTTCTCAGTGTAAGGAAACTTTTATATTTTAATCTTTGTTATTATTTATAATTTTTAATGTTCAGTTAAAAATTTATTAAAATATTTGAAAAATTAAGGGATTAAATAAAGAATAGTAATAATAGATACTTACAATTCTTGCCAAAGCAAAAAGGCAGAGAGTAACTTGAGGGATATTTCGCTTTTCGAAGAGATCGGCTGTCTGAAAGATTTCCTCCTGTGGTACTCCGTAGTTTTTGATTGCCGCTTGAAATCTGTTTTACAGATAAATAATTTAATTTATATTTTTCCTTTAAAATTCAAAAAAGTAAATTCAGTTTAAAAAAAAAACTATATTAATTATTATAAAAAAAATATTTTATATTATTAATATTAATAATACGGACTTGTAAAAGAAAAAAAGGCTTACAAAAATAGAAAATAAATACTAATATTAATATTTGTAGAAAATATTTTCTAATTAAAATACCTTTTTATTAGTTTTGAGAAATAAAAAAATTATTGTATATTCAACAATACCTTTGAACGTTTTCCATAAGTTGAAAGTTTGTTCCTTTGGTTTGAATTTTTTTCACCGAATTCGGAGCAAGTTTATTGACAAGTTGGCAGAGAACAACTCCATCCTTTAGGACGTCATCATAATTTCCAGCTGGCAATTTTTCCCCAATAACTTGTTCAATCCAGTTTAGAATCTCAGCTTCTTGTTCCTTATTGCGGGCCTGAAAATTAAATATTATAATTATTCTTTCTGTGATTATTGTAATTTCAATATTTTTATCTATTGAAATTTCACCTCTCAATTATTAATGCTACAAAATTAGCTGTATAGTCTTTAAAAAAAAATTCTATTATAAGGTACAAAATTTTCTACATACAACGCGAGACTCTGTGTCTATGTTTTTTATCTGAATAGTTATTCTCGCAGTTCGTTTTAAAAATGTCCAGTTTAAAAATAGTTTAGAGGTATTCAATTTCCGATGCGAACTCGTAAAAATTAACGAGATACATTTTCGTAATATTCAAATAAAAAATGAATTTGATTTTGTCTTTATAAGATTATTGGTTTTTAAATATCTTTTTTGACTATTAGTTCTTTGTGTTTCATTCTCATTTTGTGATTTAATTCTTAATTTTTCCGGATAACAGATTTTTTGTTCTTAAATTTCGAAGTGAAAATATTTATAAAATTAAATATATAGTTCTCTCTAAGTTTTAATTAGTGGAAAAATAACTAATTATCAATTCTTTGTAATTAAATAACTAAAAAGAATTAAATTTGATTAACTGAAATAGTTACAAAAAAATTTAGTTATTTTGACTAAACCTAAAAGTAAATTTAGTTAAAAATTAGTTATTATCATCAATTAGTTCTTTTTAACTAAATTAAGGCAAATTAAACGAAAACATTCGGACAATGAATAAATTTATGAATTTAACTAATTAAAATTCAGAGAGTACTAATTAAAAGAGTGTGAATTCGTTTATCAATTAAATAGTAAAGATTAAACTAATTTTTATTAGGAAACTATGTAGTATATTTGATAGTAAAAATAATTGATAGTACACTTAAAAAATGTATATTTGATTGAAATAAACGATTACGAGTCTATTATCAAATACATATTTTTTGCGCCAAATAATTTTTATTTAAATCAATTAAATATATTCTTCCTATTCAGTATTTGTTTCAAATGCTAAAATTATTGGTTCAAATACAATTTATTTAAAATGAATAAAAATTATTTGATTCGAGTAAATATTTAATTGATAATAGACAAATAATTTGTTATTTTTAATCAAATAAACTTTTTTTAGTGAAAAATTAATTGAAATAGTAAAGTTTCACTATTTTAAATTAGTAGCTATTTTACTATTAAATTAGTAGCTATTTTACTATTAAATTAGTAAATATTTTACTATTAAATTAGTAGTATTCTACTATCAAATCAGTAGTATATTCTAAATTAGTAAAATTCTGTACAATCAAATGAATAGTATTCTACTAATTAATTAATAGTTTTCTACAAAAATACAGTAAATTCATTATTATTTATTTGTTAAATAAATATTATGTAATGAATTTTACAATTACTATTAATATAGTAAAAATGGGGTTAACGTTCAGTGTGTTAAATTTACATTATCTCTTTGATGCAATAGAATTAAAGTGCCATAAGTATAATAGGATCTGGCGTATGATCCTTGTTAACGATAAATTAGTATTTATAGCTGAAGTATGAACTAAGATTTGCATGAAAGGATTACGAATATTCATATGTTGCTATATTTTGTAAATGTATAGATGTGTTTCCGAACATTACACGCTTCATGAAATATATTCACACGCATACAAACAAAAATTTATTTAGTCCCGCCTGCGATATTTTGAGAAATGAAGTTTTCCTTCGTATACAGCTGCCAATAATCAACGGGTGATCCTTGCGCAATTTATGTTGACGTCTTTCACCCTTCCTCCCTCCTCCCACCCCATTAAGTCAATATGATTTTCAGAATATGATCATACATCCTTACTAATCCAACTGTTCAGTAAAATAAGCCTCACAATAAATATATCATTCAAATCTGGTTCATTCGAAAATATTTGCTCTGCTTTTGAAACTTTTGTTGATTCCTCGTCATCTTTGTAAATTGTTGAAGAATATGAAAATTTTTTATTTTTTAAAATTAAAATTATTATAAAAATTGTAATTACTGTACTTTTAAATTATATAATTTATTAATTGTATAATTTTAATTCTTAGAAAAAAAAACGGAGAAAAAATTTATTTGGTTCAAATAACGAATTACTTGTTTATTATCAAATAAATATTTATTTGAAACAAATGATTTTTATTTGAATAAATAATTTCAGTACTTGAAGCAAATAGCATTTAATTGACTTGAAAATTATTTGATACAAAGAAACATTTATTTTATAATAGACAAGTAATCCTTTATTTGAATCAAATAAATTTTTTTTCTGTTTCAATTTTTTAGAATTTTTGTTTCAATAATTCTGTTTCAATTTCAATTACTATAATTTTAATTATTATAATGATGGTAATTATTAAAATTTTAAGATTATTAGAATTGACTTTTAATTATTGTTAGATTTCAATTTAATAAATATATTATTTCAATATGTTCAATTCTTTACAGAATTTGGCATTTGATATTTGAATATTACTATTTATTTAAAACAAATCTTTTAATTTAATACAATTTTGTATGTAAACTAATTTTAATATTTAATCATTTTAATATAATGATAATTATATTAAAAATAATTATTAGAATTGATAATAATTCCAATTATTATCATAATTTCATTTATCGTTTTAATTGTTATAATTTTAATTATTATTATAATTTTAATTATTATTTCGGTTTTAAGAGAGAAAATTGACTATAAAAGAAAAACAGACTGACATATGCAAAAAAGTAATTTTTTCTTTTATTATTTTATAAATTGTATACACTAAATTTTATTTATTATTATTGGCAGTAAATTTTTATGTACGGTAAATATTTTATAATGATTACAAAATTTTCTCTTATGCTCAACAATTTATATATTTGATGTCAAAATTTTAATAGCTTGATGAATATTGTTTTTAGCTTACGAGTCATTGCACTTTAGGAAATTTAGAATTTAGGAAATTCTGTTTCACATTTCAAAAATAGACCACACACGTCAGATTTTATTTTCAAAATACAAATATACGTAAAAGTCTTTCTACCTTCTTATGCAATCAACTAATTTATTTTTTGATATTTTTTGAAGCTTTTATACACAACAAATATTTTTCTACTTGAGAGTATTATTATTACATTTTTAATGGTAATAATAATAGTAATAATAATAATTATTATTATAATAATTAATAATAATTATAATAATAATATTTAAAGAAGAATAATAATGATTATAATAACAATAATAATAAAAATAGTTATAATACTAAAATTTTAATAATAATAAAATTAAAAATACTTTCGTAATGCTGAATACAATACAAATTTTTTTGCTTTTTTCATCTCGAACATTATTATATTGATCATTACTTGCTGAAACGGAAATGAAGCTAAAAAAGTTACAGTAATTTCCGGTCCTTGGGAAAATTTTAAAAGCCAACAAAAAATATAGTCATTCCCCTAAAATAGTTTTTCTTTTGTATTTTTCTTTTGCGGGAAATTATTTATTGACAATTTAGTATTCTGTCATTACTTTAAAAAAATTGTTTCCAACTTCTTTTAATATTTCACAATATTTCTGACAAAATTTGTGAATAACAAATTTTCAGAACAGTTTTAAAAATAGTTATTTATGTTGATATTGACTAGAGCGTAAAAATAAATTATTTGTTTTCCGTATAGTGTTTATTAATAACTCGCCGATAACAATAAACAAAGGTTACAACCATTTCGTAATAAAAAATGAAATATAAACAAATAAAATATTAATGAATAAATAATTCATATGCTAAGGAATAAAGAAATTCATTTTGTATTAATAAATATGAATCTGTAAAAAGTCGTCTACTAACTCCAATTAGTAAAAATGACTAATTCTCACTAAACTTTTAGTGGAAAGTTACTAATTTTAGTAAATTTTAAATGACAAAATTTTTTACTAATTACTAATTAGAAATTTGTTTAAAAACTTACTTATTGTATGAATTTGACTAATAAGAATTAGTACAATTTTTTATAAAAATTACTAAAAAAATAAATAATAAACTAAATTAAATAAATTACTAATTATTACTAATTAGAAATTTGTAAATAAATTTGCTAATTAATTAATTAAGTAAATAAATTACTAATTATTACTAATTAGAAATTAGTAAATAAATTTGCTAATTAATTTACTTAGCAATTAATTTTTCTAATAAGAATTAGTAAAATTTTTACTATTTTTTACTAATTGGTAATTAGTAAACAAATACTATTTCTGATTAAGACAGTAAAAGAAAACAAGAATACAAAAAATTGTAAAAGTAAACAAAGGAAAAATAATTTGAAATTAGATTATTTAAAAAAGATGCAAAAAATAAGATTTTTTACGAACAACAACAAAGTATTCCATAGCTGTAAACAAACATTGCACATTCATTCACAAATATCACGTGCGAGGTATACAATTTCAAAAAAAAAAAATTTCGATTATTTTCACTAAATAATTTTCTCTTTCTTTTTCTTCAAAAATTCGCGCGCGAAAATGAAATTGTAAATTTCAAAACGTACCGGCATTTTTGTTGTGTTGCGGGTTTTGTTGGGTAGAAAATTGAAAAAAAAGGCAAAAACTTTTTCCAACAATCTTGTCGAATAGAGAATGTGAAGACTAAAGTCAGACGGTGAGCGTTGCGTTACTATATGGTGGCATCCCCTCCAAATTCAAATGCGATCATCATCAGCGAGCTAAAATTTTTGGCACTCTGCCCATTGGGTATTCCCACACCCCCGCACCATTCCAGACACCGACATCAACGACACTCTCTATAATTATTACAAAGTACTTGACACAACGCGAGAATTTTCGTGTTAGTTAAAGTTTTTCAAGGGGAAGATGCATGAGGCCAATGTTACGAGTTGTTTGATGAGAAACTCTTGGTCGCACGTGTAAACCTATTTTCATATATGAGATTGACATTCATACATGTTGCTTGACAGTGACTATACATCATCTCGTCTAATGTCTTTGGGCCTTTTTATGTTTAAAAGAATTGCAAAAATTGAAAAACGATTGTTAGCTAGACAATTCTTTTGAGGATATCAAATTGAGACAAAAAAAAACTGTGAGAAAAATAATTTAACAAACGAGCGGGTGAGATACAAATCTTATTTAGTTTAGAGTGGGTTGAGAAAGACACTTTTTTACTGTTTATGCTATAAAATCGGAATTTTTGCATTTTCTTCTCCAACTGGTACTGAAAGTTTAGTTATTGCACCCAGAGAAAAGATATTTGACTCAAAACCAACTAGACTTTTTATTTGGTTCAAAAAAAATTTATTTGAAACAAATAAAAAATTTTGTTGCGGTTCTGAGTCAAATATATTTTTTTTCTGGGTGTGTACTTGTGTTTTATCAAATAAATTTTTATTTGAATCAAATAATTTTAATTAAAGACAAGTAAATTGTATTTGAATCAATAATTTCAGTATTTGAAGCAAAGTTCATAGTTAGTTTATTTAAATAAAAATTATTTGATTCAAGTAAATATTTACTTGATAATAGACAAGTAATTTGAATCAAATATTTACTTGAAACAAATAATTTTTATTTAAGTCAATTAAATTGTACACCCAGAGAATAATTTTATTTAAACTATTATATTTAAACCAAATATATTTTATTTGAGTAAAATAAACGTACCTACACCCAGAGAAATGGTATATTTGTCTCAGAACCAACTAGACTTTTTATTTGTTTCAAATAAATTTTATTTGATTTAAATAAAATTTTATTTATTTCAAATATATGTTTTATTTGTGTCGAATAAAATTTTTATTTAAAAGAAATAAAAAGTCTAGTTGGTTCTGAGACAAATATACGTTTATTTAACTCAAATAAAATATATTTGGTTTAAATAATATTTTTCTCTGTGTGCATATTTATCTCAGAACCAACTAGACTTTTTATTTGTTTTAAATAAAAATTTTATTCGACTTAAATAAAACATATATTTGAGGCAAATAAAATTTTATTTAAACCAAATAAAATTTATTTGAAACAAATAAAAAGTCTAGTTGGTTCTGAGAAAAATATACAATTTCTCTGCGTGTATTTAAATAAATTTTTCCAGTATTTGAATCAAATACTATGTAATTGACTGAAATGTAAATTATCTGATTCAAATAAATTTTTATTTGCTAATAGACAACTAATTATGGTTATTTGAATAAAATATATTTTTTTCAAATTTTAAATTATTCATTCAAAGAAATTTTATTTGATTCAAATGAAAAGTGTTATTTAAAACAAATGAACAGTTTAGTACACCCAGAGAAAAGATATAATTAACTCATCAGAACCAACTTGACTTTTTACTTGTTTCAAATAAATTTTATTTGGATTAAATAAAATTTTATTTGTCTCAAATATACGTTTTATTTATGTCAAATAAATTTTTTATTTAAAAGAAATAAATAACATAGTTGATTCTGTGACAAATATAATTTTATTTGACTCAAATAAATTTTGTTTGGTTCAAATAAAATTTTACTTGCTTATATGCACCCAGAGAAAAATTTTATTGAAACCAAATATAATTTATTTGAGTTAAATAAAAGTATATTTGTCTCAGAGTCAACTTGGTTATTTATTAATTTTATTTAATTTATGTGTTTCAAATAAATTTTACTTGGTTCAAATAAAATTTACTTAATTCAAATAAAAATTTTATTTTTGTCAAATAGAATGATTGTTTATTTCAAAGAAATAAATAATTTGATAGGCTCTGATACAAATTTACATTTCTTTAACTCAAATAAATTGTACCTATTTAATTCAAATATAAATTTTCTCTGGGTGTACAGTTTACCAAACATTTGTTTACACCCAGAGAAAAATGTTATTTAAACCAAATATATTTTATTTCAGTTAAATAAACGTATATTTGTCTCAGAACCAATTAGAATTTTTATTTGTTTTAAATAACAATTTTATTCGACATAAATGAAACATATATTTGAGTCAAATAAAATTTCATTTAAACGAAATAAAATTTATTTGAAACAAATAAAAAGTTTAGTTGGTTCTGAGTGAAATATATAATTTCTCCGGGTGTGCTTCAAATACTGAAATTAGTGGTTCAAATATAATTTAATTTTCTTAAATGAAAATTATTTGATTCAAGTAAATATTTATTTGATTCAAATAATCTTGTCTATTATAATAGACAAGATTATTTGAATCAAATAAATTATTTTTCACTGGTTTAAAAGGTTTGAGCTACACTCATCTCAGAATGATTTAATTTCGAAAGAGTTATAATTAAAATTTTCATTAATTAGTTAATTTGAAAAAGATTTTAATTGAAATTTTTGTTAAAGTTGAAGTTTCGAAAAAGTTTATATAAAATTCTGAAAAATTCAGTAATTTTTTTCTGCTGAAATTTTTTTCTAACATTTTAGTAAAAAAAAGAGTAGATAAAGATTTAGATTTGGAGAGAAGGAAAAAGTGGAGAGAAATATTCATAAAAATTTGAAAGGCTTATAAAATGGATAATCCATATTAGAGTGACATTATCATATTACGCTAAAAGCATTCGATGTTTTCTATCAATAAACCGCGAGATTTATATCTTTTGCCACCAGTTCAACTATATTTTTGTATATAAGTATTTAAAGAAATTATATTTTGAGCTTCATCGCGTAAAAATTGAATCTTTATTTTTTATTTAATATCATTTCATATATAGTGGTAAAAAAATGTTTCTATTAATTTTTTTGTTTTTATTTTAATTCAAACCATTGAAAATTTATACCAATGTATACAATAAAAAAAAAGTGATGGTTATTTTAAGGCAATGAGCAACAAAATTATTATCATTAATTCTGGTAATAATAATAGTTTATATTGTCTCATTAAATCTTTTTGGTTTAAATTCGAGGAAGTGAAAACATGGAGTATAAAATTAATTTAGTTGGAAAGCTCGTTTGCTTTTAGTTCATAATTAGATTGCAAAATAGGTCATAATATCCGATTCCTATATATGATGTAGATTAGAGTTGCAATTTATTATACATAAAACCTATTAATTAACACCGAAAAAATTTTTTTTGGATTTAAATAACCGAATATTTGTCTTTTATCAAATAAATATTTACTTGAATCGAATAATTTTTATTTAAATCAAATACATTGTATTCTCCCCCAAAAATATGATATATTTGATTCAGAACTGCGACTAGACTTTTTATTTGTTGCAAATAAATTTTATTTGGTTTAAATAAAATTTTATTTGTCTCAAATATGTTTTATTTATGTCGAATAAAATTTTTTATTTAAAACCAATAAAAAATCTAATTGGTTCTGAGACAAATATACGTTTATTTAACTTAAATAAAATATATTTGGTTTAAATAAAATTTTTCTCTGGGTGTTTGAACCAATATTTTCAGTATTTGAAGCAAATACCATTTAATTGACATGAAAATTATTTGATATAAATAAATTGCTTGTTTGTTATCAAATAAACATTTACACCCAGAGAAATGGTATATTTGTCTCAGAACCAACTAGACTTTTTATTTGTTTGAAATAAATTTTATTTGGTTTAAATAAAATTTTATTTATCTCAAATATATGTTTTATTTGTGTCGAATAAAATTTTTATTTAAAAGTAATAAAAAGTCTAGTTGGTTCTGAGACAAATATACGTTTATTTAACTCAAATAAAATATATTTGGTTTAAATAATATTTTTCTCTGGGTGTACTTGAATCAAATAATTTTTATTTAAACCAAAAACATTCTATTTGAACCACTAATTTCAGTTTTTGGAGCAAATACCATTTAATTGACTTAAATAAAAATTATTTAATACAAATAAATATTTATATAACAGATAAGTATGTATTCGTTTATTTGAATCAAATTAATTTTATTTCTCGAGTATAGTTAATTTGTAATATATTATTAGCATTAATAAATAGAATTTTAATTATATTTATAATAATAATTAATAATTCAATAATACCTACTTATTATTCTCATATAAAAAAATTCATAAAATATTTCGTAAAATTCGTATAAATAAATATTACATAAATATTTTTATTTATTGCAAATTAAAAAAATTTGATAAGTAAAAAATTATTATTTTTTTTTTTGTAATTTTTATTTTACTCTGAGGTCAAAAATGTCGAAATATTATTTTTTTTTCTCAAGGATTCATTTTTGAATGAATAGTTTTGTAAAATTGTCATAACCCTGGAGAAATTCAAGAACAAACAAGTTGGTGTGTTTTGCAAGAAATAAAGAGTTAAGAAAATTTGTAAATTTGATGGATAAATGCCAAATGAATAGGTCGATAAGCGAACGCGTCGTAATTCCTGGATTCAGGCCATTTTATATTTGTGAGAACATCGCTGAGTTTAGATTCCTTCTTCTTTCCTGATATACTATTTCCAGCTTAATCGTACAAACAGTAAACTTTTAGTATGCAGAAAAAAACTTTCAGTATTTTTTTTCACTTGCAAATGATGTAAAAAAAAATGTTAGTTTATATTGTGCAAAAATATAAAAATATAATGCAATTTTTAATTGACAAAAATTAAAATTATCTACTTTTAAATTGTATTTTATAATCATTTTGAATATTTATATATCGAATTTAGTAGTTATATTTAATACAAATTATTTACTGAATATTTATTATTACATATTTATTGTAATATTTAATATTAAATATTATAGTAAACTGGAAGAAAATTTATTTGATTCAAATAATCGATTATTTGTTTATTATCAAATATTTACTTGAATCAAACAATTTTTATTGAAGTAATTAAATGTTATTTGTTACAAATACTGAAATTGTGCCAAATATACAATTTATTTGCCTTGAATAAAATTTATTTGATTCAAGTAAATATTTAAAAATTATTTTAATTATTTTTAATTATTTTTTTAAATTCGTTAAGTTTAATGCGATTTAATTAATTTAATTAACGTGATAACAAAATTTCAATAACAATTGCAAAAGAATGTTAAAAATATTTCTTTTTATTTACTTCGTCTATATTCACAAATAATTATCAGAAATGAAATGATAAAGTGGAAATATATTTTTTTTTATTAATAAAGTAGATTACGGGACGTGTTGTAACTTGACGTTCATGATTTCCTAATACTTCATTTATCGAATATGACCGTAAGGAAAGCTTTATCGTGCAAAAGAATACGTGTTTAGCAATATTGCACTGAATTAGTTGTATTCGAATGAAGTTCTCTGTTTAAAATGCGTGGCAGATGTTCATTGAGAGAGGGGGAAAGTTTCCAAGTTCCCCGCCAGAGGTCCTTCTCGTTTATTTTTCTCGCACACGACTCCGCTTGGGCAGAGTATAAGTAGAAGACTGAACGACAGTCTCATCAGCTTTGCGCAGTGGCGATATCGTAACCAATGAGGTTCTACCGAGGTGCGATTATTGCTAGTTGAAAACTTTTACCAATACCCCGCCAAGACGATGTGAAATATCATCGGCTACGGCAATTTTTGAAAGTTTCTACGGAAACTGATAATTCATTCGAAAAATAAAATTTTCTTTCTTGCAGCTTTTGAATTTTTTTATTTTCTTCTATTTTTTCCTATATTCTTTTTATTTTTTCATTCTTTTCTGTTTTTTCTATTCTTTTCAATTTTTTTTATTTCACTATCTTCTTTTATTTTTATCATTTTCTTCTATTTATTTATTCTGTAATTCTGTTTTTTTTACAAAAGTAAATTTTTGTTGCTGTTATTTAAATTATTCGTTAATTTGATTTAATTTACTTTTTAAAAAAATTATTTTATTACGAAAGTCAATAAAAATTATTATGTACACCCGGAAGAAAGATATAATTGACTCAGAGCTTATTAAATTATTTATTTGTTTGAAATAAATTTTATTTGGTTCAAATAAAAAATTATATTCGTACTAAGTAAAATTTTTATTTAAAATAAATAATTTAATGAGCTCTGTGACAAATATACTTTTATTTGACTTAAATTATATTTGGTTAAAATAAAACATTATTCTCTGGGTGTAACATTACAAACTGTATACCGTGAATTTTCGAATTAAAAAATAACTAACAATATTCATAATAATAATTAAACTTTTATTTGAAACAAATGAAATTTTATTTAATCCAAATAGAATTTGTATGAAAATAAATAAAAAGTCTAGTTGGTTCTGAGTCAAATATATCTTTTCTCTGGGTGTAATAAAAACACATATAACAGGAATATTAATTTTTGTTTCGTAATTTCTGGTTCTGAAGGTTGACGATTTTTAATTAACTTATTTGTTGGACAAACGTCAAAATAAAATTAATTTCAGTGACGCTTTTAGGTTATTTTAGTAAAAAGTATTTTTTATCCGCACGTAATACATTCAACGTTCTCATGATAACGCAATAGTCATATTGATAAAGTATATAGGGCATTTTTCAAATTTCTCAAAATAATAAATTGAAACGTTTCGAAGTTATTTGACAATTTTATTAAATTTTATTATTTCAATTTTTGTTAATTTAAAAATCTAATTAAAAATCCAAAGTAAATGAAATCCAAAAAAGTAAAAAAAAAAAATAGTTTCACTTTGGTCTTATTTTTTTGGATTTTTTGTCCTGATCAAAAAGTCCAAAGAAATTAAAAATCCAATGAAAAAAATTAAGATTTTGAAAATAATTGAATTTTTGTATAGGGAATTTTATCAAATTTGTTGAAAATAATTGTATTTCTTGGAATAATTGTTTTAAAAATTTTAAAGAACGATTGAAATTTTACTAGAAATTATTTTATTTATGAAAATAATTGAATTTTTGGTGAAGAAATTTTCTATTTATGGAAATAATTGAATTTTTGTGCAGAATTTTATTATTTATGTAAATAATTAAAATCCTGCAATTTTATCATTTTAAATTTCGATTTTATATAGTGTAAAAAGTAAAAAAGTGTCTTTTTCACTTTCACTATTTGTTTTGGACGTTTTTATTTATTTTGGATTTTTTAACTTTGGACATTTTTATTTTGCATTTTATTTCTTAGATTTTTTGGATTGGATTTTTTGTCCTGTTATCTTCTTATACACATTATTACAAATAAATCCTTTAAATTTATTATTAAAAAATTAACAGTTATTGGTAATCAAATTGAATTCTAGTGAATTATGAGTTAAATTATTTTTAAAGACGCATTTGCACTGAATAATTATTAATTTTATTTGAAAACAATTTTGTTTGATTAATTTTTGTTATTAACTTAAGTAATTTAAATAATCTTTAGAACATTAAATTAAAAAGAAACAAAATACACTGAAAAAAAATTTATTTGATTAAAATAATCAATTATTTGTCTATATAATTAATAGACAATTTAAATAACAATTATTTGATTCAAGTAAATATGTATTTGACAATAATTGTCAAATAAATATTTACTTAAATCAAATAATTTTTATTTAAATCAATAAATTACTTCCTCATAGAGGAAGTATTTTTTATTTGATTTGGTTCAAATACTGAAAAATTGGTTAAAATACAATTTAATTGACTTAAATATAAAAATTCTTTGATTAAAGTAAATATTTATTTGATAGTAGACAAGCAATCGGTTAATTGAATAAAATAATTTTTTTTCATTGTATTTATAATTTGTAAATTATTACTGATAATTTATTAAATATTTATTTTTAGTTTATATTTAATATTTGGAAAATATTTTTAGGTTGCAGGAAAGCGTGAACCTGAACAAGAAGCAGAAGCTCAACAATGGATCGAAAGAGTTATTGGAGAGAGATTTCCTCCTGGTGAGTTTTTTCTTGTTTATTACATTTTTATTTTTTTCAAATCGATACTAAAGTTTATAAAATGATCTCTCTAAATCTGAATCAATTGTATAAAATTTTAATCGATTTGAATCGGTGACTGTTTTTTTTTTTAATTTCAAATCAGTTAAAATTTACTGATTTATCAGTAAACAAATTTTTTTACTGATGAATAAATTAATAAATATAAATTTTAATTAATTTGAAAAAAGACCATCATAACAAAAAAAAAATCATTAATTTTATTAATTTTTAGCAAATTTAAAAGCAAAAAGGAAGTCATATTAGTAAACAAAATTTTAACTGATTTGAAAGCAAATAAAAATTTTTGCAAGCAAAAACATTTTATTGCTTCCAAATCAGTTGTTATTGATTAAAATGTTAAAATTTGAACTGATTTAAATTTGGAGAGGGAACCGAAAAATATTTATCGATTCGCTACATAAAAATTTAAAATTATTATAATTTTTATAGCTTCTTTTTAATATTTTGAAAAAAGGCTTTGAATATTTTACAAAAATACAGAAGGACTTGAATTTTTACCAATTTTTACGAAAGTGAATGGGCGAAAAATCGAAATCGGAAAGAGTATTATCGCTCTCAAACTGATAAGGCTTTCTTGAACGCGATTGGACGAAGTGTAACATATTGATTTTCGCACCCTCTGAAAGCACCCCTATAGTTATATTGATATTACACCCCCGCTGGTAGATAACTTCGCTATCGTATGGAATCCTGTTCGTCGGAGGCAGAATAGTACTGCAAGCCCTTTGATTATTACAAGTTGTAGTCCGTCCTTCAATTAGCCAATTAAAATTCAAGCATTCAAGCCATTGATCTTAAAGCCCATACGTATGTACAAGTGTTGATAAATTTTATTTTTTTTTCCAAATTTTATAGAGCGAGACAAAAAAAATGTCTGATTTAAAAAAAAATAGTAAATTTTTATTGTTAATATTTATTTGTCAATGGTAAATAATTAATTTACAAAATATTTATTTAAATATATTTATTTGAATAAATATATAATGATTTTTATATCGTAAAATAATTTATATATTGACAAATCTTTTCTTTAATGTTACTGGTAATTAAGATTTTCTGTTATCCGGATAAAAAGGTTTCTTTTTTTTTCTCACTGGGAGAAATGGATTTTGTTTAATATATTTAAAATATATTGACGTGTCAGAATTGAGGGAGGTTTATAAATTCCTGATCGTAAACATGTGAAAAATATATTGGGTTATTATCATCCCCCAAGAATTTTCAAGAGACGATGAGATATTTACTCTTCAGTGGCATAAAATCCCGATAAAGACGTCAAGAAGTGTGACGTCGGAAAGGTTAAATGTCTTTAGGGCATGTTTCAATTTTTTATTTTTAAAATTTATTTTTATTTTTTGATTCTTTTCTATATCGAATATTTCACAGACAGAAATAAATTTATTTGTTAGAAATAAATTTTATTTAATTCAAATAAATTTTATATATGGTTCATATTTAAAATGTTTTTTTTCCAAAAATGTATTTTTGACAAATTTTATTTGGTTCAAATAAAAATTATATTTGTGTCGGATAATTTTTTTCTTAAATAAATAAATATTCTACTTGGCTTTGAGACAAGTATCAACTTTTATTTGAATCAGATAAATTATATTTGGTTTAAATGCAATTTTCAATGCATCTAAAAAAAATGTTTATTACACCCAGAGAAAAATATTATTTAAAACAAATATATTTTATTTGAGTTAAATAAACGTATATATTTGTCTCACAATCAGAACCAATTAGACTTTTTATTTGTTTAAAATAAAAATTTTAATTGACACAAATAAAATTTTTATGTGAATGAAGTAAATAAAATTTTATTTGAACGAAATAAAATTTATTTAAAGCTAATAAAAAGTTTATTTATGTCGATAAAAATATTTATTTAAAACAAATAATTAACCAAGTTGGCTCTGAGACAAATATACATTTATTTAACTCAAATAAAATATATTTGGTTTAAATAAAATTTTTCATTGGATGTATTTATATCAAATAATTTTTTTTATATATGTTATACTTAAATGGTATTTGATTGAAATACAGTTGAAATAAAAGTTATTTGATTTAAATAACTATAGGTATTATTTGATTCAAGTAAATATTTATTGATAAGAGATAATTTATTTCTTTCAAATATAATTTTTATTCAAGTAAATTAAAATTAAATTATATTTGCATAAAATAGTGAAATTATTCGTTCAAATAAAATTTATTTGATTTATATAAAAATTATTTATTTCAAGTAATAAAACTTCTATTTGAATCAAATATAATTTATTTCAGTTAAATATAACGATATATTCCTTACACCCAGAAAAATGGTATATTTAGCTCAAAACCAACTAGACTTTTTATTTGTTTGGAATAAATTTTATTTGATTTAAATATATGTTTTATTTATGTCGAATAAAAATATTATCTAAAACAAATAAAAAGTCTAGTTGGTTCTGAGACAAATAATATACGTTTATTTAAGTCAAATAAAATATATTGGGTTCAAATAATATTTTTCTCTAGGTGCACAAAGCCTAATAAATTATTTCTTTTAAATAAAAATTTAATTCGACACAAATAAGATTTTCATTTGAGTAAAGTAAAATCCTTTTTGAATTAAATAAAATTCATTTAAATAAAAAAAAAATATAAAGTTAATTTTAACATATAAAGTCTAGTTCGTTCAAAGTCAAATATCTTTTTTTTCTGGGTGTAATATATAGGCAAATAATTTTCAAGTCAATTACACCTAGAGAAAAATTTTATTTAAACCAAATATATTTTCTTTTATTTAAATAAAAGTATATTTGTCTCAGAGCAAACTAGCTTATTTATTTGTTTTAAATTAAAATTTTTTTAGACATAAATAATACTTTTATTTGAATCAGATAAATTTTTTCATTTAAAGCAAATGAAATTTATTTGAGTCAAATAAAAACATAAAAAGTCTAGTTGTCTCTAAGTCAAAAATATATTTTCTCTGCACTAAAAAAAATGGTATATTTGTCTCAGAACCAACTAGACTTTTTATTTGTTTCAAATAAATTTTATTTGGTTTAAATAAATTTTATTTGTTTTAAATAAAATTTTACTTCATTCTCATAAAAATTTTATTTATGTCGAATAAAATTTTTATTTAAAAGAAAAAAATAACCTAGTTAGTTCTGAGACAAATACACGTTTATTTAACTCAAATAAAATATATTTGGTTTAAACAATATTTTTCTCTGCGGGTGTGGGTGTAAATGGTATTTGCTTTAAATATAGTGAAATTTTTATTTAAATTCAATTATTTGGTTTAAAAAATATTGTTTGATTGAAGTAAATATTTATTTGACGATTACACCCAGAGGAAAATATTATTTAAACCTAATATATTTTATTTCAGTTAAATAAATGTATATTTGTCTCAGAACCAACTACACCCAGAGAAATGGTATATTTGTCTCAGAACCAACTAGATTTTTTATTTGTTTCAATTAAATTTTCTTAGGTTTAAATAAAATTTTATTTATCTCAAATATATGTTTTATTTGTGTCGAATAAAATTTTTATTTAAAAGAAATAAAAAGTCTAGTTGGTTCTGAGACAAATATACGTTTATTTAACTCAAATAAAATATATTTGGTTTAAATAATATTTTTCTCTGGGTGTAGATTTTTTATTTCTTTTAAATCAAAAATTTTGTTCGACATAAATAAAACATATATTTGAGTCAAATAAAATTTTATTTAAATCAAATAAAATTTATTTGAATCAAATAAAAAGTCTAGTTGGTTCTGAGACAAATATACCATTTCTCTAGGTGCAGACTAGTAATTTCTTTTTATGTGTGATAATTAAATGGTATTTGTTTGAAATACTGAAATTAATAGTTTAAATAAAATTGATTTGATTTAAATAAAAATTATTTGATTGAAGGAAATATTCCTTGGAGGGCTCATTTGCCCTAGGAACCGTATAAATACATTTTTTTTTATAATAGATAAGTATAATCGAATACTTGAATCAATTAATTTTCTTATCAGTCCGTACACCCAGAGAAAAATATTATTTAAACCAAATATATTTTATTTGAGTTAAATAAACGTATTTTTGTCTCAGAACCGCAACTAGACTTTTTATTTGTTTTAATTAAAAATTTTATTCGACATAAATAAAACATATATTTGAGCCAAATAAATTTTTATTTAAACTAAATAAAATTTATTTGAAACAAATAAAAAGTCTAGTTGGTTCTGAGACAAATATACCATTTCTCTGGGTGTAGGACAATTATCTTTATTTTTTAATTACTTTTATTGTTATTATTTTAAAAAGTCAAATGTCGAAAGATTTGAATTTTTAATTGAATTAATTTGAATTTAAATTAAATTTGAATTGCGGGTGTAAAGTATACACCCAGAGAAAAATATTATTTAAACCAAATATATTTTATTTGAGTTAAATAAACGTATATTTGTCTCAGAACCAACTAGACTTTTTATTTCTTTTAAATAAAAATTTTATTCGACACAAATAAAACATATATTTGAGATAAATAAAATTTTATTTAAACCAAATAAAATTTATTTCAAACAAATAAAAAGTCTAGTTGGTTCTGAGACAAATATACCATTTCTCTGGGTGTATACATAAACGTTGAGTGCAGGAAAATATAATAGAATACACGCGGTGAAAGGATATATTATAAATGGTACGTGTAGAGAAGAGGGATGAATGAACGTTCCACCCCTGAATGCGCTCTATCTAGAGGGGATGATTTCCCTCCTTTATGTTATGCTTCCCTATCAGAACGCGCGCTTCGTTACGTCACCCTCGTAAAATCGCACGTGAAATTTTTAGGACACATTCAACCCCTACTGTTAACATAGAATCCTGATGTTCTAAACATGCCGAGCGTCGACGCAATCGACGTTGTCGTAATCGAAATGTTA